GTGGTTGTGGACCCGTGTTAACATGTTTCCATTGATGTTAACATGTTTACATGTTGTTTAGTTACATGTACTCGCGTTAACGTGTTTCTACAAACTCTCCCGCTGATAGAATAGCTCTCTGTGACTAAACGATGCTTCATCAGTTGCTCAAACCATGTTTTTTCTTAGTTCTAGACTCATGTCTACCTGTGCCTTTGGAGTCGTGTTAACTCGTGACCCATGCTCATACATGTAACGTAAATAAAGATTTTATCAATAAAAGGAATACAATGACGATATTATTATGCAACATATTATGTCTGATATATATAATATATATTTCATATATAATATTATGCAACAGAATATTAATTGAAAATCGCAACATTTCAATGTATGATCTTGGTCACATCTGTATCAAGGTACTTATGAACATGATTTGGCTACATACGATAAAATTACTAAAGGCTGCCAAGCATACATCAGTGATTGATAGCTCAATTAGTCAGCACGTATGTTCCATTCATGCGTCACTTTTGTTAGAAGGTTCGAATCCACATACGAGTTTTGTTTATGTAGCCTGATTTTTTTAATTCTCTTTAAAATAAAATGGGGGGGACTGCGATTTATAACGTATGCTTATTTAGCGGAACATCGTAGTCATTTAGAGCTATTCTGAGAAAATATCAGCTCGTGTGACTTTGTAGACACAGGATAACACGAGTCAATGAGACTATTATATTCTGATTGCATAATATTCTAATATTCTGTTGCATAATATTATATATAAAATATATATTATATATATCAGACATAATATGTTGCATAATAATATCGTCATTGTATTCATTTTTTGGATAAAATCTTTATTTACGTTACATGTATGAGCATGGGTCACGAGTTAACACGACTCCAAAGGCACAGGTAGACATGAGTCTAGAACTAAGAAAAAACATGGTTTGAGCAACTGATGAAGCATCGTTTAGTCACAGAGAGCTATTCTATCAGCGGGAGAGTTTTTAGAAACACGTTAACGCAAGTACATGAAACTAAACAGCATGTAAACATGTTAACATCGATGGAAACATGTTAACACGGGTCCTCAACCACAGCAGGGCATGCTTTAACTGACAAACATATTCAAACAGACTGTCATTTGTGAAGTACCGAGTAGCTCAGTTAGATAAGTCGATTGAAACGTGAGCTACACCTTTTCACTACACGGGTTCGAATCCTGTTAAAAACATGTAAATTTTAATATTTTTTTTAGATTTATTTTGGTTATATACTGTTCTGCTACACAGATATTAAAATCAATAATGCAGACAATGACACTGACACCAAGTAATAAGAATCTTTATTTGGTATAGACATGTTTTGTTGCTGTAAAAAAGTGACGAATCTGCCAATCTGCAAACGTGAATAGCTTACATCTGGAAAGGGACACCAGTTAACACGGTCACCAGTTAAACCGTAACACCGGTCGATTGAAGTCACACTGCAGATGGACATTATATTGAGTCTCTACCCAAAGATGAAACCTCAGCATTATAACCAAGCAGTTGGAAACTTCTGGAAGCTACATGCTACAAAGAATACTTCATCTGAGTTTGTTAAAGGAAGGATCAGTAAAGAGTAACTGATGGACGTCAGGATGGGTTTCTTCCAATTCTCAAGTGTAAGTACATGCGGTTAAAGTTGTTGCCTCGTTTACTCTAGCTTGCAAATGTATTTAGTTGTGATTTGTTACTTGTAACCGCGTGTACTGTATCAGGTTAACTGGATATTTTATCTTATCGCGTGCAAAGTCACGTTAAAAACGCGACGCGTGCTGTTTGTTTATGGAGCTCCGTGCTAGAGTTCTGCTCCCGCGATTCCCTGCGTGGTGCTTGTGTGTGTGTTAGTGCGCACGCGCGCGTATGAGAGAGAGAGAGAGAGAGAGCGAACGAACGAACGAACGAGCTTTGTGCTGTGTGTGTGTGTTTAAACAGACAGCTTGGCTGTCTGGACTGTATACTGGGTGATTTTTGGTTGTGTTCTCCGCTCCGGGCCGGGGACCGGGCGCGGCGGGCAGAAAACGGAGCGGGTTTTCAGGCTAAAACCTGGCGGGTGCGGGCGGAAGCGGGAGCGTTGTCATCCGGAGGTGTGTGTGTGTGTTTTTGTGTGTGTGTGTGTGGTATGGCGAGTACACGACTGTCTCGTTGTTCGGTTATCCGTGGCACTATCCACTCGCCATAGTGTGGCAGCTAAAATCCACGTTTAAATTGCTGATTAGCTATTGGCCATTTCCCTCTCTGACTGAAGGCAGTCGACCAATCGCGACAGACTGTCATCGGTCCAATCAGCGCAGATTAGCTCCGCGCTAAGGAGGGGTTTGGGAACAAATGAATCACTGGACGATTCATACAGGAGTCGCTGGGATAATTAGCTAAAAATAAATGCAGATTATAAGACCATGAAAGTGTTTTTTGACCTTGCATGCATATTAGACTGTTGTTGGAGACCCTTACAACCAGGATATGACCCTATTTCATGTATAATATGGGCTCTTTAAAGCAACTACTGACGTATTTTCAACCACATTTCAACGTTGAAGCCTTGTCATATGCAGGCTGTTTTTCAACCGTTCAACATTAAACGTTCTATCAACATTATTTCAACGTTCAAAACACATCTGACCTTATTTCAACCATATTTCAACGTTGAAGGTCGGTCGTGTGCCGGCTGAACACAAAAGAAGACATCTTCAAGACTGCTGGAAATGAGCGCTAAATACATTTCTTCAAAGCAGCATTCTAAAGCAGGAATCCATCAAGGAAAGTGTCCACATTCTCTCTGAATCCACATTATGCTTCATTTACTTTCTCGAGTCAAAAGTTTCCCTCTCCTAATTGAATTTGGAAGACAGCATAGATGTATCCTTTGCTGTCTTTGCTATTCCACATGTAACCCCATCGGTCCTACACCACCCAACCCGCTCCGGGCTGGGATAGAATCGGCAACTTTCCGCATGGGAGTCTGTTGCTCTAACAAGGAGGTTAAAGACCCTGGTCTCTAGCATCTGTCACTAGAGCACCTTTAGAGGTCAGAGGAGTGAGGTTTATGCCGAGTTCAGACTGCATGATTTTCAAACTAGTCATGTCACAGATGTTTTCACACTGCATGACTATCTGGGCTAGTGTTTCGTCGCTGCTTTGTTTACACTGCAAGATGGTTCGGCGACATGGACATTCACATTGCACGACTTTACTATAGGTAGAATCACCGACAACTTCGTCCAAACTACATCTCACAGCCAAAAACATGTAGTATATCTTTTGTTATTAACTACATAATGAGAAAGAAGCCTTTAATGGGGTAGAACATGTACATGTAGTACATGTTTGCTCACCTGTGTTTAAAGGGAATTAGCCATTTCTCCTCAACTTAAGTTGATTATAAACTAATTTCTTTCTGTATGAAACGTCAAACAGACACGGTTGCTCCTGAGTCCTGTCAAACCTCCACTAGTTTTTCCTCCATTTCGTGGGTCCAAATAAATCGAAAAAGAGCACTTTTAACTTCTCCCCCAGCCTCCTGCTGGCCTGCAGCAGGTATACACACACACACACAAGTGAAAGCTGCTCTCTCATTGGCTGTAGGCGATCGCTGATGTTATTTTCAGTCAAAACTCAATTCACACGGCATGATTTGAATCGCCGACAGCTCCAGATATTTAGCATGCCAAATATCTCACAGGCATCGGCGACTCATCGGCGATTCTCTCAGATCACGTCTTTGATTGTTCATACTGTGTGATTGTCACTCACGTGCACGAGCAGCGATTTGCCTGTGATTTCAGGCATTTGTCTGCGATCTCTCAAAACCTGTCGGCGAGCCAAAATCGGGGCTAAAATCACGCAGTCTGAACTAGGCATTTCCTGCACAGCACTAACTAGCTGGCCTCCGTTACACAGACCTTTGTGTTTGTGACAGTTGAGCTTATGGGCGATATGGCAAAAAATGCAATCTCGATAATTATTTCCATTTCCATTATTTCCAAGTTGTTAATGTTTCCAGATTTAAAAAAATCAGAGGATCCTTTCAATTTTCAATTTTTGGCTGATAAATTTTCAGTGGCCAAAAATTCAGTGCATCTCTAATATCAACACACTTTTAGATTCCTTGTGTTGCACATTCTTGTTATGTGATTGGCTCTTAGATCAATATAGAGTAAAAAAAAAAAGTCCAGAGCTTATCGTTGTTATTGACATAAATCTTATTGCGATTCGATATTAATAAATACAGCGTTTGGCATCTGGAAGCTCAATTTGGGGTTTCATTTTGTGTGTACTATAAATGTACATTTTTAACCAATGCTTTCTGATTTTGATTTCCACTCAATTTTTAACAAGATGTTTGTATTGTAGTAAGAAAATATTCCTTTTAATTATCACAAAAGCTGTGTAGTTTGTTGTACATGAATAAACCCTTGTACTGTCCAAAAAGACTGTCTGAAATCAGGTTTGTGAGATTCCTTCCTGCACAAACTAATGAAAGTCAATGGTACAGGTATCCAACAATCTTCAAAATGATGTTTTTTTTTCAACATAAGAAAGAAACTTAAATAAGTTTGGAAAAGAACAGTGGGTAGTAAATTGTGGCAAAAAAAGTCATTTTGGGGTGAACTACACAGCAGATGTTAGCTTGACGTTAAGATCCAACATTGGAAGACATAAAATATTGGTCCAAAATTGGTGAAATTAATGTCAAAATCTCTAGCATGATACTCTAGTTGACGGACACTTTTGGATTATGATTATGTCTTTTCATTCTAAATTTTACATAATAAACAAGCAGAGCGACAGCTGTAATGCCCAACACAGCGTAAGTTAGTGAAGGAATCACATCATCAAACGGACTGTATAATTCTGGGGAAAGATGAAAAACACACCAGTTAAATCTCCTGATAAAGAAACTGAAAACTATTCCACTGAATTAATTTCCAATATATTACTAGACATTGCAGAATCTTGTCAAAAAGATGATGCTAGTAATTATACACCTCTACCTTTGTGGCAGAGTTGACTGATGTTCAGATGTGTGGTGTGGTTTGTGATGGTGTTGTTGATCACACAGCTGTAGGTGTTTTTATCCTGATATTCCACCTCCAGAGGTAGAGAGAGACTGATGCTGAGATCAGACACACTGATGCTGGACAATACACTGTTTCCTTTGTACCAGGAGAGACTCACAGCACTCACATTCACCACTGAACACAACACTGAACATCTGGAGTCTGGGGATGGTTTTTGACTGTTTAAGGTATTGTTGCTGATTACAGAAACAGGAAGAGGTGCTAGAAAACATAAAATACAAGATTTTATTATTTCTAGCTTAAAGTAATGAAGCAAACCTACAGTTAGGCAAATTTTATCTGTGCTACTTCTGACAGCAGGTAAAATGATTATATAATTGATATAGTAGAATATTTCTATTCTTTAAAGTTTCCACTTGCAGAATTTCGGCCCAGAACGAACCAGAAAATACTATAAAATAATAAATCAGTGTGTCAGAGTGACACTGAACTCACCATAAACAGTAACACTGAATCTCTTATATGTAGTTCCTCCACTGGTAATGATGGTCAGTTTATAAAGTCCAGAGAGTTCAGTTGTGATGTCTGTGATGGTCAGAGATCCAGTTTGTCTGTCCATCTTCAGTCTGTCTCCAAATGTCTCATTGCTGTCAAACATGTCAATGCTCTGCTTATGTATTTCAGCAATACGAGTCTCTTGAGGTCCAAACATCCACAGTATCTGATCAGTTTTCTGTACTTCAGTAACATCAGTGTTTAAAGTGACAGAATCTCCCTCAGTCACTGATACTGACTTCACTTTATTCGCATCAGCACCAAACACACCTGAAACACATTCACAAGGGTGTATTGGACCGAGACTCCAAAAAACATTTGACTTTTTCATTTGTCTTTTCTACTGTTCTACTGTTCCTTTCTACTGTTTCTAACTGAATAGTTAACCATATGCAATAACCTGTAAAGTTTAAGTAGCAATAAACATCTTACCTTCCATGCAAATTAAGAAGAAGATTAAACCCAACATGTAGCAGAACATCTTTGAAGAGTGACTGAAATGACTGTGGTTTCAGTTTACAGAGCATGTGGTGAAGATTCAGCCAATGACTGCTCATACTCATTGTCAGGAAGTCAAAATTAAGCTTAAAATGAATTTAACTGTTCAAAGACCATTTTATAGCCAAAAATATTTTTGTTTTCACACTGACAGACTTGGTTCAAATGTACCAATGGATTACAAATCTTGAATCCGTTAGGTTTTTAAAATTCTGTTATAGTAACAGTACCATTTCACATATTCTTAACAACATTGTTTTTATTTTTCCACTCTCTAATCTGTCCGATATTAGACAATTCTCAACCTAAGAAATGGCTACTGACAAACATAAAGAATGTTAATTCTTGTATTCGCGTAAACAGGCACCATGTTCAAATATAACATCAGTCAAACACACAAGTGTCAGAATGTTTTGGCACAGTTGCTGATAGGAACAGCATTGGTGTTGGCACTGTGGTCAGCTTGAGGATTTGTGAGTGGTTTGCAAATGCACGCACAGCCAAAGTGTAAGCTGTTTTTTCTCTTTCTCATCTTCCGCCCACAAAATCGCTTTCCGTTTCTTGCTAAGAGACAGTGGTATTAGAGAACTGACAGTACATGATACGCTACTAACTGCTATCTTTTTAGTCTGTACAAAAGTATTAGTTCACCGTTTAGTTCAGTGGCACCTTCTGTAGATCATGTCACCAGTAGATTTCAGTAAAAGAATAGATAGAACTACAAATATCTACAAAATGTTGTTTTGTGGTTAATTAGGTTAACTAGACAGGTTAGGGTAATTAGGTAACGATGGGTAATTAGAGTTCTGTAGACTATCAAAAAATATATAGCTTAAAGGGGCTAATAATTTTGACCTTAAAATAGTGTGGAAAAAATTAAAAACTGCTTTTATTCTAGTCAAAATAAAACAAATGAGACTTTCTCCAGAAGAAAAAATATTATCAGACATACTGTGAAAATTTCCTTGCTCTGTTAAACATAATTTGGGAAATATTTAAAAAAGAAAAAAAATCAAAGGGGGGCTAATAATTCTGTAAATATTGAAAAGGGAAAAACAATAAATCGTTGTATGTATGCTGTAATGTTTAAATAAATTTCCATTAAAAACATGTGAAGGTCATTTGACCATCAGGGAGAACGCAGCGTCTCAAGAGTTCATTCTTTTGAGTTAACTTGGCAAGACTGGTCTCCACAATAATGTGTCCGTTCTGTGCGTTCTTGGAATTGAGAAGCAGCCATTGTGTAGCCCTAAATTGCAGTTCCAAGAACTACCTTTCATTTTTATTTCACTTCAGAAAGCTAATTGTAAATTCACAAGTAGTTCAAACTTTTGTTGCTTGTTCGAGTTGTTTCAGCTTATTATTTAAAATAGCTAAAACAACACAATTCTTGAGTTTTCGTTGTGACAACATAATTCTTTTATGGTCAAACCACTTAAATTTATAAAAACTAATGAGTGAACTAAATTCCTTCATGTTGTCCAAATACAAATCTTTCAAGTGGAACCCAGCATTTTTGACACTGTTGTAATATTTAAATGAACATTTAAAAGAATGAGTAAGAATACTAAGATTAAAAAATAGTCTAAACTCTGAGGGAAAAAAACTAAAGTGTAAGAAACATTAAACAATTCTGATTTCCATCTAAATTTAAAGTCGCTATTTCGAGATATAGGCCTATCCAGTGTCGCCAGATTGGGTGGTTTCAAATTTGATTGTGCAGGTAAAAAATGGCATAAGCTTATGTCTTGAAAACTACTGCTTCTGGTACAGCAACAACTCATAGATATTTACATTAGATGTCGCCTACGTTAATGTTGTCATGGAGGAAATGCAACAATTGAGCCGACATTTTAGTACAGGGTAGCACTCCTTCACGCCCCATTCACACGGGGCTTCAGCGTCAACGCTTGACAGAGGGCGTGTCTGAAGTTAGGGCTGACGCGATCATTATTTGCAGTTACATATATTACACAGGCCTGTTGTATTTCTGTCTAATTTTAATAACACCAGTCTTTGAGCCCTCAAAGACAGCTTATACGTATTTTGGTGTTGCCGCCATAAAGTTGTTTTGATTGGTTTGTTTTAGTGCGGTAACTTTGTTGTTAGGAGAGCATTTTATAGTTTTCATGTGTTGTCACACCATTAGGAAAACACAGGCAAAACAATACTATCTCCCACAGTTTCCATTCTAATTTGCAGGTGAATTCCAATTAAAGTATACATTGAAAAGCAAAGTCAAAGTAGCAGAAGTCAATGAATAAACTGTCCCTATACCAGCAAATATTAATCTAAGTAAAATAAACCTACACCAAATGTAAAAGCAGACACTTTTGTGCACCATCACCACTGACTAAAAGAATTGGAGCCCTAACAGGGGCATGCAGTTTTAAAGGACAGAAATGGTTGAGGGTGCAGGATATAGATCGCAAGTACCCAGAGGTGTAGCCAGTAATTTTGGGCCCTATGCACAAAAATTTTTAACAGGCCCCTCTGTTCATAAAGTGAATAGCCAGGGTGGAGTCATAGCCAGCCCTCCCTATAAGCGAACTAAGTGGCTGCTTAGGGCCCAGCCGCCACTAGGGGGCCCCTACAACCCGCTAATGTTGCGTGCCGCTTCTTTTCTGAAATCATTTTTATTTGCATTTTACAAATTATCTTCTTTGACAGTGCTTTAGTGCTTAAATATTTATAAATTTTCACTGAAAACTATATTAAAGTTGAAATTGTTTTTGTGTGAAAGTCATGTAATCAACAGGAAGCTCATTTCTCATATGCATTGTGTTCTCGCTGTTCGAGTTTGTTCTTCCAAGGAAACCTGCAAGACCGATTGGTCGCCACAAGAACATGAGCCCGTACACGGACACAGGAATGGCCTTTGCTTTATTGCCTGCCATTATATTGCTGATTTATTTTGGAAATTGGACCACGAAATTTAAATGAAACTAACATTTTCCTTCACATATAGAAAACTGAGGGGGAAATTGACGATGAGAAGAGACAAGCACAAAATAATTTTTAGCATTGCTTTTAAGTGCTAATGATGATGTTAAAGACATAATCTAGTAGCACATTTATTGAAAATAGGCAGTTACAAATTAGCAAACGTCGTCTACTTATATGAAATGTTTTATTTTTTTCTGGTTTTACAGACTCGTTTTTAGTTTAAAACGCATTTGAAATGCAATATTGAAGCGTCTTTCACAGACATATTTTGCACACTGGGAATATTGTTCCTGGCACATGTTTATAAAAGTTATGTCCTAATTTAATTATTTAGAGTTTAAAATAAGCTTTGTACCCTGCATCTCAAATGTAAGAAAACAGGGAAGAAGACTGAAGGAAATAATAAAGTTTGTTTTTGAGTAAGAGCAAGGTAGGGCCCCATAATCAATCTGCCCCAAAATGTACAGGGCCGGCCCAGGGTGGTTGGGGCGGGGAGTAGATGTGAGTGATTGCGGGCGACCAGCAAAAGTGAACAGCAGGGGGGGTAAGGGTTGGTGAGGTTCGCAGAAGTGGAGAGTGGGTGGGGTGGGGGGCATTGGGGGATGGTGGTGTGTGGGCCATCAGCAAAAGTGAAGGAAGAAGATGATTAAAGATGATACAGGTACTTGACTGGCCTGTCTACATTCCTAACCTGTCTCCAATAGAGAATGTGTGGTGCATTTTAAAGTGCGAAGTGCAAAAGACCCCATACTATTGCCCACCTTAAGATGTGTTTGACATAATTACACCTAAAGCACTTTATCAGTGTCTTCAGTCTCTAAACGTGTTTTAAGTGTTGTGAAAAGGAATGACATTACAAAGCGGTAAATGCTTTACTGTGTAAATGTTATTTTTAATGCTAAAAACAATAAAAGTCATGATGAATATATTAAATAATGTTTGTTGTTCAGTCTGCAATGAAATACTTAAGTCAGAGTAAATTTAGAAACCATTACTTAATATTTGCGTATATTTCCATTCTCTCCTAACTTCTTCTGATGTGGACTTAAATTAAAACAGCTGCATTCACTTCCTTCCTACTGTATGTAACATTTGAATCAGTGTAACGGTGCTGACGTGCTCCGTACTGACACTGTTCCCAGATCAGCTTCTGTACACGCGATTTGAAGAGGAGCGAAGGGGGTAGAGACCACATATTTTCACATCCCAATTTTTGACAGGTATGGTATAGGGCGGTGCTTTGTTTTTCTTTTCACTTCTCAACAGTCGATTTCAGAGTTTGTAAGGACGTTTTTAACATCTTGAAAATAGTTTTAATAATTGTCATCATTTAATCTTCAAAATGTGCTTACAGTGATAGGTAAGGAAAGGAAATCCTGTTCAGAAAACCGTGTTTCGTCACTTGTAGTTTTACCACCGCAGGCTGTTCACCTTCTCGGATTACGGCATCATCATTTGACGTTTAATCATCAAAATGTTGAAGATTATTATTAGCAAATCCACGTTATGCCTGTTCCTGACGCTCATTTACGGTAAGTGTTGCAGTTTGCACTTTTTTGCAGCTTTTTTTAGTATCGCATCTTCCATCTCCTCTGCCAGTTAGAGATGTTGTGAACTCACAATTCATGTAATTTCCTGACGATATAATGGACCATGATCCAAAATCATCACGACATACTTCACGTTTAAAGTGGGGGCATTATAGTAATTTGCTAGTTGTAGGCAATTTATCATATTTTATGTATTTAATAACGTTGAGTGTTTTCAGTTTCATGTTCTCTGTCTTTCATGCAAATTCAGGCCCTCAAAATTTTCTTTAATGAACCTAATAGCAGCCCACTATACCTTCTTGAAAATCTTTTCAAATATAAATATTTAAAGTCTCACTGGGGAAAATATTGCATATTTAATATTAACATGGAATACTAATAATACTGTTACACATTAACAGTACACGACAATTTGTATGTCAATGTTTTTTGTGATGCAAAATTGTGAAAAGTATTTTTAAAAAGAAAAAAATTTATGGTTTTAGGGACAAGAAGCATTCAGAATCTTATTTTTTAAATCCACTAATAAATTTAATTAATACACTCCCTATCATATATTTTACTTTTCAAACCTTTTCGTGAATGTGTTTCAGGTGTTTTTGGTGCTACAGATGAATTCAAGTCAGTATCAGTGACTGGGGGAGATTCTGTCACTTTAAACACCGATGTTACTGAAGTACAGAAAACTGATCAGATTCTGTGGATGTTTGGACCTGATGAGATTCGTATTGCTGAAATATATAAGCAGAGCATTGACATGTTTGACAGTAATGAGATATTTGGAGACAGACTGAAGATGGACAGTCGAACTGGATCTCTGACCATCACAGACATCAGAAATGAACATTCTGGACTTTATAAACTGAACTTCATCGGCAACCGAAATTCAATCAAGAGATTCAATGTTACTGTTTATGGTGAGTTCAATGTTACTCTACATAATTCATTTTGTTTAATAAAAAAATTCTGCTTCAAAGAATAGAGATAATAATAAAAGCTCTTTGTTTTCTAGCTCCTCTTCCTGTTCCTGTCATCAGCAACATTCATTCAAACTCATCATCATCAGACTCCAGATGTTCAGTGTTGTGTTCAGTGTTGAATGTGAGTGCTGTGAGTCTCTCCTGGTACAAAGGAAACAGTGTATTGTCCAGTATCAGTGTGTCTGATCTCAGCATCAGTCTCTCTCTACCTCTGGAGTTGGAATATCAGGATACAAACACCTACAGCTGTTTGGTCAACAACTCCATCACAAACCGCACCACACAACTGGACATCAGTCAACTCTGTCAGAGAAATAAAGGTATGTCAGTAGTGATCAGTGTCTATTTACTGACATGCACCTTTTATTTAATAAATGATCTGAACATGAAATATAAAGGAACTGTTGGTGAAAATCTAAAGTGAACTGCTTTCTTTCTGTTTTAGAAACATCACATGCTGCTATTTTCCACCCTGGATTCATTTCTGCTTTAGTTCTGCCTGGACTTGCTGCTGCAGTGTACTTCCTATAAGCACAAAGGGAAAAATGCATGACTCATGTTCATGCACTGTAACAAAAAAAAAAAAAAAAAAAAAATCAATTAGTACTATTGCATTGGATTTTAACAAGTGAGGGTAATGACTGACCCTCTTAACTTTTTAGTTGATGTGGCGAACCAACAATGTCTGAGGTGATTCTCTTGAGCAAGGCACCGAACCCCCAACTGCTCCCTGGGTGTGTGTTTACGGGTGTAAATCACTTTGGGTAAAAGTGTCTGATAAATGTAAATACTCTCTCTATTTTCTCCTATAGATATATCTAGTCAATATTTTCTCATTATTTGCTTAGTTTTGCTTTGCTTTACACAGAAACTACTCAAGATCTCCTCAGGGTTTTTCTTTTTATTGGTTCTTACGGTTAACAACTAAATTCCAGCACATGCCATCTCTCCAGCTCCTGTCTATTCTGTTTGCAAACTGCAAGCCATTACATGTCCCGTCATTCCATATAATTTCAGACACACTGGGCTTGCTTAAATTTAACAGCTCTTTTACTGAACCACTGGTTCTTGTTTTTGCCCTAGTTTGAACAGTAATGTATTTGCAAATGTGCACAGCCTCAGCACAAAGGTTTTTAAAGTAATTTTCATGCAGTCAGAAATCATTGTTCGCAGTATTTCTCATTACTGTTGTTTTTCCAAGATTAAGTGTGCAGTTGTCAGGTAATGTGCTTCTTGTGATAAGTGTCAGAATCTCATATTTCAGTATTAATGGCACTCAAGTGAGCATATACAAGTTGCTGTTGCAACCCAGCAAGCATTTTTTGTTTTTAATAGATGTTTAACAGACGTTGTCTTGGCTAAAACAAGGATAATTTGGGCTGTCAGTGAAAATCTAATAGACGAATAGGCCAAAACTAGACTAGTCATTGAATAAACAAATGAATGACCACACATTTAAAGTCTGTCTATTCTATCTATTTGATGACTAGTCTAGTTTTGGGCTAGACGTCTATTAGATTTTCACTGACAGCCCAAGTCAGAGGTCAGAAACCTTTTTTCAGCAAAGAGCTTTTCAGATTTTTTTTAGCAAATACATTTTTTAAAAAAGCCATAAATCTGCATTTGCTACTGTTTTGTTACTATAAATAATACAGGTTTAAACAAAACCGTAATTTATGTTCAAGCACGACAAATATGAAGCATTACATTGTGCATGTCCATAAATGAAAAAAGAACGTCCTTTTATTGTTAAGAGTTTTTATTCATTTAGCTGTAAAAATTACAACTAAGAGGGAATTGTAATTGTATTTTAGATAAGAAACTAATTTCTAGTGATGGTTATATTTTTATATAATATTAATGTAATAAAATAATAAACTATTATTGAAGGAAGACAACTGGAGAGCCACGTATTTTTGGTCAAAGAGCCACATGTGGATCGAGAGCCATAGGTTTCCTTCCACTGGCCCAAGTTAAGCCTTGTTTTAGCCAAGACGACTATGTTTTGATGTCTATTGAACAAAAACTTGTTCGCTGGGAATTGCCGTTTATCTTAATCAAAAAAAATCGGACACACTGTACTCTTTCAGATATGCAATGTTTAATAAATTGTTCTTTATGAATAGTTTTTGTACATATATTTTGCTGGCAATGTTTCATTCATTCGTGTCCATGAAACGAAAGAGGCAACTATTGAATAATTATGTTACTGCCAGCTAGTGGCCACATCAGAGGATGACACCTTATCCTTGTGTGTGTGAGGGAAGATTAGGTTATTGCAGGTCAACAACCATCGTTGCAATTTGATATCAGAGCTACAACTAAAATATGAAAAATAATACTTGGGGGACCATTTCATTTGTCATCTAGATGGGTGTTCATAAGATGGATTAGAAAGACTCACCATTTAACAGGCGATGTCAATGTCATGTTTGTCAAAGATGCAACAAGAATCAAAATGTACACTGATTTGGGGATGTATAATTAAATTGAAGGCTGTAGTTCAAAAAGTTGAACTAAGGTAAAAAACAAACAATGGATCAACGCTCTATATCTATCAGCCACCAGAGGTCAGCAAAACGTCAGAAAAGTGTTTGACTCCAAAGGACAGACCCACAGACTCTAATGAGATCCAAAAATGGAATTCACCAACAATTTTCTCAGCCTGAAATATTTCAAAACATCAAGTGTTTCTTTACTATGTTGGACACAAAAGAAGATACTTTCAAGAATGTTGATAATGAGCACTGTGAAAAATGCATTCCTTCAGGGCAGCTTTCTAAAGCAGGAATGCATCAAGGCACGCCTGAATCCAATTGTCTGAAGTCAGAAATTTCCTTCTCCTGACTGAATTTAAAAGCCAGCACAGATGTATAATTGGCTGTCTTTGCTATTTTACAATCTTGTGTGTTCAGATTCTGACAGTTATGTAATGAATTTGGCATCTGGAAGCTCAACTTGGGTGTCATTTTGTGTGCACTGTAAATGTACGTTTTATGAACAACGTATTGTAATTTTGATTTCCACTTTCTGGCGAGAAGTAATTGTAGTAAGTAAATATTCACTTAATTATCACCAAAGCTTTCGGTCGTTTGTTGTAGATGAATAAACCCTTGTATTGTCCAAGAAGACAGTCTGAGATGCCTTTGTGCACAAACACTGCCTCCAGAGTTACTACATGTTGGGGCAAATTCAGAAAATAACAACCAGTCAGCTGTCTAAGCTTTCGGATGCAGCCAATGGAAGTCAATGTATCCGACAGTCTCCAAATCATTTTCTTTCTTTTTTTTGTTGTTGTTGTTGTTGTTCAACAAGAGAAAGAAACTGAAACAGGTTTGAAAAATGCCACTGGTGAGTAAATTGTGTCAAAAAAAAAACCTTTTGAGGTGAACTAGACACCAGACATTAGCTTGACGTTAAGATCCAACATTGAAAGACATAAAGTATTGGTCCAGTATTGGTCAAATTAATGTCAAATTCTCCAGCACGATACTCTAGTTGACAGTATTATAATTTTGTCATTCTGAAATCAAATTTGACATAATAAATACTGTAATTAGAGCGACAACCTTCATGCCCAACACAGCGTAAATCAATGAAGGAATCACATCATCAAATGGACTGTATAATTCTGGGGAAAGAAGAAAAACACACCAGTTAAATCTCCTGATAAAGAAACTAAAGACTATTCATCTAAATTACCTCCCAATATATTACTAAACAGTATAGTTGTGATAAAGATGATGCAAGGGATTGAATACCTTTATCTGTTCGACAGAGTTGACTGATGTCCAGATGTGTAGTGTGGGTTTTGATGGTGTCATTGACCACACAGCTGTAGGTGTTTTTATCCTGATATTCCACCTCCAGAGGTAGAGACAGGCTGATGCTGAGATCAGACACACTGATGCTGGACAATACACTGTTTCCTTTGTACCAGGAGAGACTCACAGCACTCACATTCACCACTGAACACAACAGCGAACATCTGGAGTCTGATAATGATGAGTTGGAGGAAGAGTTGGATGAAGAGTTTGAATATGTGCTGATAATGACAGGAACAGGAAGAACTAAAAAACATAAAGTACAATACTTAATTAGTTATAAAGTAATTGAGCAAATGTAGAGTTGAGCATAGTTTATCTGTGCTACTTCTGACAGATTCTTGATATAATTGCAAATTTAGGAAATGTATTTCTGCATCTCTATTCTTTAATGGTTACACCTGCAGGATTTCTTTATGTACCAGAAAATATTCAAAAATAATAAATCAGTGTGTCAGTGTGACGTTGAACTCACCATAAACAGCAACATTGAATTTCTTGTATGAATTTGCTCTTCTACTGCTGATTATGTTTAGCTTATAAGGGCCAGAATGTTCATTTCTGATGTCTGTGATGGTCAGAGATCCAGTTTGACTGTCTATCTTGAGTCTGTCTCCAAATGTTACATTACTGTCAAACATGTCAATGCTCTGTCTGTACATTTCAGCAATACGAGTCTCTCGAGGTCCAAACATCCACAGTATCTGATCAGTTCTCTGTACTTCAGTAACACCAGTGTTTAAAGTGACAGAATCTCCCTCAGTCACTGATACTAACTTGACTTCATCTGTAGCACCAAACACACCTGAAACACATATATGAAAAATTTATTTGACTGAGCTATTTCACTTTTATGGTTCATTTATTAACCTATTGTCTTTTCAACAGTAACTGTACAGTATGTTAACTATATGCAAAATGTGTTTTGACACAAATCAGTCAAAGTGGCAAATTAGAATAAATTAGACATATAAGATTACTTGCGCTGTAAACGATAAGTGACAAACATCTTACCTTCCATAGGAATAAAGAAGATTAAACCCAACATGTAGCATAACATCTTTGAAGAGTGACTGGCATGACTGTGGTTTCAGTTCTCAGAGCATACGGTGAAGATTCAGCCAATGACTGCTCATACTTTTGCAAGGAAGTCAAAATTAAGCTTAAAATGACGTTTCAAAGACCACTTTGAAGCCAAAAATATGTTTGTTTTCATACTGACAATGAATTGGTTCAATGTACCAAATTTATTACAAATCTTGTATTTTACTCTCACCTTAATTTTTTGAATAAAAAATATTTAAATTTTATTTTTGCACTCTTTAATCTGACAGTTTGCAATGTCTACTGACGTAGGCTAAGATGTAAATGCATGTAGCCGACAAGCGTAAACACCCATCATGTTCAAATATAACATCACCAATCTAAGCAGAACTGTACTGTTGTTAGCACTGTGGTCTGATTAAACCTTTGTGAGAGGTTTGCAAATGCATACGAGGTCAAAGTGTAAGCTCTGGTTGCTTTCTCATCACCACAAACTCACTTTCCGTTTCTTGCTAACATAGAAGAACCCAAAGCTGTCTCCACATACATGAAATACTACTATATTTGCTATCTTTTTATCAAAAATATCATTGACAATTTTGTTCAGTGGCATCTTCTGCAGGTCAAGTCGCCAGTAGATGGCAGTAAATTAATTAAAATATGATTTAATTAAAAAAGCTAAATTTACAAAAGAAAACAAATAAATCGGTGATATTTAAGACATTTTATACCTTTTATACACGTGTCTTTATTAAGATGTGAAACTAAACATAATTATGGACAGAACTACACATATTTACAAAACGTTGTGAGGTAGCTACGTTAATAAGCTTTTGTTGACACTTACCGTTCTGGTAGCTTAATAGCCACAGCTTCCCTCTATTCTCTGAGGTAGAAGTCTATGACGTGATTTGCACATTCAACCTACTGTATTTCTGTGTAATTGTATTAATAACAGCCTACTTGCAAGCTGTTAAGACAGATTATTAAGTTTGGTGTTGCCGCCATTGCTATCGGGTTGTTTTGATTTTGCGCGGTTAATTTCTTGCAAGGAGAGCAATTGGATTGGACATCATTTTCAGGTAATTTTCAAACGTTCATATTTTAGCGAATTTTTTAGAGAGCCTCAATTTTTTTTAATTTAATATATTTGTCGTTTTGATAATTTAAAATTAGTATAAAATAAAAAACCTAAACATTTTAAATGCGAAAAAAATAAATACCAGATTAAAACGTTAAACAAAACGCTGTTTAGACATTATTGAAACCAGCCTAACCATGCAGGCTGGAAATCCTGTGTCCAGCTTAAATCAGGCTGGTTTTAGTTGGTCATTTTTCAGCCTGACCAGGCTGGAAATGGCCAAACCCCTCTTAAACCAGGCTGGTCAACCTGCTAAAACCAGCCAACCAGCTTAGGCTGGTTTAAGCTGTTTTTTCAGCAGTGATAAAAAACCCCAAAATATTTTAAATGTGAAAAAAAATCTTGGATATTAGATTAAAACATAAATACCCACTGCTTAAACATATTTGAAGATACCAATCGTTTTTGGATATTTGGTTTTATTTGTCAGACACTGTACATTGTGCATTGCTGTACATTTTTCACTAAGATAACAGGTATGTCCCAAATAATTTACAAAGATCTTTTACTTATTATAAATCTTATATTATATATATATATAAATCTTTATAATATTTACAAATCAAAATAGAAAAAAGTGAACTCTAGAGAGATACTTTAATAAATGTACCCTAATTTTGCACATATTTTCATGAAATCAACTAGTTCATTAGTTTGATAGATTCACAGCAGATTACACCCCAGAGATGAGCATTTGGATGGCTGACTAAGATCTTCTGTGTCAGTCTGAGACGTTTGTGGGCTGTAGGTCTGCTCATACTCCTCCAGGATCTTCACAACATCCTTTTGCCCGAACTGCATGGCATCGTCTCGAGGAATATTTCCCCACCTGAATGACAGAGGTTAGTTTTAGATCTGATGGATTAGCTAAAGGTAAGCAAATAAAGAAACAATAATCGGTAACACTTTATTTTAATGGTCCATTTGAGTATTAGTAGACTGTCTGCTTAATATCTGCTGATACTGCTCCTTGCCCAACAGTCTGCTCATAATCTAATGAGAATTAGTTTGCATGTAGATGCAATGTAACTTATATTCAACAAACAGACCAGCAAAATAAAGTGTGACCCAATAATCTTTACCGGTCTTTCACAAAAGGGTTGACTTTGCAGGCCTGTATTAAAAATAGCACAACATCCACGTGACCTAAAACAGAGCAGACATGAAAGCCAAATTGGATTGAAGAATAAATAAACCACATAAATATGCTTCACGTTTACAGGAAAAAGTCTACCTTCAGCAGCAGCTACGTGAAGAGGTGTACGAGAGTCATAGTCCCTCAACTCCATATTCATTGATGACAGGGCAAACCTGATGGAGAAAACAGGAGACAAGTAAATAATGCACATTTTGGTAGCAGTCAGAAACTGACAGTGAAAAAGTTGAGAGTGGCATAAAGTAACCTCCTCAGAGCTGAAACATCTCCACTGTGGGCCGCAAACATCAGATTCACCACCGACTTGTTCTACAAGAAGCAGTATATAATTTGTTTATTACTCAAGGCTTACAACTTATCTAAAAATAGCTTAAAATTAGGCATTTCACAGGCTTTTGGTGTTTATTATTGGAGTTTAGTTTCAAACTGTGTTAATGTGAAAGCTGTAGTTTACTCTGTCATCACCAGACTGCCTGCGAGGGTCCTGTTTCTTTAGAAAATGCCTCAGATTGTCATAATTGTGGAAGTTGAACAAAGACACCAGTTCCTATTTAAAAGGAAAGTTATGTTATTACTTTTTTATAATCAAAACTATGGTGTGGAATTAAAAATTAGATAATAAACTAGCAGAGCAATGAATGAAACACCTGACAGAAGCGAATTCCACGGACACTGTTCCCGACTTTGTCCACAGGGGGCGACCAACACATGACACCCATCACATTTGGCACCACCAGAAGAACTGCACCCGACACACCAGATTTAGCAGGTAATCCAACCTGACATGTATTGAAATGTAACAATATACAAGAAGTGTTATTTTAACAAATTCTTAGTATTTTATTACACAAAAGGCAATCATATATTGTTTAGATATTCTTAGAAATCTAAGTATAGATTCATGTGTACATATTGGACCCTATCATACACCCGGCGCAATAAGGTGCAAAACATGTATGGCGCGATTTGTGGCTATTTTCAGACCAGCGCAATAGTAATTTTAATATTCTGCGCTAGGTTGTTTAAATAGCAAATTCATTGTTAAAGCACATTGTTGGCACATTGCTATTTTAAAACTCAAACGGAATGTGCCAATAACCAAATGGTAGGCTGCTCGACCATCCAGATCAGAGCGTGTTAGTTGTGACTATGCAGGAATTAAAGGATTAAAATGCTAAAAAAAAATATTATTTTCTACATAAATATAAAAAACACTGCCTCCATGCTTTCTTCGCCTCGAGGGGCTTTTTCAGTTTATCCATGACAGTTTGCATTTGTATAATGTTTTTATTATTGGCAGTAATATTTATTATATGCAAATTTATATTTGCTTTAATTAAAAAGAAGTTTACATCTGTCCATCTGTCGGGATTTGTTTACGTATGCATCACCATATGGAGCATTAGAATTGGTGTTTGGATATAACCTGGGCCAAATGAAATCTGTGGACATGTTTTGCTATTTCTTTAATTTCTTTAACTTCTCTAATTTTTTTTTTTAATTATGTGGAATGATTTTGGCAGAATCATAACAAACTTAATATATGAAATAAAAAATAATACCTTTAAAACTTTTATGTAATATTTGCAAATCCAATTTGATCTACTTTTTTGGTAAACAAAGTCTCTCACATAATTTCTCTTATATCTTATATAAGTTTACCGTATTATATATCTACTAAAAGTTTCCCAAGGATGGGTTACGGCTGGAAGGGCATCCGCTGCGTAAAAACTTGCTGGATAAGTTGGCGGTTCATTCCGCTGTGGCGACCCCAGATTAATAAAGGGACTAAGCCGACAAAAAAATGAATGAATGAATATCTACTAAAAGGCAGATAATATTACTTTACAAACTGTATTGTAAATAAATCTAAATAAAATGTTTATATTACTCAATAATATACTGAAATACAAAAGTAAATAAATAGACTTAATTATGGGCAAAAAATCTGCGAAAATCTGCGAGTTTCTGTGCGCGCAGATTCTATGTGGGCCTAGATATAACTTTTGACCACACTTCGTTATTGTTCATTTATATGTTTATTGAAATTCAATAATTTAATTAAAACTGAATTTAGAAACAGTTTTTAAACAAATCTTTGTGCTTAACAAACAAAATTAAATATGTAGGCTGATGGATGTCTCAGTGGAGTGCGTACAATACTGTTTCCTTATCCAAAAGTAAAGGAGTAAAGAGTCATAGTAAAGAGAAATTAAAGAGGCTGAATGGAGAAGGCTCATTCTTTTTCCTTGCTCTGCAGGTGGTTTGTTTAAATGTTTTCTTACTAGTGAAGCCTTCAGTTTTTGAGAAGAAGTCTGCCATGTAAATAGCAGATGTACCATGGCGCAACACAACTAACTCCTAAAGTGAATGGGAGATGGGACTCTGATTGGTTTAATGCACATTGTACTGAAAACACACCCATTACCCAATAAGAGAATAGGCTCAACCCTGTTAGACCATGCGCCGTGGTGCAGAGCGTATTTTTCCATCCTTAAAATAGAAACAGTGGGTTTCAGATACGCCCCTAATACTTTTGTGCCATGCGCTTTAGACTTTACGCCTAGATCGTTAAAATAGAGCCCAATATCTTTGAGAGGTTTACCTAATGCATATAATTTAATAATTATAGTCATTCAGCCCTTTTCCTGGAGATCCACCTTCTTGAAGAGTTTAGATGCAACTTTGATCAAACACATGCCTTTAATTACTAAGTGCTCATTCAGATCCTACTAAGTGGGTTTAGTTGTGTTTGGTCAGGGTTGGAGCTGAACTTTGCAGCAAGGTAGATCACCAAGAATAGGGTTGAGCACTCCTATCATATATTATCTATCTGAAACATGCTAGCATTAGCAATAATATGTACTAGCAGCTGCCTAGCAACACTGTAGACTTGTAGAATCATGTAAAAGCCACCCAGAGTACCCTAGAAATGACACAAAACACTCTAGCAACTGCACAATATCCTTGAAACTCCCTAGAATACACTAGCAACAGCCTAGTAATCATCTAGCATAGCCTGGCAAACATATAGAAAGACCCCATGCCTAGCAACATCAAAGCAAACATCCAGAATACCCAAGCTACCACCCTGGCAACTGGAGGAAACACTCTAGCAACTTCTTGAAAAACCTAAGCAACTGCCCAGCAACCAAATATTAAACATTGCCAACAAAATAAGCCAAAACAACCAATCAACCATCTATCAAAAAGTAGTATAATATGCAGTGTGACAGTCAGTTCAATTACTCACATGGAAAGCGAACTGTCCCGAGTAGTCGTACATCCCGCAGGAGTGCATGAGACTGAGTGTGTTTCGAACAGCTTCTGTGCTCAAAACTCTCTCTCCCGTGATTGGACAAATTCCACCATTCGCTAATGTGGCGGCCATTACGCTGCCCGACTCGCAGGTGACCTCTATGGCGCACAACTAGGAGGGACAGAATGTAAAGTCTTACTGGATTGTTAAGTCCAACAATGGACAAGCGAAAACTGGGCTTACCTGGAAATAAAAATCCAGCGCGTCGATCATTTCCACTCCATCAGGAAAACACTGTAAAGAAGATTGTCACAGTTGCATTTGCATTTAAAAAATCTAATTTTGGGCAAAAACAATGAGAATGTTTTCATCCACCTATTTTCATAAGCATTTTGGATTTTTTGTTTGTGTGTAAAAAATGCTTCATGGAGACAAGATGTGCATACATTTTGAAAATGAACAATCTAAAACTGATTTTTTTTTTTTTTACACAAAAGGCAATCATATATTGTTTTGACCAGAGATGCCCAAACTACAGCCCACGGACCAGAATTGGCCCATGGTAACCTTTGATTTGGCCTGCCATCCCATCTGAGAAGAAAGGGAGAATGATGGGAAGGTTGGAGCACATGCCTTCAACAGAGATTGAAATTCCTGATTTTAATGTAACATTTTGTCTGTTTGTTTAATTGTTGAGCAACAAATGTTGTGCATAAATCAGATTTTAAAAAATGCAAATACTGTTCCTTGAAGGATTATCGATGAGTAGGCCCACAGATTTCCGCAGAATTTTAGCCCATCATTGAGTCTCTGTATTTACTTGTGTAAATGTGTGTAAATTTATATTCAGTTTTTAAAATAAATTTCACTAATATTATTGTGATATAATAAAAGTAATAATTAAAATGTTCATATGATTTATTTACAATACAGTTTGTAAAGTAATATTTTTTGTCTTTTAGTAGATATATTATACGAGAGACTTGCTTTGTTTACCAAATACGTGGATCTAATTGCATTTGCATTGTAAACATTAAATAAAAGTTTAAAAAATGTATCACTTTTTATTTCATATTTTAAGCTTTTAGTTATGATACTCCTAGCATCATTCTAAATATATCCACAGGTTTTTTATAAAATTCTCTGCAGAGATAGCAAAAAATGTCCTCTGATTCCGTCTGGCCCTATCTATGAGCAAATCAAGGCAATGGCAGGTGCAGCTTGACTTGTGTATTCAGCATTTAACACCATTGCGTTATAAATTAGATTGTTTATGTTTTTTTTATTGTAAGAAGTATAACATGTAAAAAAAAAAAAAAAAAAAAAAAAATATATATATATATATATATATATATATATATATATATATATATATATATATATATATATATATATATATATATATATTTATTATAAAATATTAATAAATTAGGTGATTACCATGGCAACTTTATTGTAATATTTTGGTATATTTACTTTCAGGCCACCACTTTCAATGAAGTTTGGTTTTTGGTCCTTTATTAGAAAAAGTTTGGGCACCCCCAGTTTAAACATTTTTAGAGTAGGATAAACTTTTTATTTGCGCATCTTCTGAAATGTTGTTTTGGTATAAACTGCATTAGCCAAAGTTCCTCATTAAAGTGATTCTCTCTTATTAACTCTCAGAACTGACTTGAGTATCTATGCTCCCATAATAATCTCTTTACTAGTAATTTATTGTGTAAGAAAGAAGGCCCCCAGTGGTTTCCTCTAGCACAGTAAATTAATTTCTCTTTTTGAAATTTGGCTTCAGTTTATCAGGAAGTGAACATTTTGACTCACTGGATGGAAACAATGTTTTTTTGCAAATGTTTTATGTGATATTCCAGTTTTGCACATAATTTTAATTAGCATCTTTGGATGGAAACATAGCTATTGTTTCTTTAAGTAACCTTTTTCTCTTTTAGGTAGTATCCTATTGCATAGTTTCTGTCTCCTGTCTCCTTTTCTGACTGGAACCTGTTCAAACAAAATCAGATGAGTCAATAGTGAGTCAACAGGTGGAAACAAGCTTAGAATATCAAACTAATAAGACATACGTTGCGTTGCTGAAGCCCACGTACTCACTGCCTGTCATCTTCTTAACAAAGTCCATTACCTAAAATTGAGACCCAACAAAATCAGTGCAACTACCAAATTTGAAATAGCATCTGGTCTATTGAATGAAAAAGTTCACAGACACATACACTATTAAAATTTAAAGTACTGCGAAGAATCGTAAATGGGTTTTTATAAATTATGATGTAAATGAATAACAATTGATTCCCTCAACAATGTTTTAGCGGTATGAAGAACAATTTCACAATCTAAAGCAAATATTTTCAAGACAAAGAATCTTTTATTATGGAATTAAAGTGTCCCAAATAAACAGATAATTTTTAAAAAAGGTAAATAACATTGACTTTATGATATAGCAAAAAGGTGGTGTGCACTACTTTTTTGGCTGTACAGATGAATAGGCCTTGTTCCAATTAAGTATAATTTTTGGTCCAATAAAGAACACATATAAGTTATAAATGTAATAAAGGCAGGCTGGAATTTACCAGAGTTTTAGTTTTTGGCAAATCAATCTTTTGTAAAATGAAAAGAATCCTACTTACATAGTCAAACTTCTCTGCCTTGTTGACACCCTGCTTGCCAGAAAGAAAAATAAAAGCAAAACTTTTTTTAATTGTGGGTGACTTGTGGATTCTAGCTAGTACTGTTGAACTCTGAAAAACCTAGAAAGCATCAATTTCACACATGCAGTATAAAGGCCACTTTTACTGGTCTGGATCTAGTCCAGTAATACTCATACAGTAGCTTCACAAGGTCAGGCTACACTGGCACTCCAGTCCATTTGCTTTGAGCTGGAATTCGGGTCAAAGTTTGGTGAGATTAAATGAACTCCTGGTCAAGCCAGCATGTCGATGTGTGTATCATGTGTTTGTTTTGGTACGTGAGTCTTGTTCTATTTGAACTCTTGGTTTTGATTACTCTGATGTTTACCTTGATAAGTGAACTGATGACAATCGCTCCAGCATTGACCATGGGATTGTGAGGTTTATCTAAAAACAGAAATTATTCACGTTATTTTATTCAACATGAGCTACTTAAAACATATAACATTATATAAATATATTATTTCTATCCATCTGGGTGAATTTTCTTCATCCACTGGTTCCCCAAGGGTCCATTTTGGGCCCTATGTTGTTTTCATTGTTCAAGTTGCCCATGCCATGGGTTATATTTTTAGAAAACACAAATTCTCTTTTCATTGCTATGCAGATGATGTTCAAATGTATCTACCCATCAAAACTAGTAACAAAGCCTCAGTCAAGTCTTTACTCAATAGTTTGAGAGATCCTAAAGAGTGGTTGGACTGTAAACTGTGAGGTACATACGTGAAAAGTATAAGATAAGCACAAAATTGCAAGTAGCTCTAAGTAAACATTTTTAGACTTGTTGGAAATGTTAATTAATTTTAAATGCCAATTGCCTGTTTAGATTCTTCCATTTTTTAAAGAATAATATCAGAAATATGAAGTATTCAGACATTACAGCCTAGCAGAAAACAGCTAACTTTTCCATCCTCTTGGTTGTTTATATGATAACCCAATCTAATTTTCTCATCCACCTTCTTCATCAAGCGAGAGTTTGTTGAATTTGAATCCGCTGGGCTCTTTTCCCACATACTGATGCACATGCTCCGTCCCGTGTTCATGTACAGCGATGGCGTATTCCAGCGGCTTCACACATGACTGCAGGCAGAACGGCACTTTTGTATCTCCCACCGAGTGCCTGAAATCAAAGAGGGGATTTAAAACTTGAAATTAGAGCTGCACAATATTCGAAAAATGGAACATTGCAATATATTTTTATTCTGCGATAGGAATACAATTTACCTAGATGTGCTAAATAACTATTTGGAAAGAATATTTATCATTTTAGATTAATTGGCATGATTCTGTAGAGGAGTGCATATCAATAAAATATAGGAAACACTCTACAAGCATTGACAAATTCTATAAAGAAAAAAATACTAATTAAATAAAAAGTGTTTGATTGTTGAATAATCAAATAATAAAATGTAAAATAATACTGCATCATCTTTTGTTTTATAAACAATTAAATTGTTATTAATTTGTCAAAGTTACAAATGCCAAAACTCTTAGGCCTGAATGCTTTTAAAACCCTCACACAGTCACAGGCCTCAAAAACACTTGTAAAATGATCAACTATAAAATTTAGACTTAACATAGCGTATACGTATTGCGTATTGTAAATGATCACGTTGTGAAATCGATGCTAAAACAATATATTGTACAGCCCTATTCAGAATATTCGCAAATGTCTGGAGGCCGTGTTTCGTTTTATAAATTTACCTTTGTCCATCCACTGTGCACAATGAGACGCCCCAAAGATCAGGACTGAACTTGGTTAGATGGGGAATGTATTTCGCAACCTAAAAAAAAACTAAATGAGTACTATTCAATTAAGTACATAAAGTGAGGTAATAAAATACACATCTTACCTGTCCATCTTGTTGCAGTTTTGATGTGTAATAAATGTGATTGATGATGTCCACAAATGCCTCAAATTCAGGAATGATGAACTTTCGTCTGAAAGCGAGACTCAGGAGAACAATGTTGCCACTTGCACATCTGTATAACGTCGGAAACTTTTGCAACTTAGTCACTATATAAATACACTTATTTTTGTAGGAAATTTGTTTTGTTTTAAAACACAATATACTCGCTTTTTGAATAGCTCGCGGTCCATCATGACCTCACCAGTCGAATCTCGGACAGCTCTGCGAATTTTTTCCATACAGTCTCGTAATCTTGGATCAGAAGTCAGCAATCCGGTGCTTTTCAAAGCCTGTAAGATACAGAAAATACTGTTCTTTCTCTTCATTGTTCACATTCATGATAACTATACCAATAATAATAAAGGTTTTAATACATTTAGACAAATTGCAGAATCCACACCACAGCTATAACAATAACGTAACAGTTTATAGCTCACAGAATGTTCTTTTTAAAGGTTTGTAGATTGTTACAATGTTCCCCAACTTCTTCACTTCGATATTATTAACACACAGTCAGTATCTTCCAGCAAATAAAATTATACAAGCACAATCATATAGTCTCAGAAATAAATGAGAGCTGTATCTGTGGGAATACATTTCAAAAGATTCACATTTGTTCCTTAATATTAGTTCCTAAAACTTTGAGGTACCATTATGGAACAAATGTGTATCTTTTGCAAAGGTACCACCCCAGAGACAGCTCTACTATTTTTATATCTGAGAGTGTATAGAGGAATAAATAAGACTTTTGTCCATTAATGTGTAAAAATTATTAGATTTGGCAGGGTACCCAGTTTACTCGGCACCAAAGAACGATAACTTCAGCACAGTCCAGGCCCGTAGCCAGCCTGGTCAAAAGGGTGTTTTTTTTTTTCTCCAAAAGTGGGCCTTTTCGCAGTTATACGCCTCATTTTCTTTTCAATTATGAGGTTTAAATACTGCATTTTAGTGACATTTTAGGCACTATTTTTTTGGCTGAATCAGCTTATCGGATGGTCATCACAACCAAACTTTTTGATGTACCAAAACAAATTCCTAAACAATTAGAATAAAGAAATATGAAAAACTCTTATTTTAAAAATATAAATGTTTAAAAATACAAATGCTATGTTAAAATACAATTTTATTACACCATATCCTAAGAAAGAAATTAATCTATTGTCATTTATTAGGCAAATAACAAACTGGCCAGCACATTTAACTTCACTTAGTCAAGAGTTTGGCAGTTTGAATAAGAAAAATTAAAGCATAATAATGTAGAGTTTCACGATTTTTCTAGGCTCTTGTGTAAAAAAAGTACATTTAAAAATTCAAGGATAACAACAATATATAGCCAAATTACTACAATAATCATGAATAATAATAATTCCTTACATTTATATAGCGCTTTTCTGGGCACTCAAAGCGCTTTACACAATGGGGGGAATCTCCTCATCCACCACCAGTGTGCAACATTGACCTGGATGACACAACAGTAGTCATTTGCACCAAAACGCACACCACACACCAGCTGATTGGTGGAGAGGAGACAGAGTGATTAAGCCAATTATGATATGGGGAGGGTTAGGAGGCCATGATGGACAGAGGCCAGTGGGCAGATTTGGCCCTACTCTTCTTCGAAGGACATCCTGGGATTTTTAATGACCACAGAGAGTCAGGACCTCGGTTTAACTTCTCATCCAAAAACGGCGCTCACTGAGCAGTATAGAGTCCCCGTCACTATACTGGGGCATTAGGATCAACACAGACCGCAGGTTGGGCGCCCTCTGCTGGCCTCACTAACACCACTTCCTGCAGCAACCTAGCTTTCCCATGTGGTTTCCCATCCAGTTACTGACTTAGCTTCAGTGGGTGACCATGTGAGAGTTGCAGAGAGCTAGCTGCCAGTTATATTAATTTTAATATTAATTTAAAATTCAATTTAATTTTAATATGGGATGCTTTTGGTGCTTCACACCTTTTTATTCGTCTTTTTAGTTTCAAGAATAAGGATCAAGATTTCGAATAAAAGCTACCTGTAAATGTTTTCTTTATTTAACAAGAATACAGTGGGTCAGGGGTGAAAGATGACTTCACTTGCATCAGATTGTATGTGTTCTTGCACAGCTGGATGTTGGACTCATGAAAAATAATTGTTTGCATAGGCCAAAACTAATTAGCTGAAGTCACAACAGCCAACAGAGGATTCCACTTGGTCTTAAAGCCTTTTTCGATGAGTTATTTTCACAATTTATGATGACCTCATTCAAATGATATGAAGTTGAAGTCAGAATTATTAGCCCCTCTGAATTATTAGCCCCCCTGTTTATTTTTTCCCCCAATTTCTGTTAAACGGAGAACAGATTTTATTAATTTAACTAGACAGGTTAGCGTAATTAGGCAACTTATTGTATAACGATGGTTTGTTCTGTAGACAATAAAGAAATATATATAGCTTAAAGGGGCTAATAATTTTGACCCTAAAATGGATTTAAAAAATTAAAAACTGCTTTTATTCTAACCAAAATAAAACAAATAAGACTTTCTCCAGAAGAAAAAAATATTTTCAGTCATATTGTGAAAGTTTGCTTGCTCTGTTAAACATAATTTAGGTAATATTTATAAAAAAAAAGAAAACAAATCAAAGGGAGGCTAATACTTCTGACTTAAACTGTATGAGACAAATTCTTGACTTTGTCAGAAAGTGGTGGGTCTTTCGAACCACCCGAAACCCCCCTGGCTAGGGGCCTGCAGTCTGTGTATAAAATAACCTGCAGGGAGCGTTCTAGGAAAATTATTTTTAGGTCGTGGAAATGATAACCTAAAAATAACCACGAGGGAATGTTATGTATAGGTTATTCAAAACAACAACCCTGCAATTAAACAAAAAATAAAATAAACCTCTAAAGAGTTTTCACATAAGGTTACGTGTTTGGTTCTAAAGAAAAAGTCATCAAATGGGAACGAAAAACTAATGTTAGGGGAATGTTACATTGTTGGAGATATTGTTGAAATCACTTCTAGAAGGATTATTTCTAGCTAATGAATGATAAATTCATTGACAGCCATTTAACATTTAAATACAAGAACACAGAAACACAGACAATCAACCTGGTAACTATGCAAGATTTTTTTATCTAAAAATAAAAAGCTCATTAGATGTCATGTAAACATAAGCATCTGTACATTTATACATTATATTATATGTTATTAGCCTGTCATTTGGTGGTCATGTGCTAGACCACCATCAAAACTTTCCTTACCAACAAATGCAGGCAAATTTCAGCAGAGAAAGGGGCATTTATTGACCTTGAATATATTTATTACACAACCCCATGATGACTCATGTTATATGTGTGTTTGTGTCAATGAAAAAACTCACAGCAGTGAAATGAGACACTGGAACTTTCTCCGCTCCTTCAGTTATAGTGTAGAAGAGCATGTCCTCCAGTCCAGAGAAGAGATCTTTATTCGTCATATTTCTGCTTTCATAAGATAAGTCCATACATGCTAGTCTCTTGTAACCTGTTTAAAGACAGTCTATACGCTACATTTTTATGTATATGTATTTTTATCCGGTATAAAAGTGACTCACGCTTTTGATTTAGGTTGATCTGCGGATGCCGCCTCAGTAAACTTGCTGATCACGTTAACCCGCGAAAATAAACTTAACGGCCCCCTGACTACATTCGGACTCCTCACGCTACTTTTTACGGCATCTTTCGACAGTAAACCAATAAGTCCAATATTGGGTAGTCGCAGGGTCCTTAAAGAAAACATATTACAGTATCTTATTCCTGTTGGAGCTAAAACGGTGATCTCTATGTAGTTCTCGTGGGTAATGAATAACGGTGTCCGCGTCCGGGTCTCGTGCGTCTGTTTGTACTGAGCCGCGTCGACAGGTGCGCGAGGGTCACTTTATCAGCGCTGACGTCGACTGATAGTTTACAGTCACACATTACTGAATAACTTACTCTATCAAAACAACAGGGGCTGCAGTGACCTCCTGGCTCCTGTCATGATGTTGAGTTTTTTTTAAAGAGGTTTCCATGCTCTTTGCTGAATCTATTCACATATTAAACCCACATGGGAAAAAAAACTATAGTTATGGCTACCTTAATAGGCCTTCTTTCTGAACTGTAGTAAAGTGTATTATAGGCTACTGTATACAATATTTACAAACCTTTGTTAATGAATCCTACATGAACGCTTTATATTTATAAATCATTTGAATCTACTAGAAGCTCACTGACTTTGATTCTGGGGATTTTTGGCTTTGTTTGCATATAGATTATCTTGAAATACACATTTTAGTTACTTCACAACTGGACATAACGTTTTTAAGTTGTAAAAGTTAAACACTCAATTTCATTTATATCCAAAAGAATGTTTAAGCCCTTGACTAACTTCTAGTGTGACAAACTAATTCTCAAGTTGCCTATAATAATTACAATAATCTAAAAATGTATAATTACATGGTCAGTTTAGAAGAATATAACCATTTTATTCATTTAGAAATCATTTTAAGACTTATTAATAGTTTACTGTGTGCAAAATGGTTAATTATTCTTTTTTTAATGGGACAGAATCACTGTTTAATGAATGATAGATATAACAGCTAGTAGGAAAATATAGTAAAGTTTAGGTAAAATCTTAGATAATTACCATGTCTTTATTTTATCAAAATTGCTGTAGCTATATGCTTTTGTGGGTGAATTGATTAGCCTACCATGTTACAATTATTTAATTATATAATAATTATAACAAATACCACAAATAAACTAGTTCAGGAAAACCATGGTTAAGTTGTGGTTATGGTTTAACTCCATTAACCATGTTTTTTTTTCCTATTTATTGTAAAGCTCCTAATTTATATATAATTTACAAAGATGATCTTGCCAAGAGGTCTTCAACTTACAACATTAAAATAAAATATAAGGATAATACAGCCTATAAGCATTTTGAATTCAGTTTATTTTAATCTGCCAAACACATGGACTCAATGCATTTGGGCATATAGACATGGTCAAGACGTTCTACTGCAGTTTAAACCGAGCATCAGAATGGGGAAGAAAAGTGATTTAAGTAACTTTGAGTGTGGCATGGTTGTTGGTTCCCGATGGGCTGGTCTGAGTATGTCAGAAACTGCTGATGTACTGGGATTTTCACACACAACCATCTCTAGGGTTTACAGAGAATGGTCTGAAAAAGATCAAATATCCAGTGAGAGGCAGTTCTGTGGGTGCAAATGCCTTGTTCGTGTCAGAGGTCAGAGGAGAATGGCCAGACTGGTTTGAGCTGATAGAAAGGCAACAGTAGCTCAAATATTTTCAGATATCTTCTTGGCACATTTTGGGCACATTAGTGCCATTTGAGCATTGTGTCAGTGCCACAGCCTACCTGAGTATTGATGACCATGTCCATACCCTTATGACCACAGTGCAGGATACCAGCAGGATAACATGCCATGTCATAAAGCACGAATCATCTCAGACTGGTTTCTTGAACATGACAGTGAGTTCACTGTACACAAATGGCCTCCACAGTCAACAGGTCTCAATCCAATAGAGCACCTTTGGGTTGTGATGGAATGGGAGATTCGCTTCATGGATGTGTATTGAAATAAAATATATTTAAACAGCCAAATCCAGCTAAAAATAAAAATAAAATATTATGTTATTTCTGGAAAGAGATTGCAGATTCTTTAGGGTTTTTTTTTTTTTTTTTGGAAAGTTTATTGAATTTGTACATTCTTACACTTATGTGTACTCCATTTAATAGTTAATGTGGCACAATGTGAAAACCAGCAACTGACACTTTCAAACAATTAATGGCAATACATCTGTTTCACCGTGAAGCAAATACTTATGTCAGAAACAGTGATGAATATTTGATTTGACTTAAGGCAAGTTCAGGCAAAAGTCACTTATTAGGCAAGAGAAATAAATGCCATTGAGAAACAAGAAATAAGGGCAAGGTGTTGAAAGTAATATGGACACACTTAATTATTCATAAATATATAAATTTAGATCTCATAAATACATAACTAAATTCACAGTCATCTAGTCAAAACCCCAAAATGAAGCGGCATCCAGTGTATAAGAAAGAAACCAATAGTAAGAGTTTAAGAGCTTCTGGTCTAAAATAACCTTTTTTAACCGCACTCCAAATTTAAACACCTTTTGCTGGTTTTGGCATCACCAGCTTCAAGGCAATATCGACAAAGCAAGCAGGCATATAAGACAAGGGGATCCACAAAAACTTGGCATCCCAGCCAGCGCTGTAGCGAGTTCTTGGGTGGACGGCTAGCAGAGCGTGCTCCATGCAGTTGGTCACTTTACTGAGGTCAGAGTCGCAGATGGCGTTCATGATCAGCCTCTGGATCCAGATGTCTGGAGAGATAAAAATAGTGTTTTTTAGTCTTTTTTTAAAATTATTTCTAAAACAAAAAATAGAATTTTATATATTACAAATAAATGAAACTATATGTTTTACATCGTTGTATGGCCATATATATGCTTTGTTTATGAGATACAAAAAGTAAAGAGTCCCAAAAAAGTGGTACAGCACGAATCGATACTTTGATATTTCCGGAAGCGGAAACTGAAATAAATGTGGACCCTGTTGCAGTGGTCCCCAACCTTTTTATCATCATGGACCAGTTTTATTTATGGAGAAAATGACAAAGCATTGCAATTTTTGGATGTTCTGTGTTTGAGATAATTAGTCAGTTCTTGTCACATGACTTGCGGTGCGCTCACAGCATTCATTCAACTGGGCACGTCTGGAAGGCACAAGCCACGCACCTCCATTGGAATTAACGAACTTGCAGAAGCTGTAGAAAAGACACGATATGTGAATGGCCCCTAAAGCCACCGTCATTTGTGATCTCCAGCAGTTGATCTTCTTGCACAGAAATGGTGGATTCACCCAATTTGTTGACAAATGGGTAGCAGATCTTTCCTTGGCAGTTCCCAAGTCCTTCACTGGGCCTTTTCCCTTTAGCAAAGAAACTTTTCAAATACATCTGTTTCTTACTCATTTTGCTGCTTGTAGGTTTAATTTTAGTGAACAAGTGACCGAGATTTAAGAGAATGCGGTCATGTTTCAAAATAAAAGATTTTTCAAAATAAAGATCGTTCTGACTCAGATAATAAATAAAACAGAAATAATTAATGATTTCTTTGGTGGCCTGGTACCAATTGATCCACAGACCAGTACCGGTCTGCAGCCCGGTGGTTAAGGACTACTGCCATATTGTACTGTACCAAACCATACTGTAACGGTCAGTGTAAATAAGCCATAAATTGACTATTTTTGGTAAAATGGGAAAAAATGGCAGTGCTTAGCATGAAAAACATACATTTATCCAAGTATTTGTCTCCGTAGCTCTCCTTCACTTCAGGAGTCAGTTGGTTCCAGAGACGATGAAGTTCCCTCTCGATGGGCTCCAGGCTGGTCACCTGCGTCTTGAAGAAACCAGGTTCGATGATGCAAACATTGACCCCAAAACCCTGAATGTCCCTCCTGAAATTACATCAGAACTCATCAGATTTCTCATGAAAACTGAGGCTATGTTTACAAGACAGTGATGTAGCCAAACAGAGAAATGTTTTAACCTTGTGTTTGAAATTTTTTTCACTCAACAATGTTTTTAAAGCAATCTGTGTTACACATCTGCAAAAATGGCCAAAAATGCAAAATTCTAAAGTTTGCATTTAGATATTGCTTGACGCTATTTGCAGGTTTGGCATGCTGTCCCGGAAGAGAACCCTGAGCTCAAAGATATTAACATGTAAGGAGGACCGAGATCAGGTACTGTAGTTCTTGAGAGCTCCTCCTGGTAAAGCAGGAAAAGGGGGAAATGGGGTGGATGGGGGGATTTTTGAGAGCTTAAAGAAGAAGATAAGGGAGTAATGCTCAACGGGTTATTTATAGAGAGTTTGGAATAATCCAATTTTCTTACTAATAACAGATGAGAGACCAGTCATGATCAATTCTATCATTTGCTCCTCTCGAAATAAGTTTGTAAAACTCCACTCATAAAACTTCACTCATAAGTGCTCAAAAATGACATATGCCAGACCAGTATTTGGCGCGATCACTTTGTTAGTAAACAGTAAGGAAGTTACAATGTGCCATTGATGGTTTTGAAATGGTTTGTAGAATTTGCTGTGTGTGTAGGATGTGTTTTGGTTGTAATGTGAAGTAAATCCACACTTTGCTAATAAAGCATTAGCAAACTCTTAATTAACAACACAACCTCACACAAATTGTGTGTTTGTTTGTGCTTGACCTTAATCTACACGTACACAAGCATGACATCATCATTTTGAAAGACTCTGGTTCTGAGGTGTTTACACGGTCATGACAATGGTGGTGTTTTCAAAAACCTCCACTTAACCTATTTTTCGATTTTTCATTTTCAGACCTAAATATGCTGTTGTAATGTAAATAAACAGGTAAAACATATAAAAAAGGTTAACATTTTTGGCTACAAGCATTATGTAAAGGGCCCGTGAATAATACATGTTATTCTTGATGTTTATGTTTTCAACCCAGAACTTTCACTGACTATTACATAGAAGTCAGTAATCGAATTATTTGCCTTAATCCGAATAAGACAATAATATAATTAAGGTGTCATGAGTTGCCTTTTAAATGCTCCTTTCATGACCCATTTTACATGTTATAGTTTATAATTCGATAAATGTCATGACGTCCCCATTCAACGCTTGTTTCTCCAGTCTCCGGCGACTAGACTTCAGCTTTGCACAAGAAGTTTGACCAGAGGAGAAATGAGAACTGAGCCTGGTTTCTCTCGAGGTCGTTTCCTTCAATTGCTGATGTTTGTTTCCTGCCACTGTCTTCACCGGCTTGTTTGGTTCTGGACTTGTGGAGCTGTGCATCGATGGATTTGCTCTTCAGTGTTTAGACTTTCAGCAGTGAGAATTAAACCACACTGAACTAAACTTACTTCAACTCTGAAAACTGGACTGACACAGTTTCAATCTAATAGAACTTCTGTGTTAAGCTGCTTTGACACAATCTACATTGTAAAAGCGCTATAGAAGTAAAGATGAATTGAACTGAACTGAATTGAACGCTAGTTTCCTCAGGCATTTTACGCAACAACAGTTTTTGTTCATTATTTCGTTTCGTTTTAATCTTGCCACAAGTTCAACTCATCGTTCAGTTCATTTCTCACACTGTGCGTGCAAACAGACAATGACAGATGCAAATTATCAGGCAACAGGCCACCTCTGCCATTTCATTCACTAACTTTTCATTCCTGCTACCATGACAAACTCTGAATGAGGTAGTGGATGAGAGTGCACAGTAAGGACTAGTGAAAGAATTCTTAGCATATTGTTGCCTGCTTGCAACAAAAATGTGCTTTCTTGCTTGAAGCCATTCAAATTTGTTTGTCGTCACTTAGTACTACAAAATGGTAACAGTTTGATTAAGGTGTTAACATGTCTGTACTGCACTTCAATGATACGAATAACTTTGGAAAACACATCTTACTTTGATTTCTGTTAATTCGATTATGACGTTTGTCGGATTAAGGTCATCAAACAAACAAAACATGCTAAGAAAACAATGCTAAAGTCAGTTATTCTCCTTTGAAAATGTGTGTTCCGTGTCAATGTCTGGCTGCGTCTGAAATTCCCTACTACTCAGTGGGTACTGCATTTCAATTTAAACGTATCACTCAGTCGTTAGAAAATAAAATTCTATACAGTATGAATGTGAAAAGTATGAATGGAATTCTGACGTACTACATCCACCATTTTGTCATGGTCACGTGACCTACCTGCGTCAGTTGCATCCCTTTAGTCTCATTTATGAATTCTTTCGCGGGGCATCATGGGATAGCGCAGCGTGCATGGAATCTTTTAATCGGAGAGTTGCCTTAATTGCATTAAAACTAAAGTATTGGTGTAAATGTACCGATTTATATGCAATACCTGAGACAGTCGGAGAAACTCTCCACTGCAAACTTCGAGATGCAATACCCGCCGCCATTAGCTGCAACTCTACCCAACACCGACGCCACATTTACAACCCGTCCACGGGCCTTTTTCACAAGTGGTAAGAAGGTCATGGTGGTCTCGATCACACCAGTCATGTTGACTTTGAGCGTGCTTTCGAAGTCCTCGATTTTCATCCACTCCGATGGACCCATTGGAAGGGAACGTCCGGCGTTGTTCACCAAACCCCAAAGTCCTAAAAAGTCAGCAACGAATACGTCAAAATTGTGTCAACTTTTATTTTCGAGGCCCAAAACTTAAGCTCACCTTTATCTCCAACTTCTTTTTTGGTCCATTCCATAGCCTTCTGGATGCTAGCCGAGCTGGTCACATCCAAAATGCAGGTCTTCAAGAAAGGTCCTGCGGCTCTTTTCAGATCATCTGCGCCTTTTTCCGTAAGACACCCGGCTAGGACGCGGAAACCACGTTTGTCCAGACGTTTGCACAGTAGGTTACCAAAACCAGAGTCACAACCGGTCACAAACACATGTTTTTCTGAGACTCTAGTGATCTTTAGGTTGTCCCGGTAGAACCATACCAGAACCCACAGAATCGCAAACGTACCCAATGCATATGTGCTGGGACAGCTGTTATTGTAAGCACAAAATGTTTAGTGCAAAGTTTACATAGTTGGTGCATTTGCTTACAGTGTTGTAATCAGACATGCTCTTACCTCAAGAACTCATACATCGCTTCTACCTCCTGAGTGGCTCTGCGGAGATGTTTTGTAAACAATTGCCTTTTGGTAGAATGCCAGTGACGTAAAAAAGAAAAAGAAAAACACAGCAGTGCAGGTGTAATTAATGCAGGAAGAATCAGGATGCAATGCATTTAATCGCCACAAGGGGCACCATAATAATCCAACAAAGCAAAGCATTTTGTAATGTAAAAAAATAATAATAATCTGAACTTATTGAAAAATTTGAATAATTTATCCTATGCATTCTAAAGTGTTTTAAATATTTTACAACTATAAAACACAATCAATTTCTAATTTGTTTGCAGATTTGTTTTAATAATTAAAGTTATTGATTGAATTACACAAATATAAGTTAATTTCGTTATTTCTTTACACTTTAAACATTTCCTTTACACTTTTTGTTGTTGTTAAGCAAAACTGATGTATATTTTAAATATATATATATTTTAAATATATATATATATATATATATATATATATATATATATATATATATATATAAATCTTTTTTCTTTTTTTACATATTTCCCAAATGATGTTTCAAACACACCCATATATATAAGGGGTGTGCACAGCAGCCGGTATTTGTAACTGTAGTTGTATTTGTTGAGGGGGAAAAGTATTTGTATTTGTATTTGAGTTCGATTCAAAATAAGCGTAAAAATCCTTTTTTTCTTTTTTTTTTGCGTTACACTTCTAATTTTACGTTATAGTGCAGGTTTTCTTTAATTCATTAATTCATTCATTTTCTTATTGGCTTAATCCCTTTATTTATCCGGGGTCACCACAGCGGAATGAACTGCCAACTTATCCAGCATGTTTTTACACAGCGGATGCCCTTCCAACCGCAACCCATCTCTGGGAAATATTCTTTAATTACATCCATTATAATAATTATGGATATGCAATATTGGTTGATGTTTTCGAACATGTAACAAGGAACATCATTGAAAAGAAAATAACATAACAGCCATCGACTCATCCATGCTTATACCAACAATTAATAAAATACCATTGTGAACATTATGAACCCCACCACCCCCCATCCTTGTTGGAGGACACAGAACACAGAAAAAAACAAAAATTTAAAAAAACAAATAATACTTCAAAGAACTGTTCTTCTTCTAAAATAACTTCTCTCTAATGCACAGAATTCTAAGAACTAAAATTTATCAACCCCTGATTGGGACATCTGGCTGAACAAAAGTTGTATTCTATGTAATACTAAAAAATACAGGCCTGATATTGTCAAATGTCTGCCAAAAAACAGACACAAAAGTTTTTTTTTTTTTTTTTGTTGGGGTGGATAAGCCTGTTTTGCATTAAAAGCAGCTAATTTGTGATTAAAACTGACTTGCAGAGGGCAGAACATGGCTGTGTTGACGTTTTGGTGCTTGTGGAGGTTTTGGCAGAATATGGCTCTGATGATGGTTTGGTGCTGGTGGGGGGGTGAATTGGTGCTTGTGGGGGGGTTGGCAGACAGTACCAGGGGAGGATGCTTTAAGTATGTGATTATGCATAAATTACCGTGCAAACAAAGCTACGTAAACAGAGCAAACGTGAGAGCACCCGACTGCAGACGTTAATAATGCAGCTCCCGATCATACGTCACTTTCCAAAAACTGTCTCCAGAACCCAGTTAAGGTACAAACATCTATTCAACTTAAATAGTGACGAAGTCAAGATTTTTTTTTTCCCTCAGTCAAGCCTTCTCTGTTGCTGTATGGGCTCGGCAATAATATCATCTCGGGCTCGGAGCAGCCAGCCTTCTTCGTCTTTTTCTTGTAATTTTACGGCGGTTAGCATCCAGCGTTTTGGTGCATTACCGCTACCTTTAGCTTCGGAGTGTGGAACCGAGGTTAGGTTTACAGACTAATAATTTTTCTCCCCACTTCCCTATTTCCCACCCCTTCTCATACACACACATACATACTTAAACACACCTCTCCCCTACTTCTATGTTAAAATAATAACCATAATACTCTAATACTACAATGTACTCTGATACCATAATAATAATAATAAGCACCACAGTACTCTTACTCCTACTTTTACTTCTACTACTTCTACTACTTGACTATATTTAACTCTATTCCCTTTACCTTCTATTATAATTTAAATTTATTAAAAAATTTATTTTTTATCCTATCATAAACACCTGTTGTTTCAGGAACTTTATAAGTATTCTGGTCTGAATCCTGTCCTTTGTACTTAGTTAACCATTTAGTAATGGCATTTCCTGAATCAGTATCTCCCTAGATCATTTCTTATTTCCTCCCTCTGCTTTTCATACCTTTTGCATTTTAGTATCACATGTTCTACTGACTCCTCTTCACTACAGCCCTCACATAATCCAGTTTCATGCTTTCCTATCAATTTAAGTGTTTTATTTAATAAGCAATGACCCAGTCTAAATCTTGTTATCGCTATTTCTTCTCGCTTGTTACCACTACTGACTCTTTTGTGTTTAACGACCTGTTGAATTTCACACAAATGCCTCCCTTTCTTTTCTCTGTCCCACTTCTCTTGCCACTTTTGATTTATTCTTACCCATATTAGACTTTTCGCTTCTGCTTTACTAACCCTTATTTGCATTTCTACATTTTATTTTGTTATCCCCTTTTTTGCTAATCTGTCAGCCATTTTATTTCCCTTCATCCCTCTATGACCTGGAACCCATATAAACTTCACCTCCTTTCCCTGACTTGTTGTTTTTGTTATACACTGGAGTACTCCATACAAAATATCTTGTCTACTTGAAGAAAATGACCTTAGACTTTTAAGAGCTGATGCGGAGTCTGAACATACAAAGATTTTGTCCTGCCCTGTCAATTGTACGCAACTTAATGCTACTAACATAGCTAGCATCTCCACTGTGTACACTAGAGCAGCCAGCCTGTCTCAGTCACCTCTTTCACCTCCACCCCGCCCCCCCTGAATGTCACTCACTCATGCGGGCATGCGCTGCTGTTACATGAGCAAACGCAGCCTTTTGATAAGTTTTTCTTGTTCCTGAATACAAATAGTTTTTCAAGTATTTGTTCGAAATAAGTATTTGTAAAAACACGCTATTCGTGCACAGTATATCGCACAGTATATTGAACAGTATATTGTATTGTATATATACTTTGCACATATATATATATATATATATATATACACAGTTGAAGTCCGAATTATTAGCCTCCTTTTGATTTTTTTTCTTTTTTAAATATTTCCCAAATGAATTTTAACAAAGCAAGAAATTTTCACAGTATGTCTGATAATATTTTTTCATCTGGAGAAAGTCTTTTTTTAGCTAGAATAAAAGCAGTTTTTAATTTTTTAAAAAACATTTTTGGGACAAAATTAGTAGTTTCTTTAAACTAAACTCTCTTAAACTATTTTTTTCGATACAGAACAAACCATCGTTATACAATAACTTGCCCAATTACCCTAACCTGCCTAGTTCACCTAATTAACCAAGTTAAGCCTTTAAATGTCACTTTAAGCTGTATAGAAGTGTCTTGAAAAATATATTATTTACTGTCATCATGTCAAAGATAAAATAAATCAGTTATTAGAAAAAGGTTTTTAAAACTATTATGCTTAGAAATGTGCTGAAACAATCTTCTCTTCATTAAACAGAAATTGTATATATATATATATATATATGTGTGTGTGTGTGTGTGTATATAAAAAAAAAAAAAAAAAATATATATATATATATATATATATATATATATATATATATATATATATATATATATATATATATTTAACATTTGCATAATTAAATTAGAGCTGATTAACTGCAAACAAAATATTCACGTAATCTACCCCATGAATTGACGCGTAAACCATAAAACTTTAGTGACGTAACGTGCTCTTTGGAGGCTTATTGAACAATATTGACTCACGTGTTTCTCTTAGATTATGTAGTCACAGGGCGCTAACATGCGTAACACTGTCGTTTTTCAGAGCACATGAGAAATCTCGAGCTAAGGCTCTTAAGAAACAATGGGAGACTTTGGTATCGGAGTAGGGTTTGAGACGGTTTCCGTAAAAAAAAAAAAGTGAAAATCCAGCAGCACAGTAAACACTATAAGCTTCTCAAAGTTCAAAACCTATTAGCTTCGGTGGCTAATTGGCAAAGAAAAATGTTGAGGATTCTTTCAGGATACTAAAAAACAATGACAGGGAGGATTTAAGCTCCTAGTCTCATTAAGCTATGAGAAATGTTGGCTTATTAGAAAAACGAATAAAATTTTTAATTAAACATAAATAATAATAATAATATTAAAAAATCTGTTTACATACAATGCTTGAGTTATTTCTTATGATATTTTAAAAATTAACCACGTCTCAATCAATTGCTAGAATAAACAATTAAGAAATTTTTTTCAAAATAAAAGTCCTTTAATGACTTAAGTTACTACTAGCATTAAATTAATTACTTTGCTTTAAAAAATGTAGACATGATTACTCTACTTAACCTAATAATTATTTAAATGACTTCCACACATGTAAAAATTAACCAAAAATCTGAAGCCAGTTTACTCAAACACACGTAAATGTACTCAACAACTCAAACGTACATAAATACTAATAAATCATATATTATTAATAATAATGTTCATTGAAGATACAATTAAAACTCTCGGCTACTAAAGTAATGGATCATCAGACTTACCTTTTCCCTTCTTGGCTCTGGAGCTCCTGAATGGTGAATGATGTGGAGTGGGTTTTGCGTCTGAGATTTATCCCTAAAGCTGATCCTCTAAGACAGGGCCACAATTTCTAATCTCCAATCCAGGCGTATTGCTGTTTGGCCATTTTTTGTGTGTGTGTGCGTTCTTGTGCAAGTGTGAGCCCTAAATAACTGGACTGGGAGGAAACGTTTGAGGGAGAATCTTGCCAATCCGCTTTATTTTTAGGTTGATTGAATTTGTTTTTGGATGGTTGACAGGCAATTCTAAGCAATGACAAGAGTGTGACATTGTGGCATTTTTCCGTTTACTGCGGCTTGAAACAATTGCTATTTTTGTTCACATTGTTGTGGATGATGTTGTTTGACCTTATTGATTTAAAGACCACGTGGAATATTTGATGTTACTGAAAAATGTTGAAATATTGGTGAAATAACTTTATAATGTCACTCTGTGTCAAATAATTCATAATAATGACGTTTTTTTGTCAGATTTGACCTTGTTTAAACATAAACAAAATAAGTGATCATTTAAACGAACTATAAAGCTGATAAACAAGCAAAACCTAGTGATTTGAAGTGTAAAAATTCATAGTTTTGTGCTCTTTCATCAAATATTTCCTGTTTTAAATCCACTATACATGATTTATTTAGTATATGAACTATTAGTTTCACTGAGTGACATTTTAGTGGATGTCTTTTGTAAATCATCATAGAAATGTTGAAAAAAATCAAGCATAAAAATCCACCAGAAGTATTCCAACAGAGCAAGTATGTGCAATCTGGCATGTTCCACACATTTTTGTCAAGTTTTACTCTTTCACCTTACATAAATGAAGTTAATCCCGTGAATCTGAGAGACCTTTGTTGTAGCTAGAAATGTGGATTATATAGCGTCACGGTGTGTGCACAGCTTAAAACGGGTTACACAAACTAGCAAACCGTGAAATCCCACAAAAAAACGTATAAAATCTATTTTGGCTCGTGATTGTGTCTATAAAAGCTAAAATAAGCCTTTATAATCTTGGAACTTTACATTCATTACTGAGGTTGAATGAAAAACATGACAAATGTTGGCCAAATGGCATGCTAAAGCATTGAAGCTAATCTGCACTGGAGAATATCTGTAATATGTGAGGAGAAATGTAATGTTAGGCTCAAATGCAACAATTATGGCACTTATTTTATTACGCAAACACATTTGATATCATACAAAACACAAATGAAAATGAACCGTACATAAATCAACAGGCGTCCCAGCAGTGCTTCACTAAAGCAAACAAGAGTCCAGGTTTTATCAATGGTTTAAGTGTATTGGTCCACTTTGGACCTTCAAAGTCTGTGTGCTCATGTGGATGCCGGCTGGACCGGGCCTTTATGCACATACTCCAGAGCTGTGGCAATCGTCCGCATGTCCATCTCGATACTGCGCGCCCAATTCTCCACGTCTCCGATTTCCTATAACAGATTTATCTGTCAAAATAAATCTCCATTTACACTTTAGGGAACTGAAACTGAAAGTGAACTGAAGGTAACTGAGACTTTTATTTTGGTATGTTGATGTATTAAAACAGAATATTGAGAAAGGGGTGGGGCTTTCTTTTTGTGCATCATTCCATCATAGCAAACTACTGGCAAAAAGGGCCGTGGTTAAGTATACTGTGACTGATGTGTCAAAGTGACAAATCCAAGAGCAATGGTCAGACTTTGATTGAAGATTACCAAAACAAACTACATTTTTGTTTTGTTTTTGGTGTAATTTAAAATCATTTACCAGTTATCATACACAAAAATGGCTGCAGCAACATCTCTGCTTTCCCTTGACTTTTGTTAGTGAAGGTGCTGCGCAGATCAGCTTACCACATTCGTCAGAAGTTGGCCCCCAAACTGACACAGGTAATAAAAAACTCAACTTTAGTCATGTTTATGTTGTGAAAAATCAAATGTCCACTGTTGATTATATCAGACTTTTGTTTTCTAGAGCGATTTTAAAACGTTTAATATAGGAAGTCCTCGGCTATGCATAGGCTGTTATTAACTAGAGACTGAGTGCACATAGTTTTACGTTAAGAAATGCAGTCTTGATTTTACAAACAGTCGGCAAATACCAGAGAACAGATGTAAAACAGTGATAAAATTTTGTTTTCAGTCGCGCTCAGGTGAAAGTCATGTTAGTTTTGCCTTCATTCTTTTTTGTTTTCAGTTGTTACATACAGCACGAGTCTTCAACACATTATTCTTTTACAACACGTTTTTAAACATGATAGTTTAACAAACTAATTTCTAATTACTACTTTTTTGTCTTTCCCATGGTGACAGTTATTTTGCAAGATAGTTGTAATTAGATTAAAGTGTAAATTAAAGACTTAACTAGGTAAGTTAGAGTATTTAGTCAAGTTATTGTATAACTGGTTCGTTGTGTAGACAATTAAAAAAAATATATATAGGCCAGTAATACAAACCTTAAAATAGTTTTTAAAAAAATTAAAAAGCTTTTACTCAAGACAAGCTATAAGTAATAACATTTATGACTCCAGAAGAATAATTTTTATTTTATAGGAAATACTGAGAAAATCCACATGGTTTGTTAAAAATCACTTGGGAAACATTATTTTACATCTACATTTACATTTAGTCATTTAGCAGACGCTTTTATCCAAAGCGACTTACAAATGAGGACAATGAAGCAATTTACACAACTAAGAGCAACAATGAATAAGTGCTGTAGGCAAGTTTCAGGTCTGTAAAGTCTAAGAAGGAAAGTATTAGTAGTATTAGTATTTTTTTTTTTTTTTTTTGGGTACAGTTAGTGTGATATCCAGAGAGGCAATCGCAGATTAGGAAGTGAAGTGGAGACTAAATAGTTGAGTTTTTAGTCGTTTCTTGAAAATAGCGAGTGACTCTGCTGTTCTGATGCAGTTAGGGAGTTCATTCCACCAACTGGGCAGATTGAGCTAAGCGTTCACGAAAGTGATTTCTTCCCTCTTTGGGATGGAACCACGAGGCGACGTTCATTCACAGAACGCAAGTTTCTGGGGGGCATATAGATCTGCAGAAGTGAGAGCAGATAAGAAGGAGCAAAGCTAGAAGTCACTTTGTAGGCAAACATCAGAGCTTTGAATTTGATGCGAGCAGCAACTGGCAGCCAGTGCAAACGGACTAGCAGCGGAGTGACATGTGCTCGTTTAGGTTCATTGAAGACCACTCGTGCTGCTGCGTTCTGGAGCAGTTGAAGAGGCTTGATAGAGCTAGCTGGAAGCCCAGCTAGTAGAGAGTCGCAGTAATCCAGTTTGGAGAGAACAAAAGCTTGAACAAGGAGTTGAGCTGCATGTTCAGATAAGAAGGGTCAGATCTTTCTGATGTTATAGAGTGCGAATCTGCACGATCGAGCAGATTTTAAATTAACAAGAGGGCAAAAAATATGCAACTGTGTCTGTTTACAGGTGCAAAAATGTGCCTTGGTGTACTTGAATGTTCGAAATGTACCTAGTGCTAGTACAAAGTTGCTTGTCAAATAAATTAACTAAGACTGAAAAATGATGCATAAAAAAGTCACTTTGAATAACTGTTTAAGTAGTTTATGATGTATGTTAAAGTGTGCCTCCTAAAAATACAAGTGACTTCAGCCCGGCCCCCCCAGTTACTCTAGTCTAGAACCGCTACTGCCCACATGTGCAACTGGACTGCCCAAAGGGTTAATACTGAAGTATTTGCTATATGATTCAGCCTGTGTACCTTTAAAGCCTGGTTGAAGTTCTCCACCATGTTGATCCACTGTGCCGTCTGCTTGGCAAACTGACCGGCCTGAACCTGCAGTGTCTTCACCTCATGGTCCAGCTTGCGTTGATTGACGTAGGCCTGCGCCACACTGAGAAAAAAAGCAATTAAAATGTCTTGAATTTGGCATGAAATTTAAGGTTTGACTCTTCTAAAGCATAAAAACACCATATGTTTGTGTTATTCTCCTTTAAAAATGTGTGTTCTGTGTAAGAATGTCTGTCTTGTGTTTTGGCCTCTATAACCAGCCCACTGCCAGATTAGCCAATTATATTTTGGGACCCCTTTATCAGAACTATATTTTTTTGTTAAGTTAAATTCTGACAAATAAAAAACTTTTTTATTTTAGATTTTACAGACATTTTTGTTGTGCGGCAAAGATTTTACATATAAATTCATAAATTCAATAAGGCAGATTTCAACAATCTGCAGTAACTACTGTAAGTACTTTAAAAGTGTGAGCTTTTTTTCATACATTCAGGCCTGTGTTACTTTACAACACATAAGCAAGCTGTTTTCCATGAATATGGTAGATTTTTTATTCATTAGCCACTTTACCTGCACTAAACAGTAAAAGTATTTGCTCCACAATGTTTATGAGCCCTAATAAACTAAAAAGCAACGATAACAACAGTGTACAAATCAAGCAGCATCTTAGACTTTTATTTACAGGTACAAAAAACACCAAGAAGTCTCATATGATCATGTTTAAAATGACATTAAAAATTATTTTTGCACGCGACATTTCTTATGTGACCATACTTATAATAATGCACAAGATTTTGATACATTTGTTGTGAAAAGCCATTCACTTACATTCAGTCATGCAGTTTTAAGCTGCTTTCACAGAGTTTCGTCATAATGTACACACTTAAAGACGTGGATTATGACCACATTCATCACATGAACTCACCATAGAAATCCTGTGCATTAAGTAACACCTTAGAAAATATAAAACCTTTCCAACTCACCCTACATTGAGATGATCCACCAGAGCTTCAGTTAAACATGTAGCAGCTGCTATTGCTTCTCTTCTTCGTCTTTCTGTAGATTACAGTAGCATTTTATAACATTAGGATTTATTTCAGGACATTATTATTTAGTGTAAAGTTTAACATCTTTAAACATAAATAAAGCGATTTCTAAATTCACGTTTTTGTAAAAATAATGATAATAATAATAATAAAAATAAATAAGTTGTTTGTTTTTGTATTGAAATAAACACTAAATCAAAAAAAATCAAGGTTTCTGAATATTTAATTTTAATGAACTTCTATATTTTGTTACGTATTTATTCATAATTTTTTGCATGTTTTGCCTTAATATTCTCCATTCATGCGATATATAAGTAGTCAGGAAATAAAAAAACAACGTCAAAGCAAAAGATTAGTGAACTCCAAAAATGACCTCTCAAAAACCTAAATCTCATTGGAATATCGAATGCAGGTTTTTATAAACGTTAACTTAAAAACTTGAACACATAAACTGTTATATCTACATTTAAAAGGCCCATGAAATAGAGATTTACAGACGCACATACCTTGTAGCTCCTTCCTTTCGTTTTGTTTCGCTTGGTGTTCTTTTAATAACCGCGAGAGCATTTTGGCTACTTTATTTAGCAGAAATGAAAATAATTCGATGTGCCTGAAAGCCAATTTTCTCTAAATGTTTTGACAATCACTAGCCTCACATGACAAGACGCTCTGAAAACATACGGAGAGCGCGGAAGAACAAAAATATAGTGACAGTATTTTAAAACGCCGTTTCAAAATAAAAGTTATTGACTAGACAGTTCCTCAAAGAATACATAAATGTACTCAACCACAAGTGGTTCCAAAGATTATTAGTAGATATTTTAAAAAAAGTTTTGGAAAATGTTGAAACTGTTGATAGTCATTGTTTCTCAATATGTTATTTTGTGAGGCGAGTAAATAATCACGAATGATTTTTTACCTTTGACTTGTTTCAAACCAGTTAGGTTATTTATATGGCGGAAGGTAAGTAAATAATGAAGAATTGTACTCCTTTTAGTTAACTTAAGTTTAAAGAGATATAACAATTCTACAATTGTTTATTCATCCTTGACTTGTTTCAAACCAGTTAGGTTTTGTTTATTTATTTATTAAAGTGGAAGGCGAGTAATTAATGATGAATTTTACTTTTTGGTTAACTATTTTTTAAAAGGATATTACACCCCAAAATACAAATACAATCGCTTATTGACTTGTTTCAAACCAGTTGGATTTTTGTTTATTTATTTATTTCTGTTTAATACAAATGAAGATATTTTGAGGAATGTAGGACATTGACATCCATAGTATAAAAACAAATACAACAGCAGTCAATGGTTACATGTTTTCCAATGTTTCTTTTCAAAACTGACAGTGGCTTAAAATGCATTTGAATGAGAGTTAAATGTATTATTTATCATTGATTTTACATCGTTAAGTTATTTTAAATTAACTGTATCATTTATTGAGCATGTTTTTTTTAACGTGAGGAACAGCAAATGGGGTATCAGCACACAGATTTTTTATTTTAGGACCAAAAAGCTTCCGGTAAACTGTCTTTTCATTACAAAGTCACCACGTTTAAGATTTGTTTTGCTTTAAAAGATAAGTGTACTGCCTAATAGATATGATATATTGGGTATCAGACCGGACAAAATGCCCTGCATTAAATTCAATTTTCCCTGTCATATCTTTAAAATATTAATTTATTTTACCCCAGTATTTTCAACTGTTTTTGCGCTAGCAATAGCATGCTGGTACTAAGCGCGGTTTTTGAGTTATTGCCGTGGCGTGTATCACTGAATGTGTCAGGAAACAAAACCAACTTAACCGCGCTCTGGTACTAACAGCTCTAGAGTTTACATGGTCTATCACAGGTGTCAAACTCAATTCCTGGAGGGCCGAAGCCCTGCACAGTTTTGTTCCAACCCTGCTCCAACACACTTACCTGTAGGTTTCAAACAAGCCTGAAGGACTCAATTAGTTTGATCAGGTGTGTTTAATTTGGGTTGGAACTAAACTGTGCAGAGCTGCGGCCCTTTTGGAACGGAGTTTGACACCTGTGGTCTATCATCTCAATTCATGCTTGAACAACTAAATGAATGCTTACATTTTTTTAACTGGTTGTTTTTATATCACATTATGATGTGGATTATGTAAAAATGAACCGTGTAAAATTGTAAAAAATAACATTAATATTTCATCGGAGATTTACCGTTTGCTGGAAAACTGTGCAGCTCATTCTAATGGGTGTGACACTTTTTGTTTTTACATTGGGGACTTTTATTTTGAAGGTTTTCTACAAGGCCACCTTGTTCGTGCTGAAACTAAACCACAACTCCCACAATCCTTCACTCCACACGTAAACATTAACCCATATGAAACTACAGCTGGAGCTCCTGAAGCGATTCACATGAAATGACACAAAAGGTGCTCCGTGATCCCGGTTCAGTTCGGCGGATCTCGCTCATTTAAACCCCTGTCATGCGCCACACACACCGGACAGACAGATGACTTTCAACGGACAAGAGTTTATTGAGCTGCGCGGGCCTGAATGAGATGATGTGGCCTTTAAGTTAGCAGAGCAGCTAAACCTGTTGTGTTTTTCTGTGGAGTAAAACGATGGAGCTCGAGTTTGAACATTAGCCACAGGATGAATCTGAAGAGGTCGCGGAGTGTCGGAGCTTCCCCGCTCAATGGAGTCGGAAAACAAGGTGTGTTTTACTGAAGTCTGGTCATATATGACAGCAGGAGGAGGAGAAGGGTTTACTGCTTCACTTTAACTGTCGATAAATGGAGAAATGTCGATAATAATGATTTTTACAGTTATAAAACTATCGAGTGTTGGGAGATAGATAGATAGATAGATAGATAGATAGATAGATAGATAGATAGATAGATAGATAGATAGATAGGTAGAAATGGAACAAATATACGTTAGAGGGTCTGGAATACATCTGTCAGTGCAAACATTGATGTAGATAGATGAATAAATGACTATCTATCTTTCTTTCTATCTAATGTCTAAATAGTTGGGTTAAAAATACCCCGAAATATAACCCAACTATAGGTTATTTTAGCACTTACCCAACTGGGTTATTTTATCTAATGAATTGGGCTATTTTGATTAAATGTTGTTATTTTCCATTCTGGTATTACTATTGCTACTATTACTAGTACTACTATTAAATTTATAATTATGACTGTGTAAATAAATAACATACAGTATTCAAAAATATTGAAAATGCTTTTCCTTCATTACATTTTACTTCCAGGCACTTTTGTTAAAATAAATCAAGAATCGCAAACAATAAAGAAACAGAACAAAGTGCAGACAGTTATAAACTGTGCAAGCAGAACATCATGTGTTGATTGAGCAAAATATAGAGCTCTGTGTGCTGGAGAGGCTGTCCAGCAGCTGCAGCAGGCTCCACTCAGTGTTAACAATGTACAATACATTTTAACCACATCCGAACGCTTCTAAAAGATGGTCTTGGATAGCAAATCGGATATAAAAACATGACACCGAGAGGTAATTTGATTAAAAATAAATTAATGAATTATTGCATTTGAGCTTAAATAAAAGTAATAACGCAAAAACAACATTACATACGCATGTTAATACAGCTGTTTTGTGTCAGTTAAATCAGTTGACTGTTGAAATTCAAATTTTTAACCCAACTGGTAGAGTTATTAAATAAATAACCCAATAAAGGTTAAAAATAACCCAACAAAGCACAAAATATTTATCTCAACTAGTTGAGTTATTAATAAACAATCTAATACAGATTAAAAATAACCCAACAAAGCACCAAATATGTTTAACTCAACCATTTGTTTAAATAAAAAACTCAACATTTTTAAGTGTCTGTCTGCCTGCCAATTTGTCTATCTCTCTGTCTGTTGTTCCGTCTGTTGGTCCGTCTATATTTGTTTGTAATATTATATTTATGTTTAATATGAATGTCTTCAATAAATAAATATACCACTATTTTGCACACACATTTACAGTAGTCAACATTTGAATCGGATCAAAAGCCTTCCTTAAAGTTGTCCTAAAACTATTGAACAACACATATTCTTGTCTTGAGACAATTTTGTATAACCTTTTTAGTTTTTTTGATCCACTTCAAATGTGGACAACTGTAACTGTGTATGTGAGTGTGCAAAATAGTTGTGTATGTATTTATTATAGACATAAACATTCATAAAAAAAAAATATATATATATATATATATATATATATATATATATATATATATATATATATAAAACTTTTAAAAACTTTTTTAATTCGGTTTATTTGTTTGTGTATATATAACACTTGGTTCAGATATGTAACATATTGTTTGGCAGCACTAGATGGAATGAAAATACAGAGATGGGACATTCTACCAGAAGCGTACATTATTAGTCCCTGAAATAAAACATAAATACAATTAATTAAAATTATTTCATCCTAAAAAAAAATCGAAGATGGACTAATGGTTGATTTCTGCTAGTTGTTCTGTATGTCAATCATTTGGTTCTCAGATTTTTGTTCCTCATTAAAAACACTTCACAAATGTACAAACCCCTGTCATTGTCCTTGTCATCTGCCCAATTGAACCTACAGCTTTAATAGTTTTGTTATGCTATGTGGAAAAATACTTCAGAAATAGCAAGTTTTAAGTTGTTATCATTCACATAAGTTGATTTAAAACATGAAATTATAAAGTAAATTCTACAAATAAATACTATTATACAATTATCCACATTTTTCCCAGTCCTGTCACATTTGCATTAAATATAACACAAATACACCTTGACGGCTATGACTCAGAGGAAGTGACATCATTTGTTTTTGAAGCTGGCAGGTATCAAGGATGCGTTCTATCATTGAATTGTAGGATTTTATGCTTGTTTTTGTATGATATTTTTGAGGAGAAGAAGCTCAAAGGTCAGGCTCTGTAACATTTTTTATAAGTGATAATGTACGTTTCTGGTTGAATGTCCTAGATGATGTATTTTTAGGTGTGTGAAATTTTTATTTCTGCCTCATAATCCTTTAAATGTGTCTAATAGTTTTTCTATGGGAGTGTCCTGTGACTCAATTTGCCATTGATAGGCATTGTGCTCATTGTTTCATATCATAAACACTTTTATTCATAATCTTCGTCGCTGTTTTTTCTTCATAGATTAACGAACATATTTTAATCTAACATTAAAAAAAGTGGCTAACTAGAGCAAAAATCGGTTTATTTAAATCACAACCACTGCAAATCCTTTTCAAATCAATTCTTCTTTTTTTTTTTTTTTGTGGTAATTTGTGGCAATGCTTTATTTTATTACAATATTTTTTATTGGCCGATACTTAAATAAACAACTTGAACAAACATATAATATAATTTAATACACAAACTAACTGTCAACATTTACAAAAACAGTCCTACGTTTGTGTTCTCCTATGTTAGTGTATATATTATAATAATGTGACTAGATTTATAGAAAGAAAAGTATACAAATTCCATCATAAACTAAAATAATTAATTATTAATATTATTAATTGTTGCTATTATTAATATTGTAGCAAGGCAGAAGGTTGGTTAGATGAACAGGAGCTCGATTATTTAAAGCTTTATAGGTAAGAAGCAATATTTTATAATCAATACGGAACTTAACAGGCAGCCAGTGTAATGAGGATAAAATTCGGGGGATATGATCATATTTTCTTGACCTAGTAAGAACTCTGGCATCTGCAGTTTTTGCACTAACTAACGTTTATTAATGGAGGATGCTGGGCAGCCAACAAACAGAGCATTACAGTAATCTAGCATAGAAGTCATAAAAGCATGAACTAGCTTTTCTGCATCTGAGATGGATAGCATACTTCGTAACTTAGTGCTATTTGTTAGATGAAAGAAGGCGGTTTTTGTGACATGGAAGATAGGATTATTAAAAGTTCAGTTGCTAGTCTAATAGTCTAATATAACACCCAGATCTTTTACAGTAGAGCTAATACCAACTTTGACATAAACAACTAATTAAAAATAGTTTAATCTCATATCTGTCTTAAATCTTCTGTCCCTCTGGGATCGTCTGTCTTGACCAAACACTTGCGCAAATGAAGAGTAAAGTTGAAGATCTGCATTTCCAGTGGATGTTTGAGTCCGTTCAGATCATCAGTGTGTGTGTTGTGTCAATGATTTCAGACGTGGAGAGTAGACGCAGAAAGAAGATGTCTGAGATCACGCAGGCTCTGAGCTGCCGGCCTGTGGACGTTGCGGCTCTGAGACGAATGGCCATCAGTGAAGGAGGTCTAATGACCGACGAGATCAGACGCCTGGTGTGGCCCAAACTGCTCAACGTCTCTGAGGAAAACATACCAGAGGAACTGGGTGAGAGAGACAAGCATTTATCTGTTGCAATCTGATTTCATACTCAATTCAAGATAAAGCATGGTCATGTTCAGTTTGGGAGGCAAATTGAATGTATTATGAGGAGAAAAACATGATTTAATTGTCATGAAAAGTATTCGAATTGCATTGCTACATATTTCACAGGCAATATAAGTTTTTAGTTAATATAAGCTAGTTAATATACTATATAATGTAGTTAATATTAGTTCATTTTAATATTGAAATGTTTTTTGTGTAAGAATTTGATGCTTAATTACATTCTCATCCCTTTTATAGAGAATGTTACTATTATTATGTATAATTCTACTAATATATACTGTTATATTGTATTCTAATTTATTTAAATTATACAAGTATATTTTTATGTTGATTTTGAAATATTTTTATTATTATAAACATACTGTATATTATTTTAAGATGATAAACCACAATTACTATTAGGCAAAAAATCCAACTGTAAAAAATGTGTGTGTGTGTGTGTGTGTGTGTGTGTGTGTGTGTGTGTGTGTGTGTGTGTGTGTGTGTGTGTGTGTGTGTATATAGACACACACACATACAAACACATACACACACATAAACATACATACATATACACATATACTATATATATATATATATATATATATATATATATATATATATAAATATGTGTGTGTGTATGTATGTATGTATGTGTGTGTGTGTGTATATATATATATATATATATATATATATATATATATATATATATATAAATATGTGTGTATGTGTATATATATATATATATATATATATATATATATATATATATATATTGAATTAAATTAAACTACTTAAAATAATGTTTACACATAATTCCAAGCATTTAAAACTCAGCTTTAAATCACTGGAATACATTAAATTATACTACCTTTAACAGGAAAATCACTAAATTAAATTGTAAATAATATTTCAAAAATATTTATTATATAATTTTATTCTTTTAATCATTATTTCAATTGCTAAACAATGAATGTCCTACATTTGTTTATGCTTTCCTTTATACAGTTTAATTTAATGCTGAAACAACAACATTAGCAACACCAAAAAACAGCACATTTCTTTCTAAATTATATAGTGTTGCCAGATAAAGCGGCCAAAACCCACCCAAACGAAATCAACCTAGTTACTTTAACTGTCATAATTTTAACCAAACAGCAAGAAACACCAGCAGTCACAGATTTTCAACATAACCGGATCACATCGAAACACCGCCCCCCTCTCACACAAACACTGGGCTTAATGTTGTGTAGATTACACTACCTACTAGAGTAGGCCTATGTTTTACTTTCGAAATGCAGTTCATTTATCTTATGTGGCGTTTTTATATTCTTTTGAACATAATTGGGTGCTGCTTGTCAATCAAACAACGCTTCTATGTTCTTGCTGTCAATTACGGAAAAAAATTATCGATTAGTTTTATGATAAACCGCCGTGAGTTTAACTCCTGGCACATGCACACAAAGGGGAGTCTGCTATGTCCGGAGAGTCAGATTTTGATATAACTTCTTCACCTCCTCTTGTGGGTGGGCCCACAGAGTTTGTGCTATGCGCTAGTCACTATTAACTGAATGGAGTAGCAGTTCGCAGTTATGTTTTGTTAAATAAGTTGCAGATAAAATTTAAGTTTCAAAACCGCCCAAATTTTGTCAACCCACCTCTGCTATTTTTTACCCACAAAATCTAATTCAAAACCGCCCAATTGGGCAGGAAACCACCCAATCTGGCAACACAGCACAGATCTAAAACCAGTTTTTTGTTTCAGATCCTGTCGATCGAGAAAACAACAAAGACTTTAACCAGGTTCTTCTTGATGTTCAGCGGTCACTTAGACGCTTTCCTCCAGGTCAGCAGACCTATATTTTATTCTATTTTATTTCATAGTATTATATTATCCAGAATGAGCAGCTGCAGTGTTCGTAACTGAAATCCAGTGTTTTGTGTGTGCTTTTGTGCCTCAGGGATGCCGGATGAGCAGCGTGAGGGTCTTCAGGAGGAGCTCACCGATATTATTCTGCGTGTTTTGGTGAAAAACCCTCAGCTGCATTACTATCAGGGTTATCATGACATCGTGGTCACTTTCCTGCTGGTGCTCGGAGAGAGACTCGCCACTGCCCTCGTGGAGAAACTCTCCACACACCACCTCAGGTCTGAACATATAAATAGAAATTCCTATTCATAAATATAAATGTATATGATTTGTAAAAGCAAATGTGTAGTATCTATTTTTGCCTGTTAGGGGGGGGAAATTTTTTCGTATAATCATTCTCAATTCCTACTAACTACTAGAAATATAAAAAAGTTACGACAGATAGATGGACAGACAGATAGAAAGATAAATAGACAGACAGACAGACAGACTTTCCCAGTAGATATTAGCATGTTGTTAGCATGATTCAAGTATGAATTAGCTTATTTTTTAGTGTTAATGAACATGTTGTTAACATATAATATAAATTAGCATGTTGCTAACATGTTTCTAGTGTGGATTAGCATGTTTTTAGTATGAATTAGCTTGTTTATAGAGTGAATTGGCATGTTTTTACATATGGTATGAATGAGCATGTTGTTAACATGTCTCTTTATTGCTAACTTGTTTCCAGTATGGATTAGCATGTTGTTAGCATGTTTCTAGTATGAATTAGTTTGTTTGTTGTGTGAATTAGCATGTTGTTAACATATATTATGAATGAGGATGTTGCTAGCATGTTTCCAGTATGAATTAGCTTGTTGTTAGCATGTTTCAAGTATGAATTAGCTTATTTTTAGTGTGAATGAACATGTTGTTACATTTAATATAAATTAGCATGTTGCTAACATGTTTCTAGTGTGGATTAGCATGTTTTAGTATGAATTAGCTTGTTTATAGTGTGAATTGACATGTTGTTAACATATGGTATAAATGAGCTTGTTGCTAACATGTCTCTACGTTGCTAACTTGTTTCCAGTATGGATTAGCATGTTGTTAGCATGAATTAGCTTGTTTATAGTGTGAATTAGCATTTTGATAACATATAGTATGAATGAGCATGTTGCTAGCATGTTTCCAGTATGAATTAGCTTGTTGATAGCATGAAATCGAATAGTTTTCTTGTTAAATGTAGTATAAAATGTATTTTATTCCTGTGACTTAAGGCTGATTTAAAATGTATGCAGTCATGTGTAAATATGAAATAATAAAATAAACAATAAAATGTCAAATATTTTAATTCAATTCAGTATTATGTATTTTTTATATTTAAATCATCATCATCATCACTAAATTATGCAAACTGTTTTATGTAGATAATCAGTAAAAAAATCTTATTTTTTTGTACAGTTCTTACAATATTTAACATAAAACTGTAATTTAATTAGCATATTTAATTCCTCCAGTTTCTCTACTAAAAGTACAACAAAAATAACCAAATTATTTAAAAAAAAAAAAAAAAAAAAAAAAAGCTAATTTTGTTGGTTTCTCCTCTATCACAGGGACTTTATGGACCCCACGATGGACAACACTAAACACATCCTGAACTATCTGATGCCCATCATCGAGAGGGTCAATCCTGAGGTCTTCGACTTCATGCAGCAGTCAGTCAACAAACGCCTTTAATATTTGCTTTCCCTCTCTCTTGTCTGTGTGTTTGCTGAAGCACAATAGTCTGCTTGATCTGTGTTCCTGTGTGTTCATCATTATGCAACATCAAAATCACCATCTCCTGAACACACAGTGCCCTCTGTTCTGTATTTTCTCCCTCTTCGTCACTGGTAAACGTCTCCATTTTGTCTGCAGGGCTGAAGTGGGCACCATATTCGCCCTCAGCTGGCTGATCACCTGGTTCGGGCACGTCCTGTCAGATTTCCGCCACGTGGTTCGGTTGTATGATTTCTTCCTGGCCTGCCATCCGCTCATGCCCATCTACTTCGCTGCAGTGGTGGGTCGTTTTGTTTTTTCTTCAGAAAGCTTCGTTTCTGGTTTGTGGGTCAGCATGTTTGGCAATCGCTGCTATTTTTAGGCCTGAATCAGACTGTGTTTTCAGGGTGGAATAAATAATTGATACTTTCTATTATGTCGGGACTGTTTGTCCTGATTTTTCTTTCCAGCTACTGTAGTTTTTTTTTATATCTGGAGTTTTGATGTTAGACAAGACTCTTCTTAAACATTAATTACTGAAAATTGCCATTTCTATAATTAGAAGAATACTTTTCTCAATACCGTGGCATAAGGTGAAGTAATATTTCACCTTTAAATGTCACTGTAATTACTATAATGTTAAAAAAGGGGTATTCACTACTGTTATAACACAATTGCTATTTTAAAATGCCATTGTCATTACCGTAATGCAAAGAAGCAATTTCATATTTCTCATTGCTATAGCATACAGTTAATCTGTAAAGTAATTATCTGCAGATCGTGTTGCATCGTGAGGAGGAGGTCTTGGACTGTGAGTGTGACATGGCCATGATGCACCACCTCCTGTCCCGCATCCCAGAGGACCTGCCGTATGAAACGCTGATCAGCCGCGCTGGAGATCTGTTCGTGCAGTTTCCTCCATCAGAGCTAGCCAGAGAGCGCAGTCAGCAGTGAGTTTCTCTTCGCAGTGATTTTACAGACGCCCTCAAAATCAATGGTTACAAAGATTCGGACATTATAAAATATGCTTTCCATTTAGGGTGAACGAGTTCCAGGTTTTGTATTTGAACCGCATAAACTTTTCCAACACACACACTTTCTGATCTAGATATACAACAGCACGGAGCAGATCATACGCACAAGTCAACGCAAACCTGAATTCTGCACTGCATGCTGTAGTGTGCACTTGGAGAAATGGTGGAAATCATGAATCAGATGTGCTCAATAACACAAGCTCTGATATAAACAACATGCTGCTTGCTATTTTTAATAAGGGGAGGGGCTACCCAATAAGTCCCTCCCTTCCTCTGTTTTTGTGAATATTATGTCACGCATCAAACGCAGCTGCACATTTCACACGGCTTCAGAGCACTGTTGGGGAAGGTTGGCTTTCATTACAAGTGACATTACAATCTTGCATTACTTGTTGTAGGACTTACTTTTTAAGTGAAGTAATGCATTATGTCACATTTCCAAAACTTTTATTCTAGGCTGGGCTTGTTTGTTGGTGAGAATATAATTTTTTTTTTACACATACAAGTCAGTTTTTTTAATCAAAAGGGAAATGTAAAGTGAGTAAACTTCAGCCGAAAATGTTAATCCTCATCTGTAATGTTGAGGCGCAGCTCAAATCAAGCTTTCAGAAGTGCTGCATTTCTGGGTCTCTTAAAGAACAGGATGCATGATGAAAACCGTTTGAATTTTAATGTTTTTATTTGTTTTAAGTGAAACTGGATTGGTTTTTATGCAAGTGAGATGGCTAAATACATGTTTACATTTAATTGTTATTGTTATAATAATATTATTATTATTATATTATAATATTTATTATAATAAATTAATTATAAATAATTAATTTATATATAATTATTATTATAATATTATTAATAATATTATTATTATTATAACCTTTACTTTACCAGGAAAGACGCATTGAGATTAAAAATCTCTTTTACAAGAGCGTTAATTAAGATTTAAGCTGGAACTACAGAAATGTAATAAATTGCAAATTCATCAAACATGATACTACCAATAAAGTGCAAAACTGTGCTTGCCGCCATCTTGATTTCAGAGCGAACACATCATATTTCCTCTTCGTACACAATATATGTTTACTCCAGATTTCAATCAACACAGGGACTAGAAAGCTGTCAGTCTACTAATAAAATAACTGGTAATACTTGTTTTTTGAAAAAAGTTACTCAGATTTATTTATTTGAAATGAAAAAGTAATGCATTACTTTACTAGTTACTTGAAAAAGTAATCTGATTACAAGTAACTCTCATTGCTAACCCAACATTGCTTCAGACGTCTTTTAATCTCTACAACTCTCAACAACGACAAAAAACGTTTGTTTTCTTTCAGAACAGCCATATGTGAGTATATTCCCAATTTTAATCAACAAAGGGACTGGAAAGCTGTCAGTCTGCTAATAAAATAACTGGCGGTACTTGTTTTTTGAAAAAGTAACTTGATAACCTAGGATTCAGAAAGAACAATGCGTTTTTTTTCCAGGCCATGGTACACTGGACCAGCTCTATACCCTCACTAGAGTGCTTGAGGGTTCATGGGGTATGCCCACAGGAAGGCATTCGACCGTGTCTTCCATGGCATTCTGTGGAGGGTGTTCGGGGAGTATGGGTCAGAGGCGCTCTGTTAAGAGCTGTCTCGTCCCTGTATGAACAGAGTAGTTTGGAGTTTGGTTGGCATTGCCCGCAATAAGTCAAACTTGTTTCCAGTGCATGTTGGACTCCAGCAGGGCTGCCCCTTGTCACCAATTCTGTTCATCATTTTTATGGACAGAATTTCAAGGCGCAGCCTTAAGCTGGAGGGGGTCCGATTCGGGGACCACAGGATCTCATCTCTGTTATTTCAACAAATTTGTTCTGTTGGCTTCATCGAACATGGACCTTCAGCATGCACTGGGCCAGTTTGCTGCCTAGTCTGAGACGGCTGGGATGAGAATCAGCACCTCCAAGTCTGAGGCCATGGTGCCCCACCGGAAAAAGGTGGTTTGCCATCTCCAGGTTGGAAGAAAGTCCTTAACCCAGGTGGAAGAGTTCAAGTATTTTGGGGTTTTGTTCACGAGTGAGGGAAGGATGGAACGCAGACTAGTGCAGCGACAGCAGTATTGCGGTCGATGTACCGCTTCATTGTGGTAAAAAAGAATCTAAGCCGGAAGGCAAAGCTCTCGATTAACTGGTCAGTCTACGTTCCTACTCTCACCTATGGTCATGAACTTTGGGTAATGACCCAAAGGACAAGATGTCAGATACAAGTGGCCGAAATGAGTTTTCTTAGCAGGGTGCTTCCTTGTAGATAGGGTGAGGAGCTCTGACATCCGGGAGGAGCTCAAAGTAGAGCCACTGCTCCTCCACATCCAGAGAAGTCAGCTGAGGTGGCTCGGGCATCTGTTTTGAATGCCTCCTGGATGCCTACTTAGGGGGGTGTTCCAGGCATGTCCCACTGGGAGGAGGCCTTGTGGAAGATCCAGGACAAGCTGGAGGGACAATGTCTCTCGGCTGGCCTAGGAACGCCTCAGGATCCCCCCGGAGGAGCTGGAAAAAGTGTATGGGGTTCTCTCCTAAGACTGCTGCCCCCACAACCTGGCCCCGGAAAAGCAGATGAAAATAAATGAATGAATAACTCGGATACTTTATTTTAAATTAAAAAGGGATGCATTACTTTATTGGTTACTTGAAAAACTCATGTAGTCTGATTACATGTAGCTCTCATTACTACCCCAGCATTGCTTCAGAGTTTTTTTTAATCTTGAAAACTCAAAACAAAAAATGATCCGACAATCTCTTGTTTTCCACCAGAACGGCAGTCTCCACATTTAAAGACTTTGAGCTGGCGTCGACGCAGCAGCGGCCGGACGTGGTGCTTCGCCAGAGACGGAAAGAGCAGCAGCAGCGAACACTGGAGGCTCAGCGCGGGACTGTGGCGGTGGTTCAGCCTACGGCACGCCGCTTCATGAGGTTAGCGGTGATGGGTTTGACGGTGGCACTGGGAGCCGCGGCGCTGGCCGTGGTGAATTCAGCTCTGGAATGGGCTCCGAAATTAGACTTACTGTTTCCGTGAAGGAGCTGAAATAACAGCACAAGCTCACAGTTGAAGGACTGAATATGTTTTTTTTTTTTTTTTAAGTATTTATACTTGTAAAGAAGTTAGACTAATAAATAAAATATATTGTGCGCATAGTTGTTATAATTCAATAAGATTCTGAAATGATACCGTAAATCGAGCGTCAGTTGTTGAGTTGCGGTAAACGTAAAGCAGAGATTCGTACACTAAACTTCTCATTCGTGAAATGTGGTCTGAGCAAATTTTTGCGTAATTTTTTTTGACATTTTTTTTTACGAATAATTCAAATTTACGTAATAGCTATGTCGCGTGTTGTCTAAACTTATGCGACATTGTTTAGGAATGTGATTTGAGCAAATTTTTTGACGTAAAAATTTTATGTATATAAAAAATTATTGAAATTAACACAATACCATGTTCACGTTTATTGTTCGCAAAACTGTTTTGCATCGTCACTGAATTCAGTGCAACAATTGAATAAATAAAGTTAGATTTTGTTAATTGTCAATTTACATAATGGGTTTACGAACAATATATGACTCAAAATTATTAAACTATTATTTATTTAATTGGCGTGTAAATTCAGTTTGATGATTTACTTTAAAATTATTTGTTACAATTTTTTAATTGTATTTTTTATAAATTCATGATTGTGTTCAATCTGCGTAATTTACGCAATAGCAATGTTTGCATTTTTGGTCGTGAAATGTGATTTAAGCTAAAATTTTTGACGTAAGAATTTTATTTATATAAAAGAACAATTTAAGTTTACACTTACAATTTTCGCATATGTTGTTCGCAAAACGTTTTTAGTTACATCATCATTGAATTCAGTGCAATAATTGAATAAATGAAGTTACATTTTCTTAATTCTCAATTTGCATAATGGTTTTATGAACAATATATGAGTCAACTATCAAACTACATTTTATTCAATTGGCGTGTACAATCCAGTTTAACGATTTACGTTAAAATTATTTGATAAAATTTTGTACTTGTACTTTTTAGAAGTTCTTTTTTGTTTTCAATCTATGCAATTTATGCAGTGTACAGTCATTTTGAGGAGAAACTATATTTATTAAATTGTTCAATTCGATGTCATAATTTAAATATTTCAAGTGCATTTTTGTTTTGAAATTTCTAAATGTACATTTACATTAAATGCAACAAGCAATTATTAAATGAATGCAAAAATTGTATAAATAAACTTTGAAAAAAAGTTCAAAATAAACGTAATAATAAAATAAAATTTATCTACACATTTTTTATCATAATCAAACATTTCTGTACAATATTTGTAAAATTATTATCATATCACACAAAATAAACAATTCGCGCAAAAATTACATTACACGTTAATTGCGCAGAAATTTGCTCAGCTTGTGTTTCATGATTGAGAAATCATGTGTTTTATTATACTTTGCTGACATAAAGAATAACTAATATAGTGAGACCAAAATATTTTAGGACCTGTTTGTAGAATTGACAGTTTCATTGAACTGATTCAGAACCACATTTACATGTCTGTAATATCTTAATTATGAAACTATTATAAAACAGCATCAGATTAACTTGTATTTTTTATATACATGTTCACAATTTGCATGTTATTTTTTCACCCACCATATTTCAGTTTTTCTTAATTGCAGTATTTTTCAGTTAGAAATGCTGATTCGTAGCAAACAACTGAAAAGCTGAGCTGGAGTTGATCAACAAACTTGAGATTTCTTGAATCAGGGGGTTATATTAAGCAGTGAATGTGAAATGCAGTAGCTTCTATGATTGATATCCAGATCAATGTTGAATCATGACATATTGAATCTTCGACGTATAATTTCTTGTTTAAATGCTGTTCACAAATAACCGATTCCATTAATCATTAATTAATATTGTGATTCTAAAATCACCTCATTAAAATATAATTTATTAAAATAACACGCTGCTGTCGACACATTTCTGCTGTTTATGCTTTAATTTTTCGTTAATTTTGCACTAAAGAACATGCTTCTTGCTTATTTTTTTGCACTTTTGAGAGATTGTTATAGGTCGTCTCTGGTTCGTAATGTGTCAAATATGTTTAAATAAAAAGAAAAGTGAAAGTTTAGTGCGTTTGTGTACATTACTGCTCTGTTTTTCTAAGTGGGGTTGACAAACCACCTGTAGAAAACACTTTCATCTTGCTGATACTTTAACCTCCTAGGGCATGAGTGGCCACATAGGTGGACAGTACATTTTAGCTCTTAAGTGACTTATTAAAAAATACCTTGAATGTTTATATTTGGTTACAGACATACAGTGTCATCATCCTGCAACTGTTTTGCAGCATATGAAGTGTCGCAAACCCTATTTTTAACTGTCCTAAATGGGGAAAAAATATTGTTTTTACTCCCTGATAGTATAAGTAAGTTCATAAAGTTTCTATGTTGTATTTGCATAAAAAAACACAGTCAGGAAAAAGTGTTTTATGTAAATTCGGACCATAAATCCACATATATGGTCATCTATTTTCTCTAAAAGTACATCATATCAAAAGATGATAAGCTCAAATAGCAAAGAGAAATAAAAATTGCAAGTAAAAAAACACCTTGGGCCTTAAGAGGTTAACCAACACTTGCACCAGACACTTTCTTACAATCTCTAAAAAAAAACATTGGGCATTTATGAAGTGTGCCTCACACAGGTGAGTGAGCTTGACAAACCACCTGTAGAAACACTTTTCTCTTTATGAAAAACACTAACCCCTTACACCACGCTTGAAGTTTATTTCTAGGCTAATTTCAAGAGTATCACATGCTTATGATTGACCACAGCTGGTCCTGCATTAGCTAGCACATGATTCACCAATTAGGCGATTCCTGAACTCACTATAAATAACCAGAGTTTCTTACCTCAGTTATCTTCGTCTTGAAGAATCCCCTTGTTCCACTCCTACACCCTTTTCTTTGATATGGTGACCTAGTGGTTAGTACTGTTGCCTTACAGCAGGAATGTCACTGGTTTAAGTCCTTACCAGGCCGGTCGATGTTTCTGTGCAGAGTTCACATGTTCATGCTCGTGTGGGTTTCCCAGCGGGTTCTCCGGTTTACTCCCACAGTCTAAAGACATGCGATAAACGTGAATTGACTGAACCAAACTGGCACCATAGATGAGCTCTCAATCAGCAGTATATCTCTCTGTAGCAATCCCTAATTTGTCATTAGCCATAAATAAGCAGGGGAGTTCTCGAGACCTACCTGAGCTCAAACTCCCCTCTCGCCCTGCAAACAGGAGGGAGCTCCGGGCTCGAGGATATAATGAGCTCAGGGCTCTTTCCCGGGACAGCATGCCCGAGCAAATTATTTTTGACGGTGTTTCTTTCTTGTTAAAGTCTTACTTGTTTTATATCAAATAAAATAAAAGCAGTTTTTAATGTTTTCAGTATTATTAGCCCCCTTAAGACATATATATATATATATATATATATATATATATATATATATATTTACACACACACACACATATATATATATACACACACATATACACACAGACACACACATATATAATAGCAAATTCTATTTGAAAATATTTAGGGAATACAAGGGCATATTTTGCATATTCAAAAATGCATTCAATACGTTAATACTTAATTTTTTTATAGCAGCTTTATTTGATTATAAAACATTGTAAACAAGCTGAAATCAGTAAACAGAATTATAATGCATTCACATGCTTTAAAAAAATAGAAAATAAATCTACAAGATTATATGCATCACATATCAGCAATAAAGTATTTTGGGGATTTTATAAAACTTCTCTCAATTTCATGGAACTGTTGTTCTTTAATCGATTGATTCATGTTGAATCCTTTGCTATAATTTGTCAATTTAAAAAAAAGTACATCTTTGGATTCTAAGCACAGATTCCCTTCAAATTAATATTCAGATACCACATAATACAGCTCTTTCTCTTTCGGTTTCATTGCACAAAGTCCCAGAGCATGAGTTCAGCAGAAAACAGTAGTGATTTGAGGCATTTTTAAATTTATATTAAAGCTCATATACTTTTAGGGTACGTTTACATGACAGAAATATAATAGAAACACAAAATATTTTGTGTACATACGTTTGCGATAGCTCCCTGCTCTAAAATAACAAAAACTGCCGTATTTCGTATGCCAGACCAGTAGGTGGCGATATACAGAAACATAAGGTCATATGGTTCTTTAGTTAGCACGTAACTTTTTTTTTTTCTGACAAATATTAACACAGGACGTCACAGTTTTTTACAGAATCGAATTTTCAAAATTAACGAGATGAAAATATTGTATAGTTTTAAAATAATGTTCACTTTAAAACCAAAGTTAGCATTTTCATGGCGCCGAAACACATTAAGTTACAAATGGTGTCATGTAAACGTACAATTAATTTTATAAACATTTTAAACAATCAAACACCCTTTTTTTGGGATGCACCAGTTATAAGACTAGACAGTGAAAATTTGAATATACATCATTTTAAAGGCCAAACCTGAAACCTGAAAAAACCAAAAATCACATTATGGAGTGTTATGTTGTTGTAGCATTTTTTTTTTGCTTGTTGAGGAAGTAGCGTTTAGCGATTTGCTAGTGTTTAGTGGCAGTTCTGGCATTGCGGATGACAAAGGACTCCGTTTACTCGACATTTGCATCCGCCTGATGTGTCTCCAGCACCCTGAGGAGATAAACCCAAGTCCAGATGAGCCATTTGATGATTATCGGCTTGTTAAGTGGTGACGTATGTAATACTGTTTCCGGGTCCAAGTCACCATTCATTTAAGTTGAGAAATGATTAGTTTATGATCACTTTTTATTCATATCACACATTTAAGTTAATTTTAGATAAAGTCATAGTGTACGCAACAATCTCTGGGCTTGCTGCATAACAAATATTGAAATTTTAACAATTTATAAAAAAAGTTCATCACTTTCTGGCCATTGGATATTAGGCATGGACATATATATTGCAATCGTGAGTTTCGAAACTATTAAATCGCTTTGTAAACGTTTATAATTACCATTTCATGAGTCTCCCAATACAGTTATATAGAGCGATTGGACCCGGAAGCCGTTTCGCGTGACGTCATACTTAACAAGCAGCTATGTATGTATATATGGTTTATATAATGTATTTGTCTGATGTGTGTATATAGTATACCAAAGGTCCCCATCGGGCTTGTTTGGTCACCCAGCAGATCTCGGTTTTGCACATTAGACAACAGATCCAGTCACAGCCGTCTTTCTTCTGGACGATCACCTGACATTTGGGACAGTTCATCGCCTCGCCATTCTTTAGCAGTTGCTGGAATAGGACAACAGTCAAAAGGTAACTTAATATTTATTTGCTGATTCTTTATATTGCATCAACTATGTACAATGAGACCAACGTAGTCTGATTCTTTAACTACTGACTTATGATTCATCTGTTTCAGTGAATCAAACTCATGCAGTGATGAATGTAGTGTGATTCCTGAACAAAACGCTCCTTTAAAATTTTCGCTTTTTTTTCTTAATTGAAGAAATGATTCTACTGAATGTTGAATATGAATCTGCTGTTTTGGTACGTTATATGAATTTGATTCTTATTTTGTGAATCAAATAGAGCAACTAATGGAGTTTGATTCAAATAATGAGTCAACTCTATTTAGTGAATCAAACACATTTTAAATTCTAAAACAAGTCAAATTTCCAAACAACTGATTCTTATGAATCACTCTTTTTAGAGATTCAAACATAACCAAACTAGTCTGATTACCTGACAAATATAAAACCAATAGACAAATAAATTATTCTTATAAATCACCTTCTTTTACAGAATACATTCAATTTAACCAAATGTAGTTTGATTTCCCCCCATAAAAAGATTCTTAAAAAAGGGACATTGATGAATCACAATGCTGTCTGTTTTCTGAACAAATCGACTCATTTGAATCATTTCATTTCACTGAATAAATCACACAACAACCAATAGTGTGATTCCTGAACAACCGACTAATACGAATCAACTCAGCATTACCAACGTAGTTTGATTTACCAAACAAATGACTCCTACAAATTATTTTGTTTCAGTAAATCAAAAGCAAATGGAACAATTTCCACCCCCAGAGGGCGCTCGAAAACTTCAACATTTAAAATAAAAATTCTAACTAAAACTAACTTTTCAGTGCATCTAAAGCAAGTAAAATACAGTTTCCACCCAAATGGGTGCTCTTTTATTTTCAAAAATTTCAATGTTTAACTTAAAAAAAAATAAAATAAAATAAAAATAATAATAATATATATATATATATATATAATTTTTATATTTTATTATTTTTTTTTCATTTGTTTATCAGTAAAAAATACAAAAAATTCACAAACTAAATTTCACCCACATCCAGCATCTCTGTGGTCTGCCGAGCCGCTTCATCGTTCTGCGCTCTCACACGTAGGTCGTCCTGGTACTCCTTGCAGTTCATTCCTTTATGAATAGCCTTCAGAAACGAACAGACTTTATAGTCACCATCATGTGCACTTTAAAACTAGATGTTAACAAAATGCGAACAAACTTTGCGTTCACCTTGCAGAGGAGGCAGTTGGTCTCATTGCAGATGTCGCACTTAAATTCGTTAACGTCATCTTCGAAGATGCACCAGCCAGCGCAGTCCGGGGTTTTGCAATGGTAACTGTTCTCACTGCGGGACTCAGCGATATTCAGCCGCAGTTCTAGGAATTTTTGGTACTCGTCCTGAGTGAGAAGCTGGTAGAAAAAAACAATAATTGACGATGGGCCACTGATTAATAAGAAAAGTAATAAATAACTTCAGGTGTGCGTTATTTTCGAATAATTCAACGATTAGGAGTAAGTTATTCTGCTTGTACTATGGTTCCCACGTCTAAGGCACTAGCTATGGCTGTGTCCAAAATCACCTACCACTCAAATAGGTGCTACATTTGAATTAGAATTTACTACATGATCGTTAGAAAAGTACCTATATAGTATGAATCTGAGCAGGAATACTGTAATTCGGAGGTACTACATCCACCGTTTGTCATAATCAAGTGACCTGCCAGCTTCAGTTGCTTCGCTTGGCTCCCATTCAAGAATTCTCTCGCATGGCATCATGGGATATCATAGCGTCCGTTTGTATGCACACCACAGATTCTCGGTGAAAGTAGTAGGTCATCAGAGTACTTCTTTCCTACTGTTTTTTGAATACTATGAATTAGTATGTACTACTCTGTTCACATACTGTTTATTGCATACTATATAGTAGAGAAGTATGAGATTTAGAACACAGCCTATGTTTCCATCTACCTATATTTATGCAAATTTTGAAATATAGCATAAAAAGATGCTCAATGACAATTCTAAGATGTGGAAAATTTTTTGAAAATGCGCATAAAAAAACCGGTATAAACTACAATGGAAACACATTTACCGGAAAAAATTCCGATATGCGCATTAATAAAGTCAAAATTGATTTTGTTTTAAGAGATCCTTTGACGATAAAAATGGCCACAACAGGGCAAGATTAATAGACAAACTAGCAAACGGACCGTGTTGCGCAATATCTGAAATGTTGTATTGGTTGTTCTAAAATACTTTAGGTGAAGTCGGTCATCAAAAGTAGTTTGATATTATTACCAAACTGTCATTGTCGAACTATTATTACCAAACTGTCATTGTCGAACTATTATTACCGAACTGTCATTGTCGAACTATTATTACCGAACTGTCATTGTCGAACTATTATTACCAAACTGTCATTGTCTAACTATTATTACCAAACTGTCATTGTCTAACTATTATTACCGAACTGTCATTGTCGACCTATTATTACCAAACTGTCATTGTCGACCTATTTTTACCAAACTGTCATTGTCGAACTATTATTACCGAACTGTCATTGTCGAACTATTATTACCAAACTGTCATTGTCTAGCTATTATTACCAAACTGTCATTGTCGAACTATTATTACCAAACTGTCATTGTCGAACTATTATTACCGAACTGTCATTGTCGAACTATTATTACCGAACTGTCATTACCGAACTATTATTACCGAACTGTCATTGTCTAACTATTATTACCAAACTGTCATTGTCGAACTATTATTACCGAACTGTCATTGCCGAACTATTTTTACGAAACTGTCCTTGCCGAACTATTATTACGAAACTGTCCTAGCCGAACTATTATTACCGAACTGTCATTGCCGAACTATTTTTACTAAACTGTCCTTGCCGAACTATTATTACGAAACTGTCCTAGCCGAACTATTATTACCGAACTGTCATTGCCGAACTATAATTACGAAACTGTCATTGCCGAACTATTATTACCGAACTGTCACTGTCGAACTATTAATAACGAACTGTCATTGCTGAACGATTATTACGAAACTGTCCCTGCCAAACTATTATTACTGAACTGTCATTGTCGAACTATAATTACGAAACTGTCATTGCCGAACTATTATTACCGAACTGTCACTGTCGAACTATTAATAACGAACTGTCATTGCCGAACGATTATTACGAAACTGTCCTTGCCAAACTATTATTACTGAACTGTCATTGTCGAAATATTATTACCGAACTGTCATTGGCAAACTATTATTACCAAACTGTACTTGCCGAACTATTATTACGAAACTGTTGTTACCAAACTAGTACTACCGAACTGTCATTACCGAACTATTATTACCGAACTGTCATTGCATTTTGTATTCATCTTTTCAAGCTCAAGTAATATATTATATAAGAATAACGGCCCACAGTGGCTTCTCCTACAACAGAAAATGTTATTTTTCCTTTTAATATTTGCCGCCATATTTATCAGGAACTGATAATTTTGTTCTCTTTGACTCCTTAGATGAAAACGATGCTTTATTTGTGAATGTTTTATGCGGTATTCTAGGTTCGCATGTAAATCTAATTTTCATTTTTAGATAGAAACAGCTTTGCTTAGATGTTGTGTTTGGCTATTTTCATACAAATATCATCCAAATGATTTTAATTTTCATTTGATTTTTAACATTTGGAGGCTGTTATTCAGTTTGATATAGAACTCTAATTCAGGCAAAATCAGCCTGGAACTACATTAGCTGTGCATTTATCTGAAAACAATTCAGAATATTCATCAGCCAATCAGAATCAAGCATTTGTATAGTTTAAAGCTAAATAACACATTAATGATCTTACAGATTTGATCTCTCGATCTTGGAGTTTGCAGTTACAGGCATAAGCGTTGTCTCCATAAGGACAACAAACCTCAGCGTCCAGGCAGTTCACTACGGTCCCTTTCAGACAGTCCCTGTAGGAGATACAGTTGAGGAATTGTTGTCAGATTTGTAGGTATTTCCATTTATATTAAATAAACAGTGTTTAAATCACCTGCAGAAGCTATGAAGGCACTCTCTTAAAACGGCGCCCTCTCCTGGCATGATGGTGCCAAAACAAATGGCGCACTCCAGCTGATCTGTGTTTCCCACCAGGCTGTGTGCATCTGTTTGCAGGAGTTCTTCGTAATTCCTCTGCCGTTCAAGGAAATTTCTTTCTTCCTCTTGTAACAGAGACTATGCAAATTGACAAAGCCACATGTTACGTTTTCTTGATTGGTACTTTTTAAGCTAACAGTGGACAACAGTTAGCAGAGTATTAAGTAACAAGTGGACAGAGTATTGCACTTATTCTTGACGTACGTGAGAGCGCAGCCATTGGAATCTTTATGGCTTGAGACTTCCGATCTCATTCACTTCCATCAATTTTTCAACATCAAAAACAGCTTGTTATGCGGCTTGATGTTGCAAACTGACATTTTCTTATTTTATTCTTCTACTTTTTATGTATACTCATAAACACACTTGTTTGTAGAGCAAGCGGTTTGACTGTTTTCTGTTGTTTATTATTTCTAGTATTTTTTCCCACAGGCAACTCAATCGGAAGTTCTAAAACAATCGCAAGAATGAGCACACTTGCAGAAAAAGGTCAATAAAGTTCATCAGTTTCACTTTCCATTCCATTTAAAGGTTCATGAAACCCTCGACTAATTTTTTTTAATATATTTATCTGTATTGAACATCAAATCAGACAATGTTAGCATCTGTTAGCTTTAATTGTATGGACTAAATGGCTAACTTGGAGCATTGCCCCCTGTTTTCATCTTTCGGATTTAAAGTATAACATAGATTAACATGGCTTTCAGACACTGACAGGCACGACTTTCGAATGCTCCAATTCCCGAGGACATTTTCTGTCCATTCAAAGTAGGAATGTGTGTGTCTAAATTTTTAAATAAGCAACCTCAGTCACAATGAGCTTCTGACAGTTGCTTGCTTTCTCTCCTGCTTTGCTCCATCATGCCCATTACTGAGGGGTTCTAAGGATGAAACTGCAGTCGAGCTACAACGGTCATATCTGTAACTCTGTATCTAACTCTGACGACCTGTGGTCTCATGTGAATTATGTTTTGTCATTTTCACTACAAGCTGATTATGTGTCTAATCCTTGTTTATGTCTTCTCAATAATGATTCTAATCTGTATAAGTACATTAAAGAAGAGAATGTTGTATGCTGGTCTGACTGCTGCAAAGAAGGCAATCGTACAAAACTGGTTTACTATGTGTGCAAAAACATTTTATATTCATAGCTTCTTTAAAATAGTGACTTGTGAAGGTACAATAGCACAAATTATTAAAGCTAAAGCTAGTAATATTGATGCATGGCAATGTTTTTCTTCCAACATTTTAGACTATATAAAGAAATGACCATTTAAAGTTTTTCCCCTCTTGTTTCAGATTGACAATTGCTGATATGTCTGTTGCGCCCCCTTCAATGTTTATTTGTTTGAAGGTCTGATTTTTTTAATCTAAAGACAATAAAACGTTGATCACAAAAAACCAAGTCGAGGTAGATTTGAACTAAAAGAACTGAAAGGGTTTCATGACCCCTTAAACAGAAAAGCTTTGTAGTTTTAGGAGAAGCATCAGGTACTTTCAGAGATCGTTTCACAAAATAATCTGATGTTTTTTTGTATATTTTTTTTGGTGGTTTTCATACCACAGTTCCTTCTGACAGTTCACTGTACTCCAGAATGTTGCGTTTTTGTTTTTTTTCCCTCAACTAACCTGCTCATACTGCAGGCTGGCGAGTTCCTCCTGCTGTAGTCTCCTGGTTTCAGACTCGTCCGGCTGGTACAAGTCCGGCACCTGATAGTTGTCGGGTCTCGCCGTGCTGCACATCTCACAACCTGGACGTGTCGGTTTATTCAGGTACGTGCACTGAGGACATGCCCAACCATCCAGCTGTGAAACCAAGTAACATTATTACAATTATTACACAGAGACATACACAGAGCTGCAGACAGAACAATAGAGGGATAGAGAGAGTAAGAAAGCTACAAATCGACTGAGTAACAGAACAATAGGTATGTCAGAAGATTGATCGATAATAAAAGATAGAGTCTCAGAGTGTTAGATAAACAGAATATGAGATAGATAGATAGATAGATAGATAGATAGATAGATAGATAGATAGATGGATAGATGGATAGATAGATGGATGGATGGATGGATGGATGGATGGATGGATGGATGGATGGATGGATGGATAAATGGAAGGATGGACTGTTGGATGGATGAATAGAGACCGACAAGAGATGGATGGATGGATGGATAGACAGGCGGAAAGATAAACAGACAGAAAGAAGGATGGACTGTTGGTTGGATGGATGGATAGAGAGACAGACAAGAGATCAATATAGTGATGGATAGATAGAAGGATGGACTAAGATGATAGACATAGACAAAAGATAGTTCTACAGACAAGAGATAGATAGACAGACAGATAGATAAATAAATAAGGAACAACAGATAGACATACAAATTTGGGTTTTGGAGGTAGAGCAGGGCGAGTGTTTCCTCTAGTGATGCGCTCTGGTGGACGTTGAAGAGGACGTTCAATGGTCTCCATTATAACTAGATGAAGAACGACGTGTGGTTTACAAGACTTAAATGTACTATAATTTATTCTATTTTTATTAAAGATATAAATGCATTACCATCGATCTGCCTCTCCTCTTTCTCTCTTCTCTCTTGTTCGCGGCGCAGATTGACAGACTGAGCAGAGCGGATGAAGAGGAAGGCAGAATCATCGTGGTTTCGGATCCCATAAAAATAAAGGGTTTCTTTGTCCTGGGCGAGACGCTTCCCGATCACCCAGCGCTGGAGAGACGGATGGAAGCCATAGTCACCGTTGATCTGAAAGATGAATTATGAGTGATGAGCATTAGGTTATTATAGTATAGCTTTTTACATTTTTTATTTCAATACTGCTGTTTAGTAATGCTACACTTTTCAGTTTAGTTTTAGTTCAGCAGGTTTAGTTTATTTTTATTATTTCTATTTAGTTTTTATATATTTAGTTTTAGTAATTCTGTTTTTTTACAAAACATGTCCAGTGTAGAGCAAAGCAATGTTTAGTGCTTGCATACATTGTAGGCTACATTAACTGTTGTTCAAACATTTTATAATGTGTCCTAATTACACACGTGACAAGATTCCATCGACAAACAAATTGACTGTCCGCACTAGAGATTAGATGCAGAATAGTGCACTCCCAACCAAATGGTAAGGCTTATAATCAGGCTAATTATCAGTGTGTCTGATAAGAACACCATTAAGAGGATCATAAAGTCAGCTGAAAGGTCTGTTGGAGTCAAAATGACATCTATCGAGGAACTTTACCAACGCCGTTGTCTGTCTAGGGCAAATAACATTTTAGGGGATCCAACCCACCCTGGTCATAGCCTGCTCTCACTCATGCCATCAGGCAGGCGTTACAGAAGTCTGAGGAGCAAATCAGTGCGGTTTCGGGATAGTTTTTATCCTGTCATTATAAGACTTTTAAATAATACCATTTCTTTAGCATTGTTGAAAGCTAGTGTTAAATAATAAATAAATTTGTTAAACTAGCATAAATTGTTAATATTACAACAAATGGTGAAATAGGTATTTAAGTATTAAGTTATTCTCTTCAGAGATTTTTAAAAATGGGTTATATCTTATATAATGATATTTTTTATATTTTATGGAATTATAAAAGCTTATTTATCATGTTAGGATTTTATAGTGTTTTTATAGTGATGTTTTTTATGTTCTTGTTGGGTCTGTTGCAACGTAATTTCGTTCTGCATTACAATTCTATTGTGATGATTTGAATGACATAAATAAAGGAAACTGATAATCTAATTATTGCATAATAAACCTCTTTAGCAGCATTAAAGTACATGCTTAGTGACTGTCACATAAAGTGGTATTTAAAATCACATTGGGTGCATTTAACACTGAATAAAGCACATAATCAGCACCTGAGGGCATCATTGTCATAGTAGTTTATGCTGTTGTTCAGCCATGGCATTGCAGAAATAGAAACTTTCTTGAATAGAAATTTTGCTCATCGATGTCGGGAATTACGAGGTCAAAAAACTCATGTTAACATGGAAAAGACAGCTTTTGTTGTGTGTAGTTAGGACAGACTTCTTAATATTAAAGTTTATATATGTAGTTAAAAATGCCAAGTTTATTGCTGAGTAAATTTAATTTAGTATATTGTATCTGGATCTGTGGATAACGTTTATAGTTTATCCACATATTTATTCATTCATTCATTCATTTTCTTGTTGGCTTAATCCCTTTATTAATCCGGGGTCGCCACAGCGGAAGGAACCGCCAACTTATCCAGCAAGTTTGTTACGCAGCGGATGCCCTTCCAGCCGCAACCCATCTCTGGGAAACATCCACACACACATTCACACACACATTCATACACTACGGACAATTTAGCCTACCCAATTCACCTGTATCGCATGTCTTTGGACTGTGGGGGAAACCGGAGCACCCGGAGGGCAGGGAGAACATGCAAACTCCACACAAAAACGACAACTGAGCCGAGGTTCGAACCAGCGACCTTCTTGCTGTGAGGCGACAGCACTACCTACTGCGCCACTGCCTCGCTTATTTAAATTTAACATAATATATTCACATATTTAAATTTTAGTTGGTTGATGTACATGTGCACTTTTTACTTGGGTTATTTATAAATGTAAATGATCAACACATATTTTGTACATAATTGACACTATTCTTTTTAAAGTTTTTATAGATTGTATTTTTGTTTATTTTTTGTGTAATTGTAATTACATTTTGTTTATGGGGAAGGTTTGGGAATATTTGTTTTAATTACTCTGTAAAACTATCCTGATATTTCAGTAAACGTTTAATAAATAGATTTTTAAAAATGCCAAGTTTACATATTTTGTGAAATGATGGAAAAAATATTCTTTAAAAGCGCCATCTACAGGTGTTTCTATTAACAGCCGCTGGTCAGATTTCCGCAACAGAACAAGTGCATATGAATTCTGAATATTATTATTATTTTTGCTATAAGTATATTTTTTTTTCAGTGACTGCGATTAGCTTTATTTTCATTTATTGGGAATTTTTATTTTATTTCATTTAATGAAAAGGTTTTTTGTCCAGTGGTCTTAGTTTTTATTTTCACTTACTAAAATAACCTTGGTATATAAATAATTTTGATTTCAGTCTCACATCCATCACCACCACTATTTACCTTTTCCTTCAGCTCGGATATTGTCATGTAAACTGGTACCATCACTGTTATTGGGATGTGATGTTCTGATTCAGCATCAGCCACTCCAACTCTTAATCTGCCATTGCACAGTACAAAACAAAATAGTAAATAAATAGAAGTTCATCTTCAGCAAAACACATTTGTATGTGTGATTGAGCTGGTCTAAAAACATACCTGATGTTGTCTTGAGAATATGCATCTGGATTAATTTTGACGCTCACTGGGAGTTTCAGATCCAGAAGTTGATTCAGGTATTTAGTTGCTTCATCTTTGTCTCTGGAGTTGATGGCGTCACTAAGAAGTCGAGCGGCATCCTCCGCTGGAAAAGCAGAGATGATATGTTAAAATATGTATATGTCTGATATAGAGATATAGTGTATTATATGCCAAAACTCACCTTCCGTTACATTTCTAGAGGCATCAAGAGCAGCCATACTTTAATCTTGAAAGCTTGTTTAAAAAGAAAGCAAAAACAAAAAGTTATTTTGTTTATTATTATAATTTTATTTTAGTATTTAAATCTATGTATCTATCTAACTATAAATGTAAAATCTAATGTTGACTTTAATTAGACTGAAATAAAGCTATATTTTAATTTTAAATAATTAATTAATATGATTTAGTTTATTATTGTTGTTATTTAAACAAATATATTTAAAAAAAAATGTTTTAATGAAATTAAAATAACTGACTAAACCCAGCAGGCACACAACATCATAAGACATTATTATTGGGTAGATTTAGGTCGTGATGTCAGGTGACCAAAATTCAATGTCTAACCAGCGTCTAAGTACAACGTTATTTTGACGTACAATGACGACGTAAAATTGCGTTGATTTTTGGTTGATTTTAGGTTGTGTTGGAAAGTGACCAAAATCCAACGTCTGATAGATGGTTCTAGTGGTAATGACCACACAACGTCAAGGTGTAGCATGATTAGACATTGATATTGGGTTGATTTTAGGTTGGACATTGGACAATGACATCGGCCTGAAATTGGGTTCTGACATCAACACAATTTTCATTTCCAAACAAAATCCAACATCCTCATGATGTTGGGGTACAATGTCAATATGACATCATGTTGACGTCCTGTGCCTGCAGGGAAATCTATGATATATGTATTTAAATTTATTAATTAAACTGTTTTATTCATTCATTTCCCTTCAGCTTAGTCACTTTATTCATCAGGGGTTGCCACAGCGGAATGAACCGCCAACTATTCCAGCATATGTTTTACGCAGCAAATGCCCTTCCAGCCACAACCCAGTACTGGGAAACACCCACACACAAAAACACACACACACACACACTACAAACAATTTAGTTTTAAATTATTTTATTTTCACTTAAATTATTTAAAATAGTTAATACTGAAATAAATATATTTGAAAGAAACATAGTACAACAGGGAAAACTTTGTAAACTAATTTGATAGAATACACTATTAGATAACTTACTAAAAAATAATTTTAAACGAATATATTATATTATATATTATATTATATCATCCTAATGTATGTCATAAAATGTCCATAAAATTAATAAACATAATGTCCATAAACAATCTTTTAGAATAGATGTTGGACAAAAACAGTACCTTGGTCATTTTATATATGGTTTTATTACCATACATATATATGGCATTTAGGCTAGTATTCGAAAATACTACGGTACTATATTCCTATATGTTTGCATACATGTAGAAAACATAGACATATTTTCTACCACACATGTAAAGGTTAAAAACTGCATTCAGCTCTTTGAGAACATAACAGCGTGCTCATTCAGCTCACAACCGCCACAATCAAAACAAATGTAGAAACAAACTTACCAACCATAGGACAAACGTTTAAAACACGCTTCGTGTTGTGTTTATGGTTATAGTACGTGGTGATAAAACCATCCGTGCTCTTGTCACAATCAGAAATTTGTGGAAAGAAAAGTGAAACGAAGCTTCACAAGGAAGTCAGGAAAGTCTCAGAGGAGTGTTGTGCAACTCCATCAGTCCAAACAACCACAGATGCGGAAGACACTGTAGATATAGTTCTTCATTTGACAGTTTGTGCTGTGCACTTGCGCTATATAATCGATTATAATAAGATACAACTATACTAATTATATTTTAACTAAATAATTATTTTAAATAAACTAAAAACAGCATTTAAATAAAACAGTTATCCGGAGTTTCTGAACTAATTTATTTTTATGCTTCTTGTGTGTCATAACTTCACGAGGAATTATGTGTTGTTGTTTTTTAATTGACATGAATTTGCTTGTTTTAGTGACTTTAATCGAAGTGTCGCGAGAATATGTGTAAGATTCTACAAGCATCCGCATTCCTAACATTGTCGCGAGATTTGACAGCACGAGAAAGCGCATGGCGCTGCGCGTGCTGTGAATGAAGGACAAACATAAGCTGTAATTCTGTAAGTTTAATTGTGTTTCGATCTCTAAACAGCTGTTTTGTTGTATATTTTAATGTATATATTACTTTTAAGCAACGAGAGACTTTAACTGTGTAGCTTAAGTGTGAATAGACAGCTAATATAGACCGCGCAGGCGAAAAACTGAGCTGCCCAAAACTGTTTGTTTTTTTAATAATTCAGTTTAGATGGTAATACCACATTGCTTTCTGATAAACATTGGTTTATATTTATTACTGTTCATGTAACACTGTGATGAATAGACAACTGAAACAGACAATATCAGTTACATTTACATACTTTGAATGGAGTAGTAATGAATTTCCTTTTTCATTTAAACAGATCTGCTGACAGACTGAACAGTGTCCGACTACAATTATGGAGGATTCCTCAAAGTTTGAGCGATATGTGTACAAAAATGCTTCAGTTTACCATTATATGAAGATATCTCTGTAAGTGGAACAGGTCAGTTCTGATCTGATCAATTTTATGCATTTTGTAACTAGTGAACATATAAAATAGATGAACCATAAGAGCTTTGTTTATTATTATTTTATTTTTAGAGTTTTGGAAAAAGAAAACCGAAATATTTCTGATGCACAGTTCAAGCAATTGATTATCAGTGGCGTTAAGGACTTGTATGGCGAGGTGAGCACATAGTATTTCTGTTTCTATAAAGATTTAATGTACCAGTGATGGAATTTGAACATATGATTTAATATATTTTGTTGTCATACTGATTCTGATTTATATCTCATATGTATATTTTTTTCTGTACCGCAGATTGGCGCTTCTTTTCCGTTTGATCTGCTAAAGTTTGATCCAAAGGAGTTGACCGGTATACTACGAGTATACAACAGGTACAGCATGCTCCTAGAACAGTGGTTCCCAAACTTTTTTCATCAAGTACCACCTCAGAAAAAAATGGTCTATCTAAGTACCACCATAGTGACGTGACCGATTATTTCCTATTATTAAGAATATTTATTATTGTCAGCCACTTTAAACATTATAAATAGTTTGAACATTAACACTGTACTGTGCTTATAGGTAAAAAACAAAACAAACAAAATAAAAAGTAAACGTTTAAAATGTGCTTTTAAATGTTAATTAAAAAAGGTTAATTAAGAATGGTTAAATGGTTCATTAAGAATGCTACTGTTCTTAACGTAAAAAGAAAACTGCGGTACTTAAATGTAAAGTTATAACAAATAGTAACCTGTTCATCAAAACCTGGAAATGTTGCTTGGACCTCATAAATATAGGCTATATGCCATCACATATATTATTCATATATAACCTTTTTTTTTTATAAATTTTGAATTATGTTGCATGTACACATGACCTATTTGCATTTCTAAACATTAACATGTATTTTAAAATAAATGATTTAGAATTACATATTTAAATTAGAAATTAGATCTGCTTACTGCTTTTGCTTTACAGTACATTTGTCAGAAAAGTGAGTGATAATATGCATAAATGCACTGCTTGACCAATTCATATGTGATTTATTCCTTCATACTTGTGGAATTTCCATGATTTGAGATCTCATCTTAAGTGGACCGTGGAGTTAACTGCACACAGAGACTAAATTTAATTAGGCAATATTCTAGCTCCAAGCTTTAAGCATGGCAAAGTTGCTTGAGTCTATAGCTGCGTCCCAAATCGCATACTTATGCACTATTCTACGCCATTTTGTAGTATAAATAGTGTAAGTAGTGTGTTCACACTGAGAACTCTAAAAATCATAAGTGCACTTTAATTACCCGGATAATGCACTCATTCAGCCGCTAAAATGAAGTGTGTAATGATGGACACTTCACGCACTCAACGACCGCAGGTTTGCTTACGTAGCGGAAAAGGCGGAGCTATCGGACGCACATGTTGAATAACTTTATTTATTTTGGATGGTGAGAACAAAATTCTTCTACGAGAGTGATTATAGCGCTTCCCGATGGTGAATGCGGCAATACTCACGGCAGGTTTTATTTGATAATTCAGTCGTTTATTTCACTGATTTGGCAACCGTCAAACGTCATCAGGAAAACGGTTTGAATTTCCGCTTAGTAGAAAAAACATTAGTGTGCCATTTGGGACGCCACTACATACATATACTACCCTGTTGAGTGTGTAAGTGCATAAGTACATAGTGCATGAGTGCATAGTGTATAGTGTGCCATTTGGGACGCAGCTTATGTTCTGTGTTCCGCGACATTTGAATCACATCCAGAAAAATTAGCCTAAGTCTGAGGGAACAAATTAATCGAAAGCCACGCTGCTTTACAAAACGAATAACTTTATATATATCGAAAACACGCATTATTTTACACAACTACGAACAAACGTTTAACACATTTGTGATAATTAATTAATAATCCTGAGTTTGCAGCAACTGAAATGCCAACACAACAGCACTGGCCTGCAAATGCACTTCTAGAGTGTATCTGCTCCGCAAGCGCCGCATGCCTCTTTCTCTGGCTCTGCGCCAAAACGGGTTGATTTTTAGCATCTGATGACGCGATGCACTAAAGTAAACATTCTACGTGATCGTACGCTTCAGGGAACAGCTGGTGCTGCTCACATCAGTGTAATCGTTTGCATCAAAGGGTTAAAAGTGTGTTGTTTATTCTTCTGTCGATATTCAGTATTTTTCCGTGTACCAGAACCACTGTCCTAGAGCAATCCTTTAAAATTTAAGCCAAAGTGTTGAGTGAACATTTTTGCTGAAATCACAAATCTGTTTATGAACAAAGAAAAATTTAGGATTGAGGTAAAGTTGGTTTTAAATTTACACATTCAGACTTTTCCTTAATACTTTTAAAAAAGCATGCTTTGCAAACTCTAAATAGGGAAATCATATTAGCAGCCAATGACTTGCAAGGTACAGTCAATTAAATAGTGCTAATGTTGTTTTGAAGTCATTCTTGCATGCAATTTAATGCCGAATATTACGTTACGTTATCTGTAAACGATATAGTTGACACTGAACTAATGTATGAATATAAAACCAACTTTACCTCATAGGGCTGGGCGATTAATCGAGAAGTAATTAAAATCGACAGTCAGAACCTATAATCGATCTCATTTTTCCAGGTCTGTTTTTTTTTTAATTACTTTCCTATCTTGTGTGGAGTCATGCGATCCCGCTACTTTAATGCTGGTTTATTCGTGGAGCCAAAACATATAGTCCAGCGGTGCCTTTGCGTAGTCATGTTGTGGCTGATGCATACCTCTCAAAAAATGTAATTGCACGTCGCATAGCACAAGCTGTGTGATTGGTCAGCTTAATAGTGGTAACAAACGTGGGTGGCGCGGAGAGCAATGCACAATGTGGGTCAAGGCGATCACTTGACACAGAAGTATAAATCAGCAAGGATAAGGCTAATTTATACTTCTGCTGCTACTTTGCACCAAATTTGATCTCTGGTCAAGTAGGACGATAGATATATTCTTGAGCCTTACTTTGCGCTACATTGACGATGACTGGAAGCTGCGCTACAGATACCTTGAGGATATGCAAGGTATTTTATTTGTTTACTTTATTTTGATGGTCCGTTTGTTGAATTTAAGTTTCACTGCATCTACATGCCAACTAATTCTCATTAGATTATAAGTAGACTGTTAGGTTAGGATTAGGGTAAGTTGACATGTGCTTGCAAAGTTTCTTATAGTCAGGTAAATGTCTTTTAAAGGAGCAGTATCAGCAGATATTAAGCAGGCAGTCTATTAATACTCAAATGGACCATCAAAATAAAGTGTTACCTTTTATTTAGAGGAAACACTGCTTATTTTCAACTTTTACTATAAAAACACTGAAACTTTGTTTCCAAATGTATTATTTATTTGTACTTTTTATAAGAAAAAAGTGACTTGGTTTTAGGCAATGTGCTTTTTAATTTTAGCTGTTCAACATAGATGTTCAATAAATATTGATAGATAGTAGATAGTGTGTCTTTACTTCGGTTAAAATCAAGTAATGCCCCCTTCATTCAAAAATCTCTCACTTGTATATCACTAAAATGCGAGCATGTTTACTGTACCATGCCTGTTAGTGAACTGAGTGCAAAAGAATAAAATAAGTAAATAAATAAAATAATCGTTCATTACTCTAATAGAGTTAAAATTGAATTAATCGAGATTTTGATTTTAGGCCAAATCGCTCAGCCCTATGACCGCAATAAACTTAGGGTGTCCCTCTGGGCTTGATTTTAGGATTGTTTGCATTCTGTTGAACTTGGTCTTTCAAACACAGATTAAACCATTTATTTTTCATTAGCAAAGAGAGTTATGGATTTGTCTTATTTTGTTTCTCTAATGATTTTCAGTGTTAATATTCTGTTGTTTCCTCATCTTAGCGGGCTGGTGAAACTGTGGAGTGCTTTAACATTACTGGGATCCTATCAAAATGAGGCATGCGCATTCAGAGTCACACAGGTGGGTTTTCCACATTGTTCTCGATCTCCACGTAGTGAAACCATAAAGCAAACAGACGGAAAAATGGAAAAAATTGCAAGTTTGTGCATTCCCAGTTGGAGAAAGATGAGTTTAAACAGTGGCTTAAGCCTGCCGCTGAAAACAACTAATTTATTCTTTCAAGCTTTGTTTCTTATGGGTTCTATTGCATGGTTGTGCTCCATTGATTTATTTAATTACAACTGTTTATTAACAACTATTTATATATCTATTGAGTTAAAGGTTTGATACTGATTAGAACTGACGATGAGGTCTTAACATTTTCAGAGAATGTCTTTAAAAAGTCTTAAAAAGCTTTTGAAACTACCTTTAGGATCCCTGCATATACCCTGTATGGGGCTGGTGTCCTCCATATTTTCGTTCCAACCCCACTTAAACATACCTGAACCAGCTAATCAAGCTCTTTCTAGGTATACTAAAAACTTCCCAGCAGGTGTGTTCAAGGAAGTTGGAGCTAAACTATGCAGGATATCGGCCCTCCAGGACCGACTTTGGACTTATACCTTCATTTGCACTCTTTTAATAGGCACTAGATGTCAGTAATGTGCTTAAGGGCTCAATTGCATCCCTGCCAGGAGTGAATCGACGTAATTTTAATCTGACCATTGGCATTCTGTCAGCCAAACTGTTTACTTTGCAATGTGCGTCAGATTGCAGATGGGCGTTTACAGTGGAGGGCTGCTTATCTCACTTTTTTTTTTTTTTTTTTTTTTTGTACTGAACCCCACTAAACTTCACATTGCAGACATCTAACTTTCTTTTTTTTATGATTGCAGGTGTCACCGTTTTTGTTAGCATTGTCCGGGAATAGTCGTGAGCTGCAGTTTGGAGATCGGTGAGGTGGGCCTACATAAAAATACCTTGGGGGGAAAAAATGACATTTCTTTTAAGAAGAAGGATTTTCAGCAGAACTGTATACCATGTTGTCAATTCAGCACTGACGGTTCCTGCATCCTCCACAACAGGGCACAGGTCGCTTTACGTCGGTGAACAGGCCTCGCTAAGCAAAACATTCAGTGCCAGAGACGTTGCACTTTTTGCTGAGCTGACAGGGGACACAAATCCTCTCCATGTCGACCCGGAGTACGCCAAAACCACCTCTTTTGAGACCCCCATTGTTCACGGAGTGCTGATTAATGGTCTGATCTCAGCAGTTCTCGGGACGAAGTTACCCGGTAAAGGCTGCGTGTTTCTCTACCAGGAAATACGCTTCCCAGCGCCGCTCTTCATCGGAGAGGAGGTTGTGGCGGAAGCAAAGGTCAAAAAGATCAAAATGTCCTTCGCTTTTATTTCTGTTTCCTGCGCTGCCAAAGACAAAGTAGTCATGGAGGGAGAGGTCATGGTCATGATGCCGCAGAACCAACAACAAGCATGAGGAATTTTGAGTTTTCGTGTGCTGCCAGGAGTTAAATGTTCCTTCTTTGATTATTTTTGTTCTTGCTCAGAGATTTAATGCTCATTTTGGTTTTGGGTTAAAGTTTAAATAAACTTTACGTGATTAAATATATTAGCTCTTTGGTGTGGGAAATAACTTTGTGTGTCTAATGTAAACGAGGAGATTATTTTCAGATCTCTTCAAACAGTTATTTACAGGGTTCATACGGTCATGGAAAACCTGGAAAAGTCAAGAAATTTTGACATGGCATCTTCCAGGCCTGGAAAAGTTTTGTGAAAGTCATGGAAATTAGTGGAAGAAATATCTGTATGCTTGAAAATGGGTTAGTTGTCCTTCTTTTTTTTTCTTTTTTTTTTTAAAGCATGCTCTCACATTATTAGTGCTGTGTCTTTAAGCAGTATCTAAATAAATTTTACATAGATATAAAAATTAATTGAAACTAAATAGATTGTTGCTTGTTTTATGAAATGCTGTAATAAATTTGAACATGCATTTTTTTTATTACCCAAGTATACGTATGCTTTATGAAAAAGTCCTGGAAAAGTCATCGAATTTTAATAGTAAAGTGTGTATGAACCTGGTATTTATAATAACAATTTTACAGTCACAGTAAAACAAAATGTTTACATGAAAAATGTTTTTAATGGATAGGTTATCCAAAATATAAAATCTTAGATTAATTTACTCACCTTAAGGAATTCTAGGTGCAGGTGACTTTTTTATAAAACAAAGAAGAAAAGTTTAAGCTGGAACTGTTGCCCTTAGTAATTCATAAAATGCAAGTAAACTGGGTACAAACGCTTTTAGAGTAAAAAAAAACATACAAACAACATAAAATTAATACCTGTGGCTCCTGATATGAGGTGTTGTGAAGCAAAACACTGCAAGTTCTTCACTCTCTTCGTCCTCAATCCATTAATTTGACCCTTTTACCTCTAAATAAAGAAATAAAACTATGAAAGTAGTGTTTTTGCGATGTTGGGTACGCGATTCTTTGCTAAGAAAATACACAGACAAGATGTTTCTGCGGGTCATGTTTACATTAGGTCACACGTTACTCTTAACAGTCACATGATCTTCCCTTGTCAACACTTACCTTCAGTGCTAGCAGGTTTGCATTGATGCAAAGCTTGTGTTACAAACTCCAAACGAAAATGTTCAACAACGTGCATATAAATGACATTGCAGATAGGTTATTTTTAACTTTGTAAAGTTGCATTGTACACTGGACCTGACATGAAGAAATATGACTGAATTTAGCCGTGAGCTTTACGCGCTTCCTGTTTGACTGTACTTCTCAAAACATGGCACGTCACTTACTTTTTTATTTTCATTGCAAGAACACGAGCAATGCATATAAACAACCTATTAAAATGTATATTGTTTAAAATAACAAGTAAATCTAAAAAATATATAGTTTCTTTGTAGTAGATGCATGAGTATATATGCCCAGGGTGAAAGAAAGTATAATAACAGTAGAGTAAAATAAATAAATGCATAAATGAAAACAAAACAAACAATAATAACAAAAACATAATAACGAAATAAACAGTTTTCAACTCAAATGGACAGTTTAAATAGCATTTCTATGTCTACTGTTGACAAGTATTTTTTTCTTTTTATAAAACGCTGTAAAACCGTTTTTTAGTTATAAAATGTACACTTATGAATATGAAACCTAGTCAATAAAATAGATTAATAACTTTATCAAAAGTCAATAGTTGAACTAGTAGAAACGCATAACAAAACTGCGGCGTCATTCACATCCACTCTCGAGTGTGCGCACTACAGAGTGGACGCGCTCGTCTCCGCGAAAACATCTACGTCACATTTACTGGCAGTTTCTGATTCGTTTCTCCCACGTTGTCACAAGCAGCACAGACGCTCTCGCTTTACCGTCACGTCCCATTTCTGACCGGGGTGGGCTCTCGGTTACCGAGCCCTGTCGAACCGGGGGGCCGTTTTGCTGTTGTTTTGATTCGGGATGGCGTTCATGGAGCAGCAGCCGCAGCCGTTGTCCGGGAGGAAGCCGCCGCTGGACGACACCGTGCCGTTGAGCGCCGTGATCGAAGCCAGCCAGAGTTTACAGTCGCACACGGTAAACAGACACAGCCGTCACCGGAGCCCCGCCGATCGGTGCTTATGATGAGATTCGGTTTTGGATCGATTACAAATACGCGTTAACTGACTGTAAATCAGGTTTGAATGGAAGTCTTCAGAATTATGTTGCGTTTTAAGACGTCCCACGTTAATATTTATCGATTATTGGTCGATTTATATCAGATTAATCGTAATTGATGTGTAAAAAAATCGCGTTTTGTTTAATGCGGTGTTGCAGATACTGAGGTAAAGTTGGTTTTATGTTTGCACATTTGGACTTTCACCTTCTTAATGTAAATATAGAAAAGTAATTGAAATAGAGAAATCATATGGCTATCAAAGTACAGCATTGTTTACAGTTAATTAAATATGCTAATGTTGTTTTGAAGTCATACTTGCATCCGATTTCTGACCGAATATTCATAGATTACCTTGCCACTTTTCAAAAATGAACAAATTTCCTAATATAAAACCAACTTTACCTTAAAGTGTTGCAGTTGTCAACAGTGGAACCATAAATGTAAATATTCTAAACCTCTAAAATCCTTTTTTGGGGTGATAAACAGTACAGTTTAAATATTTCATAAGCATTTAAACTTGGAATGAAGTTATAACAAAAGAGTTAGCAGTTAGAAAGATAATTAAATAAAGCATGCTTGACAGTTCAAAGGGATGTTTTTGTTAATAAAAGGCATCTGGGTTTAAATTAGCCGTTTTTAAATCAAATATTCTGTCTATGCTGTAGGTTTCATGTGACGTTAGATCAGTCTGGATCTGTTTTGTGTGGTTGGCTTTACGGACAGAATTGAGAAATGCTAATTTGCATTAGAGCTGAAAGATTTCCTGTGCTGTGAAACCGAAGCCACAAGAAATACTAGTGTTTCCTTTCTCATTTATTCGTCTGTTCGCTACTCGTGATGATTTCATATGAAAGTGCAGTCTAGCAAACCACTTTCAGTTCTGTGTTGTGTAAACTTTACAACATATTACTGGTTTCTCAGATAAAAAAGCCCTTTAAATGAGAAAATGATAATACATCATTAACATATAGACTACAATCATCAGTTAATATTGATTATATGAATATTGGTATTTCATAAGCTTGAAGTTAGAATGGGGGTTCATCATCTAACACAAGGTGCAAAAATAGCCTTCAACGGATGTCATCTGAAGTGATGAAATGGTGTTGTAGTGCGTGATGGAAATTACACGCCTTTGCTCTCGCTTTACTCGTGTGGAAACGATCAGGTGACATCTTGAAGGAGAGTCAAACATTAATAAGTTTGAGCTTCAGGAAGCCGCCATAAACGTCAGGGTCAGTCTGAGGCTTTTGCAGGAGTTTTGAAGAATCTTTCCACTTCCCGATTCGGTCTTGCTTCACAAATTGGGCAGTAGAAAACCACAAATGCGTGACAACACGACTTTGGGCTTTTGAATGGGCAATATTGTGAAGAAGAAGAAAAAACAAAACAAAGATGTGTTTGTTTGGGCGGGTTTCTGCTAGTCAGGCTGGACAAGTCTGGTGATTTTAGAGGTGATTTTGGCCTGAAGACCTGATGAACCAGTTTTTTGGTTTTTATTGTGTTTGTTGTTGGTTTTGATTGTATATTTGCTAGATTGTAATCAGTCGTCATGTCTTTTCTCTCTGTAAACAGGAGTACATCATTCGAGTCCAAAGGGGCGTTTCCACAGACAATAGCTGGACGGTGAGTCTGTCTGTCTAACTATCATTCCATCAATCTGTCTATCTGTTTATCTATCATTCTGTTTCTCTGTCTACAATTCGTTAATGTCTGTCCATTGTTTGGTTGCTCTATCAGTCTCTAGCAATCTGTCTGTCTTATTCTGTTGTCGTCTCTCTATCAATCTGTCATTCTGTTGCTCTAGCCATCATCTGTTTGTCTTACTCATTCTGTCATTCTTCTACTCTTATTTGTCTGTCTCTCAGTCTGTCGCTCTAGCGATCTGTCTATCTCTTGTTCTGTCTTTCTGTCACTCTAAAACCTCTTTCATTCCGTTGCTCTACAATCTCTCTTTCACTCTCATTCTGTCGCTTTATCGATCTGTCTGTCATTGTCACTCTATTCACCACCTGTCTGTCTTTATTATTCTGTCGTTCCTCCACTCTTATCTGTCTCTTTCTCATATTGTTGCTCTATCCATTTATCTGTTTTTCACATTCTTACATTCTGTCGCTCTATCCATCAGTCTTTCTCCTTCTGTCGTTTTGTCGCTCTCAATCCGTCTGTTTTTCTCAAGTTGTCTCTCTTTCTATCTGTATGTCTTTTTCATTCTGGCGCTATGAGCAGCCTGTCTTTCTCATTCTGTCTTTCTGCCACTGTAATCAGTCTCTTTCTCATTCTTTGGTTCTGTCACTTCATCTGTCTGTCTTAATCGTCTCGTTGCTCTATCCGTATGTCTGTCTTAATCATTCTGTCTCTCTATCAATCTGTCAGTTTGTCGCTCTATCCATCTTTGTCCTAATCATTCTGTTGCTTTATTCATCTGTCTGTCTCTTAGTTTGTCGCTCTATACATCTGACTTAATCGTTCTGTCGTTTTATCCATCTGTTCTATCACTCTATCTGCCTGTCTTACTCAGTCTGTGTCCTTTTGTTTTGTCGCACTGTCCATCTGTCTTTTTTATTCAGTCAATCTTTCATTCTGACGCTCTATCCATTTGACAGTCTTTCTTAGTTGCTCTTTCATCTGTCTGTCTCTCAGTCTGTCGCACTATCCATCTTTCATTCTGTCACTATAAATTTTCTCATTCTGTCTTTCTGCCACTATAATCTGTCTCTTTCTCATTCTTTGGTTCTGTCACTCTGTCTGTGTTAATCGTCTCGTCGCTCTATCCATCTGTCTGTCTTAATGATTCTGTCTATCAATCTGTCTGTCTTTCTTATTCTGTTACTCTATCTATTTTTCTTAGGGCGTACTCACACTATGTACAGTTGCCTTAACCCGGCCAAAGCACGCTTGTCCCCCCTCCCGTCTCTCCCGATGGCCCACACTCACATTGCGTTCGAGCCTGAGCACGCTTGCATCATAGATGATGCGCTGTTCAGTTTAGGAAGTGCTCTTGTTGTCGGTGCAATAGCCTAGTGGTTAGCGTGCTGACATATGGTGCAGTAATGTGCAAGTCAGAGTGTTCCTAGTTTGAATCCCGGCTCGAGGACATTTCCCAACCTTACCTCCCTCTGTCTCTCCAACTTTGCTTCCTGCCTTATTACTGTCCTATTTATTAAAGCAAAAATGCCAAAAATAAATTTTAAAAAAGGAGCGCTCTCTGAGATTTCTTTATATCTTTTTAGTCCTTTGGGATTTGTGACACGTAGTTAAATTTTTTGCTGGACAGATCAGCCACTTTTGAGTCTTATAAACAATCATAAAGTCCTCATGCTGCAGGAATTAGGAGGCTTGCTAAAGGCGGCAGCTGTGGTGCAGTGAGGGGTTTGCTTCTTTAATAATCTAAGGCAGTTTGCGTTCATTAAACGGTAAGAATGATTAATAAACACGCACTCACACCTCTCAAACTATCTGGGAAACGGGCCTGGGCACAGTTCGGATAGCATAGTGTGAGTGCGCCATTAATCATTCTGTCGCTTTATCAATCTGCTGTTCTGTCGCCCTATCCATCTGCCGCTCTGTCACTCTATCCATCTACTGCTCTGTCGCTCTATCCATCTGCCGCTCTGTCGCTCTACCCATCTGCCGCTCTGTCGCTCTATTCATCTGCCGATCTGTCGCTCTATCCATCTGCCGCTCTGTCACTCTATCCATCTACTGCTCTGTCGCTCTATCCATCTGCCGATCTGTCGCTCTACCCATCTGACGCTCTGTCGCTCTATTCATCTGCTGATCTGCTGCTCTATCCATCTGCCGCTCTGTCACTCTGTCCATCTACTGCTCTGTTGCTCTATCCATTTGCCGCTCTGTCGCTCTATCCATCTGCCGCTCTGTCCATCTGCTGCTCTGTTGCTCTATTCATCTGCCGATCTGTCGCTCTATCCATCTGCCGCTCTGTCGCTCTGTCTGCCTGTCTTACTCATTCCGTGTCACTTTTGTTCTGTTGCTTTATAATCTGTCTTTCTCATTGTATAATCCTGTCTCTTCATCAATCTTTGTTTTACTCATTCTGTCTTTCTTTGTTCTGTTGCTCTGTCCTACTGTCTTATTTTATTCTGTCATTCTTTCATTTTGCCGCTCTATCTATCTCTCTACTTTAATATTTGTGTCTCAATCCATTTGACTCTCTCAGTTTCTGGCTCTTTTTATCTGTCTGTCTCATTCTGTCGCTCTCAATCTGTCTGTCTGTCTTAATCATTCGGTCTCCCTTTGTTCTGTCGCTCTGTCCATCAGTCTGTCTTTTTTATTCTGTCATTCACTCTGATTGTCTTGATAACTTTCCTCCTCATTCTGTCCCTTTCTCTGTCTGTCTTTCTGTCATCCTGTTACTCTATCTGTCTGTCTTTGTCTCTATGACCTAACACTCATTCCATGTCTGTATGTCTAATTAATTATTGTGTTTTATCTCATGTTGTCACTATCTCTAACTGTTTAACTATCTTTCCATCTATCTTGTTTCTCTGTCTGTTTAAATGTTATTCCTTCTATCCTGTTGTCAGAATGACTGATTTTTGGGTTTGATTTGTATTTCTCTCAGGTCATCCGCAGATACAGTGACTTCGACATGCTGAATAACAGTTTACTGGTGAGTGCTCTGTTTGAACAAGCCTGTGTTGGGAAAAAACATCCGTTCCCGTATTAGTGTTTCCACATCATTTATAAGTAATGCTGCGACATGATTCACTGTTGCTGAATCTTAAAAACTCACATCCTTCAGAAAGCTTTTACTCTTCAGTGAAAGAGTTACTGTGGGTCAATGTCTCTGCATTCACATGAATAAAACAGAATATGCTTTATTTCACTAATAGAGCATCTTTATCCAATTTTTAAATATTTTTTGTTGTATTACAGTAAGGACTTATTTATTTTTATGGTAATGATAATTTAAAGCAGAAATATATACTAATTATTTCACCCAAAATTTCGACACGCTAAGCATTTAATTTCCCTCATTTTATATATTATATCATATTATATTATCATAATATAATCATATTTACAATATCTCTAATAAAAAAACATACATTATTATTTATTTAAGCCTGTTTATCCAAACCATTTTTTTTTCACAATAAGGACTTTTTTATTGTTATGGTAATAATAATTTAAAACATAAATATATAATATGCAATATTATTCTTTTAATAAAGCATGTTTATCCAAATTTTTAAGCATATTAATCAATTTCGCCTTTTTTTTTTTTTTTGCTGCATTAAAAATGTTATGGTAAAGTTTAAAGCAGAGATATTTTTAATTATTTACCCTATTTTTATTGTTAATGTTTTATTGTTGTAGTAATGATAATTTAAAAAAGAAATATATTTATTTTTAAATTTACCAAAAAACAAAATTTGTGTTCATAGTAGGGATACTGTTACGTAAACTTGAGTACATTTAAGTATGTAACTTAAAAGTATGTTTAACCAAATTTCTAAGCACATGTTTTAATTTATCCTTCTTTTGCTGTATTACAGTAATGTGATTTTTTTTTAATGTTACGGTAATGACCATTTAAAGATTTTTTTTTTAAATCACCCTAATTATTTTTATTCTTATGATAATGATAATGTAAAGCAGAAATATCTTTTATCATTTTCACCAAAAATATTGTCATAAAAAAGATTTCATTTTCCTCAAATATTCTTAAGTTACAGCATGCTTGTCATCACTGAAAAAGTAACTGTAAGTCAATGTCTCTGCATTCACAGATATCAGGTCTAAACCTGCCACTTCCTCCAAAGAAGCTGTTAGGAAACATGGACCGTGAGTTTATAGCCGAGCGACAGAAGGGTCTTCAGGCCTACCTGAACTACATCACACAACATCACATCCTGTGCAGCTGTGAGCTGGTCAAAAAGTTTCTCGACACTAATAATTATTCAGCAAACTACACAGGTAATGCAATCAGGGCATGATTTAACACTAGAAAAAGAAAACGGATTATTTTGTTCATTAAAAGCTTGACATTTCTCCATACTGTATTTTTCAGAAATAGCTTTACAGCAGGTGTCCATGTTCTTCAGATCTGATCCAAAATGGGAAGTTATTGAGCCGTTAAAAGACATTGGTGAGTAACAGTGTAGTCTTGACTATTATATTATATAAGTGGTCACCAAAACTGTCCCTGGAGGGCCAGGAAACACCCAGGCTGGTGTGTTGAGGCAAGTTAAAGCTAAACCCTGCAGGGACACAGGTTTCTCCAGGACCGAAATTGGTGACCCCTGTATTATATTATATTATATTATATTATATTATATTATATTATATTATATTATATTATATTATATTATATTATATTATATTATATTATATTATATGTACGCAATGTAAAAGGAAAAATTAACAGTTTTTTTTTTTTTTTTAGTAAAGCATTTTTATCCAAACAATGTTTTTTTCTGTATTACGGGTAATGGGACTTTTGTTATGGTAATGACAATTAAAAATAATAAATTAAACATTTTAAAAAATTAAATTTTTTTTAAATAATAAAGCTGAAAAATATACAAATAGTTTACCAAAAATATCGACATGCAAAACAATTGTCCCCTTAAATATGATCAATGTAATTATTATAAAAGCATCTATTATTATTGATATTATTATTATTATTATTATTTTTAATAATTTATAAATAAAGCATATTTTTCCTAACTTTTTTGTTATGTATTATGGTAATAAGAGTTTATTGTTATGGAAATGATAATTTAAAACAGATTTACAAAACATATATACAACATACAAAAGACTGAAATATTATTTATGAAATCCTGAAATATTATTTATGTAATTATAGTAAAAGCATACATTACTAATAACTTGTTAATAAAACATGTTTTTTCCTAACTTTTTTAGTTGTATTACAGTAATGAAACTTTTTTTATTATTATTATTGTAATGATCATTTAAAGCAGAAAGATTTTTTTAACTCACTAATACTATATTATATTATTAGTGTAATAAAAGCTCATTATCATTTGTGCAAGTAAAAGATCGTCCTTTTTTAATATATGGATATATTTGGAAATATATCCAAACTTTGTTGTTATTCTCATTTTCTCGTTTACTTATTCCATTTAAAGTAACTTCTTTTATAGTAATGATCATTTAAAGCAGATATTTTCAACAAAATGTCAACATACAAATGAACAAATTTCTCTGAAATGATATGATGTATTATATTATAAATTGTATTTTATTATATTACTTTTTATTATATCACAATTCATCATGTATTTTATATTATATTAATTAATAAACATATATTATTAGTTTTTTCCCTGATGTATTCTAAGGGCTTTTATGCTAATCCTGAAAGTTATATCTAGTCAATGGCATCGCAATATTTAATGTTAATGATTAATTGAAGTTTTATTGTTCTGTTTCTCCTGATGACACATTGTTTATATTCACACCCCTGCATCAGAGACTGCTGGTTACACAGACACTTCTTGACATTTTCATGGTGTCCATTGACTGTAAAAACACAGTCGAGACGCATTAGTAAAAAACTGGCTCTGCTGCTTTAGTGAGGATAAATAACAATGTTTACAAAACATTTACCCTCGCTGCTTCAAATTTCAAGAACATACACAGGTTATCTAACCACAAACTCACAAGTATAGTTCTGCTTAAAAAAAAAAAAAAACTAAAAAACTAATATTTCAGTATTATTTAATTTTATATATACAAAGAGCTTAAACCACATATTAATTCAAATGAATACAGATATGCATAGTATAGATATCTATCTCTCTATCTCTCTATCTCTCTGTCTGTCTGTCTGTCTGTCTGTCTGTCTGTTTGTCCATCTATCTGTCCATCCATCCGTCCATCCATCCATCCATCTATTTTTCCATCTGTCTATCTATCCATCCATTCATTCATCCGTCAGTCCATCCATCTATCTGTCTTTATCTATCTATCTATCTATCTGTCCATCCATCTGTCCGTCCATCCATCCATCCATCCATCCATCCATCCATCCATCATCCATCCATCCATCCATCCATCTATCCGTCTATCTATCTATCTATCTATCTATCTGTCAATCTACCTGTATATCTATCTGTCCATCCATTTGTCCATCCATCCATCTATATATCTATCTGTCCATCCGTCTATCATCCATCCATCCATCCATCCATCCATCCATCCATCATTATCTGTCTTATATATATTCTAATTATTTTAAAAGTTGAATATAATAATGATAATAATAATTTTAAAAAATACAGTAAGAATAGTTATTTCATGCATTGCATTAACATTTTTGTCTTAATTTTCTGTTCATTTATAGTTAAAGTTGGGATTTTCTGGACCTTAAACTCTGATCTGTAAACATTTGATATTGAAAATGTAACTCTGCAGTTTAACAAAGTGACTTATTGACATTTTTGTTGTTTGAAACAATATATTGTATTGAAAATTATATAGAGAGAAATAATACCATATAATAACATACTAATTAAGCAATTAATTAGTAAATACAATAATATTATACTAGTTAATTAAAAAGTTATAATTAATAATTAAAATATAAAAGAAATACAGAAAAATGTTATTTTATGCATTACGGTAATGACACGCCGTTAAAAAAATCTGATAATGATAATTATTAAACATAAATAATCCTATTTCTGTATTTCATGATATAGAGTTGAGTTTTTTCAGGTAATTTATGGTTATAAATTGCATTTTGGGACCCTAATCTCTGCTCTGTCACCTTCTGATGTTGAAAATGTAACTGCAGTTCAACAAAGTGACTTTTACTCACATTTTCATAGATCATGTTAAACAATGTTCTGTATTAGAAAAAATATAAAAGTTTTTTTTAGCAGAAAAAGTCATTTCTTACTAGGTTTTTGGACCATAATTTACAACACCAATACAGACGATGAGTCACTTAATCACTTAAAACTATTAAAAATGTCAATAAAAGTAGTTGTTGGAGGAAAGATCAAGGCCCCATGATGCAATTTAAAAGCATAAATGAGCGAAGAAAACAAAACATGAATCACAAAATGCAGAAAATGATTCATTTACAGAAATCTTTTACAGCACAGTTAAAGCTAAAATTGTGCTTATTTGTGAATTTTCTCTACTTTCATAGGCTGGCGTTTGCGAAAGAGGTACTTTTTAGTCAAAGACAAAGATCAGCCCAAAGAAAAACAAGTATTAAGTTGGGTAAGTTTGATCTCGATGCCCTCAATCTTTTCTGTGTTCCTTTGCTCTGTTAGTCCAGTACTTTAACCCTCGACTCATTTGATTCCCATTATTATGCAACCATGATGCAGTATATGTTGTTGGCCACTTTGTTCGACTGCTTAACTAACCTGCTAATCTCATTTGTTTCCAGTTTCTATAATTAGCCCTAGCGCTGTATGACCCTTGTACCGTTTCTCTACTCATTCTAGGTTGATTTGGGTCCAGATAAATTCCTGTCCGACAAAGATCTCCAGTCTGCAATGAAGCTGCTGCCAACTTTGTCTGTAAGTCCTCAAATGATGTGTGGGGGAGGGTTTCCAGAGTGTTGTTATATGGTTGCAGAAATGTTTTTGGCACTTTGTTGTGGTGCTGCTGGGAAATCTGGTGGTTTTTAGGAACTAAAACATATTGATGACCATTTAGGATGCAAATCAATTCTTAATAATTATAATAGTTAGTATTAACACATCATTTTTATGTTATCTTATTATTTTCTATTATTTATTTACGATATGGCTGTAAAAGGAATAGTTCACCTTAAGATTAAACCCTTTTTTTAACTTTATGAGTTCTTTACTTTTGTTGAGAACAAAAGAAGATATTTTGTAAAATGCTGGTTGCTGGCACGCTTTGATTTCCATAGTAGAAAAAAATTACTATGAAAGTCAATGGTTGCTGGCTACCAGGATTCAACAGGTTTTGAAAAAGGTAAAGGGCGAGTAACCGCTCATTCACACGGGTCGTCAGTATTAACAATTTTCATTTACTTTGAATGGAATGTTGTCAATCGTTGCTGAACTGAATCGTGGCTTCGTCAAATTGCGTTAGGCCCACTGTTAGTGGCAGAAGTTGAAAAATGTGTAACATTTCAAGCGCCAATGTGGACATCAGCCAATAACCTCACTTTATGCAAATACACCTGATTTTACATTGAGGTCTTGTGAAGCGAAATGATTGATCCTAAGAAATTTGAACATTATTACAATATTGTTAACTTCCATCCACAGTTATCAACACATGTGCGAATGTAGTCTGACTGTAGTTCTGTCATTTTGATGACGAAATCGCAAGGGTTGGTGACAATCACCAATATCTTATCACCTGACATCCCGTTCAAGCATGCGCTCTTGAGCATTCATCATTAAAGTGACAGAACTATAATTGGACTACATTTGCACATGCGCTGAGATCTGTTTGATCAGGCTGTTGATTAAAGCTAATAATAAACAAATAAATGTTATAATTAAAGCAAATAATGTTCAATTTCTCACACGAGCTGCTAGTTTTGCTTCAGTGTGTCATCAGGAGCCATGGCTATTGATTTGGACTTGTTTATGTGTTAAATTTTATTCTAAAAGACTGTAACTATTCACTGCCATTATAAGAATCTCCAAGGACCACAGATTCAGCTCATAATGTTAATGTTCTCTTTAAAAAAAGAAAGGCACCTACATCTTGGATGACCTACGGCTGAGTAAATCAACAGGAAATTTTCATTTTTGGGTGAATTATCCCTTTAAGGAGAGCCAACTCACGGTCACAAATAAGCTGAAAGAGCTTGTGTTGTTTGGGTTTTGTTACGGAGCCTAATGTTTGGATGTTTTGTGTGCGACTGCTGTCATGTGCTCTTGTTTTTAAACTTCTGCAGCCGTTCTGCAAATTAAACGCATCACTACAAAGCCCAGCGTAGAGATCAAAGCCTTTTACTATTCAGGTTTCATTATTTTAGTAAAAAAAAATTTTTTTATTTTTATTTTAGTCAAATCATTATTATTTGTTTTGTTTGCTTGTTTTATTTCAGCAGCTTTTATTTCCAGACATGTTATTTATTTATTTTTATTTGTATTTCAGCTTTCGTTTAAGTTTTATTTATTTAATTATTTGTTTATTTATTTATTTATTTCCCTTTAGACATTTTATTTGTTTTTGTCACTTTTATTAGTTTATTTACTAATTTTCTTAATTAAATTTATTTCAATGAGTTGCCAAATCGATTTTGCTTCTGTATTTTATTTTATTTTAGCTTCATTACAGTTATCAGAGATGTTATCAGAATTTTGTCACCCTTTAATCTCCTTTTACTTGTTCCAAACTTGTGTTTAGAAAGCTGAAAACCTGTAATCATTGACTTCCGTGTACTTTGGTACTATACTATAGTTTCCAGCATTCTTCGAAATATCTTCTTTTGTGTTTAATAGAAGAAAGGAACTTTTAAAGGTTTGTAAGCACTTGAAGAAGACTAAATGATGAGAAACCTATTCGTTTTTGGTGAACTATCACTTTAAAACTTGGTGTTAGACATGCTGTTCCGCATATGCGTGTATAAAATGGTTCTTCAAGGCTGATCTTCAGTCAGTCGGAGGACATCTGATCGTGACGTCTGCATTCCAGATCAGCAGATTAAAGCAAACCAGCTGAGATTCACATTCATTTGGAAAACATGACCCACATCTCACCATCGGCCTCATGGGAAAGCATTCAAATCGACACGCTTATGAAACAGTCACCTATTAACCAAGCAGAATGTCTGAGCAGCACCCTGACAATGTCTTAAACTAAACAAAAACTCTAACTTTACACTGTCTTGTATGTTTTTTCATAGCATTCAAACATCTCTCCTGTCAGTTTCGCCACTACCAGTGAATCCTCTGCACTTATTATCCGGGTTTTCAGCGAGAAAGGAACACTAAGGGATCACATTTGCAAGGTTTGGCTCTTTTTATTTGACACATCAAATGTATTTAATATCAGACGTTTTAAAAAAAGTCATAACGTGAATTAGCAATAGCTATGTGCAGGGCTCAACAATAAGGACTGCCAGCGTGTGAGATGCTCGGGACAGTAGACAGGATCCTTACTGGCCCGATCGGGCCACTGGTGCCTTGTTACTAAAGTTTAATTTGCCTGCGACTATTTGTCAATTGCGTGCAAATACAGATTTAGAATTGAGAAACCGTTTGTATTTTCAAGCCTTCAAATGCTACCTTCTCGGTTCTTCTTATCTGATTGGATGTTGTGAGCACATTATTAGTACAGCGAAGAGACAGCAACATGGCGGTAACATCAAATGATGATGCTAAAGGAAAACGTTTGTTTCTAACGGAAGCAGACATATACGAGGGTACACCACAACAAGAAAAAATTAAGTGATCTTTTGTACAGTTTGCCGTCAGTTTGGCAGGCCTTTAGCCCTCTTTTGTTTCAAAACACTTTGAATTTTGCTCATTGCACATTTATTAAAATGTTTTAAATATTTAAATTCTATATTACAAACATTTTGACACATTTTTTTTTTTTTCGTGGCTAAGAAATAGCTATTAACTTTTTTTGGTGGGACCAATGAAAATATTGGCAGGGCAAGTAAAAATCTGAACCACTGGTCCGATTGGGCCAGTAGAAAAAATCCTTAGCGTTGAACCCTGTATGTCTATATGCATTTTGGAAGATTGGATAAAAATGCTTAAAGGCCCCATGAAGTGCATTGAAATGTGCATTTTTTTATTAGATGTTTGACGCAATCTCAACTGAAACATGAAGTGAGGGTGGGACATAGTGTAGCTCTGCCCTTTTTATAAAACTGCCACTAGTGTTTCGTTTTATCACCTCTCTGCCTGTTAGAATCAAATAAAAAGCAAAGGAGAAGTGTCTTGAAGGGACATGTCAGATACTAGAGAGCATTTGATTGGTCAAGATTTGATGAGAAGCTGAAATATGAGGTGATGTGGAAAAAAAATGTTGATCCATTTAGGTGCAAACTGTAACCTTTGAATGTTTATATCAGGATTATATTTAAAACTATAAAATTTGTCACTGTTTTGGAGCACATTAGCTTGTAGATATCCTTTAACCTAATGTACTGATATTAACATAAAAAACAAATGCTATTTTAATTTCATTGGACCTTTAATATAAGATGTGCGTACAATTTTAAAAAAAGTTATTCACATAAATGTGTTGGATAAACTTTTTAACTCAAAAGAAAAATGCACACAAACTGCCATGAACACGTTTACTGAATAAATAAGCATCTGTTTCAATAGATCATGTAATAACAAAAATAAACTCCATGGATTGCATTAATGGACAAACCAGTGGAGCGGCCGCATTGTAAATCATCTGAAATGCTGTTTTGGTCATTCTAAAATCCCTCAGCCAAAGTCTGTCATCAAAGTGGTACAGTATTATTATCTCCAGAACTGTCTTAAGAGTTTCTTACGCCTCCAAAAACCAAAATACCACTTCTTGGTGTTCTTGACTTTTGAGGCACAAATAATTTATTATATAAAAAAGTGGCTCCCCTACTGCAGCAAATTTTACTCCTTTTATTGATAGTTGCCGCCATTTTATCAGAAAGTGACGAATCTGTTCTCTTTGACTTAATGCTTTATTTGGTGCTTTATTCACAGAAGTTTTATGTAGTGATGATAGTGATATGAAACTTTCTGCAGCAGTGAACAGTTAAACTTAATTGTATTAGAAAAAGGTTCGTTACTCCAAGCTTTCCAAATCAGCGCTCGATGAAGACCTCTGCTGCTTTAAGTGTGGGAAAGCACTGTGTTGCAAAAATGTCAAACGTTCACAACTGACCAACTCATTCATGTAGTAATACAACAATGTAGTAATACAACAAATTACTCGCTTATTGTTGTGTGTTTTACAAATAAAGGTAATTTACATTACCACACCCATGACTGTAGTAAAATCCAAGGTATTCAAATGTATTTACGTTTATAATATTCCAATTATACCCTCCTACTCGTTCTGAGCGGCGATTGACCGGTGATTCCTACATGGGAGATGCTCTAAGGAGCTCTAAGGAGGAAGTTATGGGAGTGAGGGTTTCAGGCTGCACTCGCCAGCTGGCCTCAATTACACACTATACCAGGGGTTCTCAACCTATTTCACTTCGAGGCCCACCTTTTTCTCTAAAAAAATGTTTAAGGCCCAAACTGATAGTCTAGAGAAAATGCTTATTTTAAAGCTTTATTTAATAGCAATACATTTTATTATTCTCTTGTTTTTCTGTACAGTTGATGTCATATATATATATATATATATATATATATATATATATATATATATATATATATATATATATATATATATATATATATATATATATATATATACAGTTGAAATCAGAATTATTAGCCCCCCTGAATTATTACACCCCCTGTTTATTTTTTCCCCAATTTCTTTTTAACGGAGAGATTTTTTTCAGAATATTTCTAAACATAATAGTTTTAATAACTCCTCCTAATAACTGATTTATTTTATAGTTGCCAGGATGACAGTACATAATATTTGGCTAGATATTTTTCAAGACACTTCTATACAGCTTAAAGTGACATTTAAAGACTTAATAGGTTAAATAGGTTAACTAGGCAGGTTAGGGTAATTAGACAAGTTATTGTATTACGATGGTTTGTTTTGTAGACTGTCGAAAAAAAATTGCTTAAAGGGCCTAATAATTTTGACTTTAAAAATTAATAACTGCTTTTATTCTAGCCGAAATAAAACAAATAAGACTCTCTCCAGAAGAAAAAATACGATCAGACATACTATGAAAATTTCCTTGCTCTGTTTAACATAATTTGGGAAATATTTAAAAAACAGACAGGTTCAAAGCTCCGCAATTCTTTACTTCAGTTACTCCTTACAGCTGCAGAGTATTTGGGCCTTTTCTTCAGTAAAGGAACCTGACAGGATCTATGATATATGATCTATTTCCATTAAAATAAACAACCTAACCCTAAATGTAAAATACTGTAAAAACACTCTAAATCTGTCGAAACCCATTGATCTGAAGGTGGTTTGGTTTGTAGCTGGACAATATTGTTGTTTTCAGACAAGCGACAGTTATAAAACGCTCGCAAGACGTTAATTTGGACAACTATGCGGATATTTTAAAGTGTTCACACAAAGAGAGCTAACAGTTTTGTACTCTGATACAGTACGAGTCGCAGATGAGAGGCAGGTGCGAGCTGGTTATTATAACTCTAATCATCGTTACGTTTACATTTGCGTGACTGTTTGCTTTATACAACTGAGAACGTCGTCCTAGTTGACGCGCAGCGGTTGGAAATTTAAGCGAGAGTTATGTCTGTAATTTAACAGTAAGGCTGTTTTTGCACAGTCCAAATTTGTCTGTTCAATCACAGTAAACAGGAAATGCCAGTACTAATATCATTTTAATATGACATATTTAATAATGAAATCAAATAGTTATTTTGTAATGTTTAAGTTAATTTTAAGCTATAAAATGTGGCACTACACTACAATATTCATTGGCCTTCTATAAATTTTGTTGTAAATAATACACTAATACACTTTAGTATGGTTCAAAAGCTTTTTACTATAAATTACTATTGTGTTTTAGTTGGATTACTGGTGCGTGGGACTTGTGCTGTGCTTTAAAACAGCAGAAATGTATGTAATCGACGCCTGATCTCTCGCTATACACTTTACTAACCCACGACAGTGTTTAAACCTTTGAATAAAAATTCGAAGCAGTTACGTGGGTATGGGTGAAAATAAAGCTTCGGACGACACTTATCTCGTGATTACGGCTAAACGAATCAAGCTCTGATACACTGCTTGACTGTGGGATGTATAATTTTTTGATACTTGCTTCGAAGTCTCAGTACACGACGTCACATCACTAGTTTAAGACATCTAGTTTGTGCATAAATATAATTCACATCTTTAGATGGAAGCATAGCTAATGTAGAGTTAAGGCTGATTTATACTTCTGCGTCAAACAAACGTATGCTACGGCGCTGACGCATAGCCCTTCGCCGTGGCCGTCTGCGTCGCTGACGTGCACCTCGTGCACCTCTGACGTGCGCCGTGGGTTACGCCGGTCACTTGACGCAGAAGTATAAATCAGGCTTTAGGCGTTGATCTTCGGTGAAAGTGGAGTTTAGCTTAGTTTAGTTCTGAAGGTTTGAGCTCTGAAATGTATTTATAGTACAGTGATTTTCTGTTTGTCTCCGTTCATGATTTCTTTAATGTACTTGAATTGTGTCACTCCTTCAGGTGAAGCCCAAAGAGCCCTTTCTGAGGAAGTACTGCAATCCCAAGAAGATCCAGGGTTTGGAGCTGCAGCAGATCCGCACGTTTGGGAGACAGATTCTGGAGGTCTGTATAAATAACCAGTTTATAAAATCAGTCAACGTGACCCACTTATAAAGATTCTGTCTTGATTTGATCGCTTATTTGTAGACAAAAACCTCAAAACCTTTGATTGTATATCAAACTACCCTGATATACTTTTTTTTTTTTTTTTTTTTTTTTTTTTTAGGTGTAAAAAAGCCTTAGAAGTGGTTTATTACTATTAAACATAAGTATTATATATTGTAATAGTAGAATTACTTAAAACCTCCAATTATCTCACCTTCATAAATAGATATTCACAGTTAGCTTGTAACAGATAGTCATGATATCTTAGTATTTGCATATTGAATCGTCATTCGTCTACTTTCTTCCTTCCTATTTATTTGCATGAATAATTATATTTGTCCTGCTTTTTACATCGATTGATATATCCTTTATCTATTACCATTCAATAAAGGGTTATTTTTCAGTTTGTTAAAGTTTATTTGAATTGATTTTTATGAACAGATGACCAGTGAAAACAAACTAAACAAAATATCTATATACTGTACATATACATACATGCATATCATTCCACATATACTGTATATGTTCATTACACACACACATTTATAGAGTTAAAAATATTATGCATCACTACAGTATTCAATTTTGATAATAATCGATTTATTAAACATTAAACCAGGATATTATACTGATTTCTGGAGGATCATGTTGATGCTGATAATTCAGCTTTAAATCACTGAAGTAAATCATATGTTAAAGTATGTTCACATAGAAAAATACAATTATGGGTAATTGTCATAAAATATCAAAATATTATACATTTTACTGTTTTAATTATGTAATGGCAGCCTCTGTGTCTACAAAATGTTTTGAATGGTAGTGTATTTTCAGATGTCCTTATTATTGTTTTATCTCAGACTCATATATATTTTATTACATCCATAAATCTGTCTTTTGTTGTATTCCAGGCATTAAAATTTCTCCACGACAAAGGTTTTCCATATGGGCATCTTCACGCGTCCAATGTCCTGATCGAGGAAAACACGTGTAAACTGCTGGATGTAGAGAACTCATTACTGGGACTGCCGTCATACTACAGGCCTTATGTGACGCAGTTCAGGAAAATTAATGTAAGACGTCTTTATGTTGAATTTACAAAAATAAAGTTAAACTAACTATGAAATTAAATATTATTTATTATAAATATGTCAATTGTATTTTTAAAAATCTTTGTATTAAGAAAATACAAAAAGAATTGAGCCAAATATGTGTTAAAGCCCAGAACTTGTCAATTAATACTAGATTTAAAATGATCCAATATAACTGGGCAATGCGCACCTATATCACACCTGAAAAACTAAACAAATTTAACCCAAACATCCCTGATATATGTTTCAAATAGCAAAAACATAAAGGAACATTCTGTCATTGTATCTGTGAATGTGAGGTGATTAAGATTTTCTGGCAAAATGTAATAACATTAATCTTGTCAATTATTTTAAAACCAATTCCAGTTACACCTGAAATATCCGCTTTGGGTTTATTTCCTGTTTGACATTACCAGATTATAAAACTAAAATGATTGAAATGTGTCTTGTTATTGCAAGGCGTTTGATAGCACTCTATTGGAAGAACACAGAAAGTCCATCGATTGATCACTGGCTAAAAGAATTGACACATTACATTACACTAGAAAGAATAACCTACAGCACAGGTGTCAAACTCAGTTCCAAAAGGGCCGCAGCTCTGCACAGTTTAGTTCCAACCCTAATTAAACACACCTGATCACTCACTCACTAATTGAGTCCTTCAGGCTTGTTTGAAACCTACAGGTAAGTGTGTTGGAGCAGGGTTGGAACTAAACTGTGCAGGACTTCGGCCCTCCAGGAATTGAGTTTGACACCCCTGGCCTACAGTATAAAGGGCAAATTAAAGGAATACCATTATATTTGGGATCTGTTTATACAATTTTTGGAACAAAACCATACAATGACACGAGCAAATACCTCTTACGCTATTAGTTAATTGATTGATATATGGATATGTGTGTTTTTGTATGCGAAATACAGTATATGTTTTTCTTTGCATTAGCCCATGTATAACAATACATCGACCTGTTAAACTGAATCTGGATGCTTTGGTGGAGGGACGGGGGAAGAGTTAAAATGTTAAAAAGTGTATTTTCATGCTAAATTTCAAGCACTTTTTTTGTTGTTGTTTTTTTTTTACAATAAAAAAAAGTAAAAAAAAAATTAAAAGTAATAAAAAGTGAATTATTTTTTTAAATCATTAGAAAATACTTACTTTTCTTATTATATTATATAGAATTTTATGCAGCAATTAATAGTATAATATCATTAAAATATTGTGAAAATTGGTGTATTTTAATGCCATTTTTTGTTATTACATTTATTATATCATTATTATTTAATTGTTTATTATTACCTAACATGTTTAGCATAATTAAAAAAAAATTTATTATATATATATATATATATATATATATATATATATATATATATATATATATATATTTTTTTTTTTATTATTATTATTATTATTATTATTATATATATAATAATATATACATATATATTTGTTATTAGTTTATTAATTCATCTTAAAAAATATAAATATTACTCCAAGCAAAATAAATATATATTATTTATATAAGATGTAAATATTCAACATTATATATCCAGTGATTTACGAATCAGCACAACAATATATTTTATTAACAATTCAGTCCTGAAATGTTTGCTAATATAACTTCAGAAAAATACTTTCTGTTTAATTATCTGACACCAAAAGGTGTTCCATAGTATACACACTAGCACAAAAGTGTAACATACGCCTATTTAACAATATATTGAACACATTCTGATGCGTTTTAAATCATTTGCCAAGTTCAATTCCACAAAACTGTTCTTCTATTTTTGTTAAATGAAATCTAAAACAGACTCAAATGTGTTGTTTATAGGATGTAAATAATTCCAGTATCGCTATCTCAAATGTGTGATGTTGTTGTTTTTTCTGTCATCAGACCACAGAAAGTATAGACGTTTACTCGTTTGGACACTTGCTGTATGAAATGACGTATGGCCGTCCGCCTGATGCTGTTCCTGTAGATCAGTGTCCTCCAGCTCCATTCTCATCCATCGGTCAGTCCCTTCCTCTTATAATACTCCTCAATTACGACTACCCAGATCACAACGTACAACATAACAACAACACTGGACAATAATATGATTTAGCAAAGACGGTGTATTTAAAGAGAGTGATAAACGAAGTTAAGCTGGAAGCAGAATCAAATTAGCCAAAATATGTCAGATATGAGCATGTATTAGAGTTTACAGGCATTTATTAGCACTGACTGAATGTAAAAAGCATGTGTGTAGTAGGGTTGCTCGATACTAGAACAATATGCGGCATTGTTGTTGAGTACTGCGATATTGATAGTTCCTACGATGTAACATTTGCTATTCATACTTGCTATTTTTATTAGCTATGTTTTTAAATCGTGTATTTAATTAATGGTATTAAAATAAACAGGTAAAATATTTTTTCAGATCGAATTAATTATAGACTAATAAACTGTGTCGGTGCAAACATTTAGGGTGCTTTCACACCTGTGAATCGATTAATTTGTCCTGAAACAGGGATTAAAATTGTTACATTGTTGCTCTTTGTTCTTGTTCTTGCGATTCGCTTTCACAAGGCAAAGTTTCTAAACGGACCAAAGGGCTAAAACAAGTCATATGTGAGTAAACTCTCCTCACATTGGTCAGAGTTTCACGGTTTATTTTGCAGAGTCCCGTTCAGCTGTCAGGGGGATGGTAGCGGTTTGGTGGTGTTTCACAGGGTGTGCTCGACGTGTCTGAAGAGTAAGGACGGATGCGGTGGGGAGGGGTGAGAAGGGTGCGCAATGTATTTGAGGACCGGGAGGGAGACTCTTTATTATTATTTGTGGGCATCCTTGAGTCTCTGTGCATTTGCGGGAGACTCACGAAACTTCCGGGAGACTTAGGATGTCCGGAATGACCTCCCGCCCTACTCATGATTCTATATTCATATAGCTCTATGCCTATTACATATCCATAATACACTGTGATATAACCAGGGTCGGATCGTATCGCTTTCTCACTACAATCGATCCGCTGCAGAGTTCGTTACAATCGAGCCGAGACCACCTTATTCAAGCGATCTCAGAGCGATTGTTTTGGTGTGGATCTGAGCGTGATTGCTGGATTTACATGCCAAACGAACTGCGCTAACTGGGCAAACTAAACAGGTTCCGAAACAAAAGTCTTAGTGTGAAATTACCCTTAGTCTTGGAAACACTGAGTGAAAACCTCGGCATATTATCTGACTCTGATTGGCTGTTGTCATTTTCCCGCCATTAGTGTTTATTTTTTCTCTGGGTTTAGTCTTGGGCCACTCCTGCCATTAGCAGAACAGCAACTACTGGGGAAGCGAGGATAAAGATAGTATGGCCCCATCAGATTGGTCAAATTTAGAGAAACGACCAATGCATGAAATCAGTGTAGTTTATCACGTGTGTCTGCGATATGTATATTGTGTACTTTTGTCATTCCTCTTATCGCGATAACTATAATTTTGCGATATGTTTTGCAGTCCTAGAATGAAGTATATTATACAAGTCAAAATCAGTAAGACAACTGTCACCTAGTGGTTAAGTGTGTATAGCAACATAGAGCACCGAAGTGGTCACAGTGACCCGAGTTCAATTCCCAGCTCGAGGTTCTTTGCTGATTCATGCCTCCTTTCTCTCTGCTCCCCACAATTTCCTGTCAATCCTCGCCATTGTCATATCCATTAAAGGTTAAAACATAATTATTAAAAAAATAAGACTTAAGCAGCTGTTTAAATTATATGCTTTCATTTGTTGCCGTTTAAAAGTGCAGCTGTTGTTTCCGAGGTTTCTGCTGTAGTTTGACTCTCTGCTGAAGTAATATCCTGAACACATACTGGTCATTTTGTTCAAAGCTAGCGGTTTTATGTAATACGTAACCGTTTTGTTTCCTGTTTTTTCACAGTCTCTGTTCTTCAGTCCATTCTGTCCACTGAAGCTTGCAAAACAGGAATGCCAACCGTTTCCCAACTGCTGCAAACACCGTGAGTTACTGCATTCAGTCCTCTGTGTGTGTGTGTGTGTGAACAGGTTTATGTGGTTTACAGGGACCAAGTTGTAAAATGTCATTGATATGACATAGTTTTATTCTATTAAGGTGGTTTGCAAGGACGTAAATCATGTCCCTGTAATTAAAAAAGATAATAGTCAACTGTGTCTTTTGACATCTAAACTTTTTGAGAGTTGGGTTTAGGGGTAGGGTTGGGGTAGGCCATATTATAATACTCACGCCTATGGATTTGTGTGTCAAAAAAAATTTTTCTTTTCTTTTAAAATCAGACTTCTTTTCCAGTTAATTTATATATATATATATATATATATATATATATATATATATATATATATATATATATATATATATATATATATATATATATATATATATATATATATATATATATATATATATATATGTGTGTGTGTGTGTGTGTGTACATATAAGAAGTTTATCATTTTCAGATAATGTTTTGTTGTTGTTGAAGAGTACAATTAAAACATGATTAAAACTTTTTACAGAGTTTCAGTTTTTACATTGAGTTTTGAAAAGACAGTGGTTAGTTTTTGAACTCATGAATAAATCTTCTTATTTTCTGTAGTTTTATTATTATTATATTTTTAATTTTCGTTTTATTTTTTTTATTATTATTGCCATTTTTGTGGCATTTTTATTTTCACTGGCATAATAGTCATGAGACAGATTGCAGTGGTACAGAATAGAAAATATAGGTAATTTTCATCATACAAAATACAATTTAATAAGTTATTGTTTTTTTAAAATAGATTACATTTGTAACATATTTTATGAAGAAAATGATTGGTTTAACTTATTTAGTTAATTTGTTGATTGCCTAAAATGAGGAAATTGAGGAAATAAAAAAGAAATACAGTTAAGGACTACTGTACTTTTTAGCCCTCAACCTTTTAAGCTGAAACTGTTTAACAGAGCAAGAACATTTTTATAATATTTCCTAATACATTTTCTTCTGGAGAAAGTGTTTTTTTTTAGCTTGGCTGAAAAAAAAAATCTATATTAAAAATTGTAAAAACTGCTAATATTGTGGTCAAAATTATTAGCTAAACAGATTTTTTGTTTCTCAGTTGGCTACTTAACAAACCATTGTCCAATGACCTGCTTAGTTTGCCTAATTCACCCAGTTAAGCCTTTAAATTACACTTTAATATGAATACTTGTATCTTACAAAAGAACTAGTAAAATATTATGTACTGGTATTATTGCAGGGAAAAAAGAAATGATTGAATAGAGATTCTCTACATTAAACAGCACTTAAACTTTCACAGGAGGGCAAATAATTTGATCTTCAACTGTAGTCACGAGTTTAAAAACAGAGAATGTTTTTAAATAGAATTAGATTTTTGTGAATACAGAGCATGTGCTGGAGTCTTTACTACAGTAATTGTGAATGTTTAAAACTCTTGTTCTGTCAGGTTATTCTATGACGTTCTGCTGTTCAACTCTGAAAAACCCCAGTTTAAGGTAAAAAACAGACCTAAAGTAAAATACAAACAAATAATAAACCAGTTTGTATTTTTACAAGTGATTAATTTCCACTTCTTTACAAACTGTAGATCAGCTCTAAATTAAAGGAGGCTCTGAAATCCTCCAAAGAGGGTTTGGAGAAGCGTCTGGTGGAGGAGCAGAGGACGGTCAGTGACTTCTTTTTTTTTTTTTTTTTTGCCACAAATGTTTGCATTACAAACATTACCACACTTGATGTTGTCATTTCAATCAAGAACATTCATTCAAACTAGAAAATTTGGTTTATTTACTCACACTGAGGTCATTCAAGATGTTGTTGACATTTTTTTACCTTCAGTAAAGCATTAAAATCTGTGTAAACCACTTTTTTATTAATCCGGGGTCGCCACAGCCAAATGAACCTCCAACTTATCCAGCACGTTTTTACACAGCGGATGCCCTTCGTGTGGGGGACACACACACACTCATACACTACGGACAATTTAGCCCACCCAATTCACCTGTACTGCATGTCTTTGGACTGTGGGGGAAACCGGAGCATCTGGAGGAAACCCACGCGAGTGCAAGGAGAACATGCAAACTCTACACAGGAAAGCCAACTGAGCCGAGGATCGAACCAGCGACCTTCTTGCTGTGAGGCGACAGCACTACCTACTGCGCCACTGCGTTGCCCACAGTATGTTGATGTACTTCCAGCTAAAAGAGAACATTGAGTAGGGGGCGGGGCTTTTGTTTTGCGCATCATTCCCTTTTAGCAAACTAACGGTAAAAGAGGCGTGGTTAAGAACACTGTGGCTGAAGCAGTCAAACTTTTCATCAACTCGGACTATAGGAAAATCCTTTTTTTCTTCAAAATTCTTTTAATTTTTAAATACATTTTTTTAATTGTTCAAGTTTTTTTCTGTGACTGAATCCTCTTTTATTTATTTACTTTTTTTTTTTCAGATCCACCAGCATAAGCGACTGACCCGAGCGCAGTCACACCATGGCTCAGAGGAAGAAAAGAGGAAGAGGAAGATCTTGGCCAGAAAGGTACTTCACCACATTTACACTTGCATAACAATAATAACCGAATGATCACATTATATTTCCTCTAAACGTGAGCTTTTTTCTTTTAGAAATCAAGACAGTCAACTTATGAAATTGAGGAGGATCTCTCTGTCAAATATAACAATAACTCTGGTAGGTCCCTGTTATTAGTGATTATGTGTATTAAAAAAAAGCAAAAGTAACTTAATTGTTGGTGAAGTTTTTTTTCCCTCTCCGCTGTCGCCACTAGCTTGCGTGGTTTGGGATCGGTAGAGCTGCGCATCGATGGATTTGCTGTTCAGTGTTTGGGCCCACGGTAGTGATTAGTAGATCACGCTAAACTGAGCTAAACTGAACTTGAATCACTGAATACTGGACCGCACTTTCAATTTGCTCTGATCTTTTATGTGAAGCTGCTTTGACACAATCTACATTGTAAAAGCGCTATACAAATAAAAATGAATTGAATTGAACTTAATTAACTTAATACACTTTATTGTCCCCAATGGGGGAATTTATCTTGAACCCTAGGCCCACATTTACATATACAGTGGTTCCTCGTTATTCGCAATAGTTACATTCTAAAAATAACCCTCAGTAGGTGAAATACTTGAAGTAGTCCACTTTTTTTTTTTTTTTTTACAATTATTATAGATGTTTTAAGGCTGTAAAACCCCTCACTGCAGATTTTTTACACTTTTCTCAGACAGGAATTATTACACTTTTCTCTCTTGTTTTTACACTCTCAAAGTTTAAACCTTCGTAGAAAAATAAATCCAGTATTATAGAATGAAACCAAACATCAAAACCATTTGATCCTCATATATTTACTCCATAATGGTCCCTACCTACTTCTACCTTCCTTTAGCATGTCCAGAAGTTCAACTTTTTGTGCGATGGTTAGCATCTTTCTCTGCCTTTTGGGTGCTACCGCAGGTGCCTTTACGGTGCAGAACATTTTGTCGTCATTGTGGGGAGAAAACGTGCAAACATGCAGTACAGCACTTCAGAGTCACACTGCTAGCGATCAAAGATTTCTGTAAATTTGGCAAGATGAACTCATTCTGTACTGTACAGGAGCCTGGAGGAGATTGACTGACAATTCTCTACAGCCAGTCAGGACGCAGAACACAATGTGCTGTAAAAAAAAGCATGTTAAATTGCACGAAAAATATTAGCAAAACTGCGAGGCCTCAAAAAGTGAACTGCGTTATAGCGAAAAAAGACAACACAAATAAGCACAAACATTCAACTAGAACTAACAGAAATCTATAATTACTAGACTGGTTATAGCGGTCATTCTGTCTTATTTTAACTGATCTGTCACCCGAACAGTTAAAATGCCTGTTAAGGAGTTAAATATCTAAATACAGTAACATTATAGTGAAGTAACACAGTAAAGCATGTATTTCTCCTTTTCTAGCAGGTTCTGGAGCGAGTTCACCTCCAACCTGCCCGTCCTCTCCTACTCCTCTACCTGGATCAGGTACGTCCTGTTTTAAATCAGTTTACCACCCTTCACTATCTCAGCTACATCACAAGAGTTTGTTTTTTCTGATTTGTGCATCTTTAATCCATACATTCCTCCTCCACATTCAGTATCTCCACTCAAACAGTCAGTTCTCAAAGCATACATGTTCTGTTTCCTTCTATATTTGTCGCACGGTGTGGTAAAATGTCTTCGATTGTAACTCTCTATGGCGCATTAACGTTTCTCATTGTTTATTTCAATCAAACAGACATCAATCATAGACATAATCTCTCATTTCCGTTATCAATCAATTGGTTGCTGTCTCTGTTCATCTTACCCAGATCATAATCCAGACCCTCTTGGATTTAGTGATACCACAAAAAAACGTAAAATCAAGAAAATGTTTCGAGATCGAACGTTTTTTTTAATTGTCGCATGTTTTGGGCAGTCAGGACACTGTTCAAATTCCTACAGAGCGCCATCTGCACTAGTATTACATTCAAAAAATGTTCATATTTGCAAATGAAATGTGCTCAAGTTGTCAATACATAATTCTTGTCTGATGTGTGATCCTCGTCATGTTGTTGTTGTAGCAATAGTACTTGTAGAAGTTGCTGTAGTAGTAGTAGTAGTAGTAGTAGTAGTAGTAGTAATACCAGTTGTAGTAGTAGTAGTAGAAACTGTAGGAGTAGGAGTAGGAGTAACAGTTTTTGTAGTAGTAGTATGAGTAGTAGTTGTTGTAGTTGTAGCAGTAGCAGCTGTAGTAGTAATAGTTGTTGTTGTAGTAGTAGTAGTAGTTGTAGTAGTAGTAGTAGTAGTTTTAGTAGCAGTAGTAGTTGTAGTAGTAGTAGTAGTAGCAGTTGTTGTTGTTGTTGTTGTAGTACTTGTAGCAGTACTTATAGTTGTTGTTGTAGTAGTAGTTGTTGTTGTAGTAGTAGCAGTTGTAGTAGTAGTAGTAGTAGTAGTTGTAGTAATTGTAGTAGTAGTAGTAGTAGTTGTAGTAATTGTAGTAGTAGTAGTAGTAGTAGTAACAGTTGTTGTTGTAGTAGTACTTGTAGCTGTACTTATAGTTGTTGTAGTAGTAGTAGTTGTTGTTGTAGTTGTAATAGTAGCAGTTGTAGTAGTAGTTGTAGTAATTGTAGTAGTAGTAGTAGTAACAGTTGTTGTTGTTGTAGTACTTGTAGCTGTACTTATAGTTGTTGTAGTAGTAGTAGTTGTTGTTGTTGTAGTTGTAATAGTAGCAGTTGTAGTAGTAGTTGTAGTAATTGTAGTAGTAGTAGTAGTAGTAGTTGTTGTTGTTGTTGTTATTGTTGTAATAGTTGTAGCAGTACTAGTTGTTGTTGTTGTTGTTGTAGTAGCTGTTGTAGTTCAGGGTTGGCCACCCCTGTTGTAGTTGTTGTAGTAGTAGTTGTTGTTGTAGTTCTAGTAGAAGTAGTAGTAGTGAATGCTAATTTAACAACTAAAACGTAAACAAACATTCAAAAGGCTAAAGACGAAGATGCAATTTTAGATCGAATACAACACAGGCGTATAGCCCGGTGTGTGATCCGCGTCATGTGGCGTTAAAGCAACATCAATCGCTAAACATCTATATATTGTAATAATGCATTTGTTGTCATAAACGTAACTCTCTGTCTATCATACACACACATTTGATCAATAGTTCAGAACCGCATTTGAATATTACCAATATAGAATTCAAGTTTTATTAAAGCTCTTTAAACACAACTTTGTTAAAATGGCCTAAATTGTATAAATGTGCATGTTCTGCATCTCTCCATCAATGAGTTCAAATAGCCATTAAACAACATGGACGACTTAGCATTTGTTTTTAAACAATCGGTTCCCTTTTCAGATGTAACAAAGCAGGCTTTAGGCATAGTTTCTCTCTGTGTTTTTCACATTTGTGTGTACCATAAAAGAAACACCTCAAGATTTGCCGCACAAAAATTTGCCGCACAAGTCACAAAAATCTGATTTTTTTTTTTTCTCACAAAATCCTAGAGGGACTGATAATCATCCGATGTGTGGACTCATTCAGATATGATCAGTAACTTGTGTGTGCCTCTCTCTCTCTCTCTCTCTTTATATGCTGTCTTCAAAACTAGAGCATGCGCCATTTTGAACGTGTGTGGGGTAAAGTAATTCAACAATAATAATCTCTTTCCACCGTAAAGTTGCAGCTCACCTTCTCTCAGCAGAGCTCTCTATTATTCCCCACAGCAAAACTCTCGTTAATATTTACGCATGCAGATGACATGCAAATGAGGTCGACCCAGCCTGCTGAGAAGGGTTAATGCAACTTTAAAAGCTCACAATCTGCAATTGTCTGTTTACGCACCAAGGATTGGTTCATTTAAGGCTTTTCTGAGGGCAAAGTTTTTTGTTTTGTTAACGAGCACTTTTGGTTTCGTAGATTGTGATGGTTGTTTTTCTTTTGTTCTTAAAGATTTTATTATATATGTGATTTTTATTAATTTATTTTACTTTTTAAAGATGCTATTGAATGCATTTTTAAATATATATATGGCATCTGGCAGTTATAAGCATAACTGAGCTTGTATGCTGACGATGCATATCTTGCTGATTGGTTCATGAGTCATGCTGCTCGTCACTTGTTTCCAAGAAAGTGATTGGTCAGTAACTGCGAACAGTATGGGCGAATCAGCATTAAGATATTTAAAGTCAACGTGAAATGGCAGCTTTCTTTCTAATCATTCATATTTCAGATATTTCTAGTTTATAGTATGTTTGAGTGTATATTTAATAAACAAAAATGTTAAAAAATCAATACTTTTTATTTGTTTATTTTTTGCGTTATATTTGTATTATTTTTTACATTTTTATCTTTAAAAAAATTAAGGGTTTGTCCGCCCAAAAATTTATTTTCTTACACTTTTATTATTTTATTTGATCATAATTATGTTTTTTTGTGTATGTATTTATGTTTATGTAATGTTTTTATATTTTATCATATGAGAAGATATTGATTTTTACTACACTGCCTGACAAAAGTCTTGTCAATCCAAGAGCAACGAATCAACTTGAATTCTTGGTGATCATTAGGAAAAGTGTCAGAATGTAGATTTTTCCATTAAACTGCATCCCAATCATCACAAAAACTTCAGAAGACGTATTGGAACCCACAAAGACCCAAGATTCTCACAGAAATCAGTCAAGTTTGGTGAAGGAAAAATCATGGTTTGGGGTTACATTCAGTATGTTGGCATGCAAGAGATCTGCAAAGGGGATAGCAACATCAACAGCCTGAGGTATCAAGGCATTTGTGCTCCACATTACATTACAAACCACTGGAGAGGGCAAATTCTTTAGCAGGATAGCGCTCCAAGGTGCTCCAAGATTGGCCAGCCCAGTCACCATATATGAACATTATTGAGCATGTGTGGGGTAATACCAAATTTACAACTAAAGGTCAAGTTATTATTTGTTGTTTCTAAAACCTGAATAGGCGACAAGACTTTTGTCAGGTAGTGTTAATTTTAATATCATAACTTATTGTAAATTTGATTATTAAATTTGTATAAAATAAACACATTTAAAATAATTGTACATTTTTCAAAGTTTTTAAATGTTCATTTCACCTTGACTTTAAATGTTGCCGCTTGTGGTAAGTGTATAACCAGAACAGCTGCTGCACTTTAATCACTTCTTGTTTACATACTGATCTCACCCAATAGTAATGGACTGTTTTTTGATCCTCCAGGAGCTCCTCTTCCTCCTCCTCCTCCTCCCCCTCCTCCGCCTCCACCACCCGGGATCGACTCCGGCCCTCCGTCTCTCTCTCCTCCCAGTGCCAACGGTGTGGGCAGAGGTGCCCTCCTCAGCTCCATACAGTCCTTCAGCAAAAACAAACTGAAAAAAGCAGAGACTGTTGACCGCAGCGGCCCACGTTTGTGAAGAAAAAACAACATCAACAACGCTTGTCTTGTTTTAGTGCAATTCGTCCACTCAAAGTCTTTTAGCAACTTGCGTCTAGCAGTGAAAAGTGACTGTTTGTAATCGAACTTTGTTGCCATTCAATTCCAGCAGAGCCCTGCGTTTATTCAGGGTTTTTTTTTGTTTGTCAAGCTACCCGAAGTAACCTAAGCAGTTCTGCTTGGACCAGCTGTTTTATTAAAAAACGGACAAATGCACTCATTCGGATGAAAAATACGACCTCTACATTTTAAAAGTACTGACTTACGAAGGCAGAAATTGGTGGAGAATGCAGGCAACACCTTTATTTTTTGACGATAATTAACGTTACGTACACGATTCTGCTTTGACCAGCTGTCGCATTAAAATTCAGCACCTGCGCACTCATTTGAACAGAAAAAAAATAGCATTTCATTTTTGATTATTGTTTTACGAAGGCAAAACATGAAGGAGAATGCGGACAACATGTTTACGTTTTTGACGATAATAAGTGCAACCTAAATGATTCTGCTTAGACCTGCTATCGCATCTAAATTAAGAACTTGCGCACTCATTTAACCAAAAAAACTACCATCTTCAATTTCAATTATTGTTTTTACGACAGCAGAACATGGAGGAGAATGCAGACAACATGTTTCCGTTTTAGACGATAATTAACATAACGTTTTGTCTTACCAAGGCAGAATATGAAAAAAAATGTGGGCAACACCTTTATTTTTTGACGATAATTAACGTAACCTAAATGATTCCACCTGGACCAGCTGTCACATCTAAATTAAGGACTTGCGCACTCATTTGACTGAAAAAAAATACCATTTTCAATTTTGCTTATTGTTTTACGAAGGCAAAACATGAAAAAGAATGCGGACAACACATTTATGTTTTTGACAATAATTAGCATAACCAAATGATTCTGCGTGAACCAGCTGTCGCATTTAAATGAGAAATTTGAAGTCAATTTAAAGTATTGTCGAACAAACGTAAAGGATGGAGTAAAACGGGGGCAATACATTTATTTTTTGACGTTAACCTAACGTTAACAATTCTGCTTGAACCAGCTGTCACATCTTAATTAAAGACTTGCGCACTGATTTGACCGAAAAAATACCATTTTCAATTTCAATTATTGTTTTACGAAGGCAGAACATGGAGAAGAATGCAGGCAACACTTACATTTTTTGTCGATAATTAAGATAACCCAAGCGATTCTGCTTGGACCAGCTGTCGCATCTAAATTAAGGACTTGCGCACTCATTTACCCGAAAAAATAGCATTTTCAATTATCGTTCTATGAAGGCAAAACATGGAGAATAATGCAGGCAACATGGTTACGTTTTTGATTATAATTAGCGTTACCTAAACAATTCTACTCGCACCAGCTGTCACTTCTAAATTAAAGACTTGCACACTCATACCGAAAAACATACCATATTTTCAAATCAATTATTGTTTTACGAAGGGAGAACATGGAAGAGATTGCAGGCAACATTTACGTTTTTGACGATAATTAGCGTAACCTAAACAATTCTGCTTGGACCAGCTGTCGCATCTAAATTAAGGACATGCACACTCATTTTAACAAAAAAAAAAAATTAAGTCAATTTAAATTTAAAGTATTTTCTAACGAAGGCAGAAGATGGAGGAAAAAGCGGTCAACACATTTATATACTTCTATTCATTTAGTACGAATGAGAACGTATAACCAGATTTTGTTGTCGGTTCATAAAATGAGCGACATTTAAATCTGACATTTTAATTCAACTGTTTGTTTTGGAGGGTTCAAGTTGCTTTTGCCACATTTACCATTGTGCCTACAAAAGCTAAGAGCTTTTTATTGTTTCGTTTTTTTTGTTCAAGCTACATTTGTACGTATTTTCTTTCGGAACAAAGTACTCTTTGTATTCCTGTTCTGAAAGATCACAATCAAACATGTTGCACAAATATTGACATTAAGAAAATGCGTTTACGCTTCTTAAAAGAACAGTTCACCCCTAAATACTAAATTCGGTCACTACTTTTTCTCCGCTTCAAACCTGTTTGTTTCCGTTTTCCGTCTAACAAAAAAAAAAGAGATATTTTGAAGAATGTTGGAAACTAGTAGCCAGTGACTTCCATAGTATTTATTATTCTACTATGGAAGTCAATGGCTTCCCGTTTCCAGTATATATGTTGAAATAGTATATTTATAGTGGAAACGTTTTTATTTAGGGGTGAACTGTCTCTTTAAAAAAAGCTGCTGTTAGAAAGAAAAATGGCTTTGATTTACCACTGAAATGATTGTATATTGTCCATTGTGGTGTCACTTATTCCGTCTAATCCCATTGGTTGCTGCAGCCTGGTAGGGATTTTCAGCCAATCAGAGATGACCAAGTGTTGGTAAACGAAAGCGGTTTCTCATTTTGCACACACACATATTGGGGAGACTTGTATATTTCATATTCATCGCGGGGTCCTGTTGAAAAGCAGATCCAATTGTAATCTATACCAGTGTACAGTAATGCACAAAGCTCTAGTACCCGCATTTGTACATAGACTCAGACACACACTGAAAGCAGTTCAGTAGCGTACTACACATTCTCAGCTTTGTTATTACCGTGGGGGAAGAGTTTAATAATGTTTTCATTTTTTCGCTACAGCACTTTACCGCTGATTATTTGGCAGTGGTCTTGAAGAAGAAACATTCTAAAGTTTACAACAGAGATTTATGTATGTATGAGGACGGTTGAAGAATTAATGTGTTTGATGATGATGATGATGATGATGAAATTTGCCACTGATTTTCGCCTCTGTACAGTTGCCACATCCGTCTTTGAAAGCACTGGAGGAGAACGTCCTCAAAGTGCTAAAATATTGTTTTCCCTGTTATTAAAAATACTTGTATTGGCAATATATTTTAAAAGGATGGTCTTGTGCTTTTAGTTGTGAACATTGAAGTAAAGACAATGGAACAGATCTCACGTTGTTCAATTCCTTGCTCTAACATTAAGCTATAGATTAGTTGTATATATGTGGATACAGTGAATAATATCATTTTAAATTCATTGTATATTTCATTGTTATACTTTATTAACTGTTTTATAATTGATTATTAATGGTATATTGTAAATGCATTAGAATTGAGATCTTATTAATAACATGAATATTATTTAATGGGTAACTAATAATTTTATATTAAAAATATTTTTATTACATAATAATAATAATATACTCATCGACATGTTCAAGAAGCCAGTCTGAGATGATTTGCACTTTTTGCCATGGTCCATTATCCTGCTGGAAGGAGCGATCAGAAGATGGGTACACTGTGGTAATAAAGGGATGAACATGGTCAGCAGCAATACTGACATGATGCTCAATCAGTACTAATGGGCCAAAATTGTGCCAAGAAAATATCCCCCACACCATTACACCACCACCACCAGCCTGAATCGTTGATACAAGGCAGGATGGATCCATGCTTTCATGTTGTTGACGTCAAATTCTGACCCTACCAGCTGAATGTCGCAGCAGAAATCGAGGCTCATCAGACCAGGCAGCTTTTTCCAATCTTCTATTGTCCAATTTTGGTGAGTCTGTGTAGCCTCAGTTATCCGTCTGGCACCAACAACCATGACACGTTCAAAGTCACTTAAATCACCTTTCTTCCCCATTCTGATGCTCGGTTTGAACTGCAGCAAATCGTCTTGTCATGTCTACATGCCTAAATGCATTGAGTTGCTGCCATGTGATTGGATAGTTGAACAGGTGTACCTAATAAAGTGGCCAGTGAGTGTATAATGCTACTGTAAATATAATTAACAAGGAGTTATATGTGGTTTTTATATAAAAATGTTTACTAAATATAGTTTTCAATTTGTTTTTAAAAGTTTGTAAGCTTATTAATATATATTTTATATTTAGGTTATTTTAAAACTTACATATACAATATATAAGTTTTACATATATAATATATGTATAGTCAAAAGTAAAATATAGCCATTATATATATATATATATATATATATATATATATATATATAGTTGAAGTCAGAATTATTAGGCCCCCTGAATTATTAGACCGCTGGTTTATTTTTTCCCCAATTTCTGTTTAGCTGAGAGATTTTTTCAACACATTTCTGATCATAATAGTTTTAATAACTCTACTCTAATAACTTATTTATTCTATCTTTGCCATGATGACAGGAGATAATATTTTACTGGATATTTTTCAAGACAGCTTATACAGCTTAAAATGACATTTATAGGCTTAATTAGGTTAACTAGGCAGGTTAGGGTAATTAGGCAAGTTATTGTATAACGATGGTTTGTTCTGTAGATTATAGAGAAAAATATAGCTTAAAGGAGCTAATAATTTTGTTCATAAAATGGTGTTTAAAAAATTAAAAACTCCCTTTTATTCTAGCCCAAATTCAACAAATAAGACTTTTTTTAGAAGAAAAAATATTATCAGACATACTGTGAAAATTTCCTGTCAAACATCATTTTAAAATATTTTTAAACGAAGAAAAAAAGTTTGAAGAGGGCTAATAATTCTGACTTCAACTGTAGATGAGCAATTATGTGCAAATGTCAACCTTTCCATGAAAGAAAATTAAGCTTTCACCAAAATACGGAATCCGTTTCAGGGTTTTTTGTGTAAGCAAGTATTTTACAGTACTTTAGAAATACTCAACACTGCTTGTCAATGTTTTCCAACTATTCTATTTGATTTACCAAAGTCACACAAGTGGCAAATTCACATCTGTCACATCCATAGCGACACTTTTTCCTCATAAATGTGAAAATACTTAACATAATAAAACCAATATTTTTTTGTTTTATAGACAGCAAACATGTCCTTTTGATTATCATTATTTATTTTGGGTTGTGCAGTTTAATTCACAGAATTGCTACAAAGTATCTTGTATACTGTAAACATCCATAACACGTTTATTTTCCTCTTTGAAAGTACAAAACATGTTCTAAACATGTTTTGTACTTTCAAAGAGGAAAATAAACGTGTTTTACAGATACTCATGTTTAAGATGTTTTCTGCTCCTTTAACTGGTCAGTCGTTCTAGAAAATATAAACAAAAGTTTCAATGTGTATATATATATATATATATATACACATACAGTTAGGTCCATAAATATTAGGACATCTACACAATTCTCACATTTTTGGCTCTATACACCAACACGATTTAAAATGAAACGAACAAGATGTGCTTTAACTGTACAGCTTTAATTTGACTGTATTTACATCATGGAAACCAGCCTGGAAATGGCCAAAACCCCTCAAAAACCAGGCTGGTCGACCAGCTAAAATCAGAAAATCAGCCTGGCCTGGTTTAAGCTGTTTTCCCCAGCAGTGTAGAAAAATGTTATAATTAAACTGTGTATATTAGAAATTATAAGAACTTAACTGTATATAATTGTTAATATGAACTATATAACTATATTAATAGCTAGTTTAATGTCTTTTAATACTTACAAATCATAAAATGACCTTATTGGTCCTATTTTAAAGCATATTGCAACTTGTTTAAGACTTTTTCAACATGTCCCCGCACCATATTTCAAAAGTGCCCAGTTTACATTCAACAATGAAGCAACTGATTTAAAAATCACAGATTTTTGGTTTCTATAAAAAGATTCTTCTCTTGCCCTTGGACGCGGAGTGACAGTCTGACGGCAACTTCCGCTTCAGTCATGAATCCGCCACTCTGATTGGCCGCTTTCCTCGCGTTTCCTGTTCTGCTTTTACAACGCGCTCTCTGATTGGCCGCGGCCGCTGGGATGACATGCCCGCCTCCGTACAGAGGACAGTGAAACATGGCGTCTCTGAGGTGTTTCCTGCGCTCGGGGAAGGTATTTATGTGTGAATATGAGCTGTTATCTGCATATTGCGGTGGTGTTTGTTAGATGAGAGTGTTTAGACTGATGTTGGCGGTGTATTTGTGTCTCAGAGTGCCGTTTCAGCGGTTTTGCGGCGGGAGTTTCACAGGACTCCTCCGGCGGCGGTGCAGGTCAGTGATGCTGCGACTCTCACCTTCAGCAGATGCTGCATCATTTAAAACAATAACACATCTGAAAAATGAGCTTAAATGTGTATCATATTAGTATGTTTTAGACAACATATTAAGTATTAACTGCTCTCGACGATACTAACAGTAACAGCATGTTTTTGGGTGTGTACACAATGACTATACCTCGGTGTTTTGAGTAATTACTATGTGATAATTGATACTATATTAATAATAACGTTACTAGACAGTGGTAAGGACGTAAGTTAGTGTTTGTATATTATGTTATTTTAAAGCTAAAATGGGTTATCCAAAAATGAAAACTTACTTTTTAACTCCCCACAAAGGGGTTTCAAACGTTGAACACAAAAGAAAGTATTACAGGAAAAAAACTTTAAAAATGCTGGTTTTAACATTTTTCAAAATATCTTCTTTTATGTTTCAAAAGAAAAAAGAAACAGCACATTGACTGAGATATTTACTATGTTTCAGTGAACATTCTTTCTTTGGTAATACACAGTTGTAATGCCACAATGCTTTTGCATTTACCAATGTAAAGCTATATTTTACACTTTATAAGTACCATAGTATTTTCTTAGTATTTTTGACATTTAGCAAGACTTTCTTTGTTAATATACAATGTAATTTCACTTTGTGCACTATGGTAAGGTCATATGTTGTTTGTATGCTGAGAGTGCAACATCTTTATTGTTTGTTTTGGCCATTTACCGTGCTTCATTGAACATTGCTTGGTAATTTACCATGGCTATGATGTACTTTATATATACACACACCATGTTTTTTTATGTTTACCATGGCATTTTAAACTTTGACCTTGTTTTGTTGTATTATCAAATTTGTTCACATATACTCCAAATCCAAATATTTATTATCCATGAAAATACATTATTTCTGTGTTTATCGTTATCATGGAAACGGTTTGCTAAAATTACCATGCAATATTTTTTTTCCATTTGCACCATGGTAGTTTAAGGGTATGTTTATTTACATACCATGGTAATACTATGGTATTTTCAACGCATATCCTGTTTCAGTGAACAACCTTTTTGAAAAATACTATGCAGGGTTCAACGCTAAGGATTTTTTCTACTGGGCCAATCGGGCCAGAGGTTGAGATTTTTACTTGCCCTGCCAAAGTTTTCACTGCCCCCACCAAAAAATAAAAAAGTTAATTGCTATTTCTAAGCCACATATTTTAAATAAAAAAAAAAAATTTTTAAGTGGCAAAATAATATCTGTGAAATGTAGAATTTAAACATTTTAAAAATGTTAATAAAATATAATGAGCAAAATTCAAGATTTTATGCAAACAAAAGAGCAGTATTGAAAATGTGCTGGTATTTTATTGCAATTCTAAATTATTTTTATAAGATTGCTAAACTGAAGACAAATATTTTTTTTTTTCGTTGAGATTCTTAATATTGTACCCATGTGATTGTCTGCTTCCAAGACTTTAGAAACAGACGCTTTCTTTTAGCCTCATAGTTTGATGTTGCAGCCATATTTGCACTGTACTGGTTGTTACCAGGGGTCTGTTCTTCGTACGTGGATTACTCAGTTAGCTGGATTTGGATATTGACGATTTAACACGATCCAGGATCGTTTCGTTCTTCAAAGCTGATCCGAGAGTTGTTGTCATAGCAACAGTTCTGCTAGCTTAAACCTGATCGGGAGCAGGTTCAATTCATATAAACAGGATAAGATTGGCTCAGTTCAAGCAAAGATAATACAGAAAGTATGTTCTGAATTCTGATATTTTCTTACAGTATAGTTATGTACACTTGGGAAAATGGTACATATTTTTTAACTATATATATAAAGTTATAGTCATTAATAAAATAAATAAAGTTATACATATTAATAAAACGTATGCAATCTGCACCCTCGAAATGAAAGTACAAAAACTGCCACCTGGTGGTGCAAAGAGAAAACTTATTGATATGAACTTTTTAGATCACTTTAGTACAAATTGTGTATAATAGAAATGCACAGTATGTGACTTTTTTAAAGCAATAATACATTTATGCAGTCATAAACATGTTTTGACAGTTAATATGCCAGTGATTTGATGCTTCACAAAAGTTGCAGATGCCTTTACCAATATCAAAATGCTTTTGTAAACAACCAGTTATTCTTTACACAGATTAAAAAAACAGCTACTATAATAAAGGAAATCTTTTCTAAATGTAGAACTAAATACATTGATTTGCATTGAAAAACATGATGAATACTCTTTACACATGAAAGTGTAAAGCCTGCAGCTCACAACTAATGTGGAAGGTTATTGCATGTCATATTTAACAAGCCGTTTACTGCTAATTTGATGTAATTTTGCTCACATGGATAATTGAATATTAATCAGATGATGTCATTACGCTGCTGTGCCGTCAGCCAATCGTTGCATTGCTGATCATGATTTCGAGGATCGATAGATCTGTCCTTCATAACACATGCAGCGATCTCAGATCAGTTCATCCAGACATTCTAATCTGATTCGCGAACTTGTTTGAAGAACCAAATTAGCGAGAGATCAGTTATCAAGATTAAAAGATCCAGGATCTGCCAAATCATCTTAGATCATTTAAGCGATGTACGAAGAACGGACCCCAGGTTAAGAAAAAAAATCGCGTGCTCATCGTTACTGGCGGATAGGGGCCATTAACAATCCTGTCTACTGTCCCGAGCGTCTTTCATGCTGGCCCCAGGCCACCGGGCAGTCCTTATTGTTGAGCCCTGCTATGGTAACACCACAATGTTCTATATGTATGTTAGTAAGCTGTGTGTCTGTATGCCATGATAACACGCTTTCTTTGTATTTACTGCTTCCATGGAAAATATTAATACCATCAGTACATTGCGGTTTTTAAATCGTATGTTTATTGGTAAATCGTTGTTTTGGTGTTCTTCACATTCACAATCTTTTATTGGTCATTATTCTTCAATATACAATGGTAATTTGTTTTTCCTTTTTTTTTGTTATGGTGTAGCAGTTTTGTGGCCATTTACCATGGTATTTTTTTATATTATATGGAAAATATAATGTTTATAAATAATACAAGTTTTATCAGTGTATTATACAGTAATTATATTCATGTTATTTAAATTTTTACATTTTAATATTTATGAAACCGTTTTACATGATTGCTTCATTTGTTTAGAAATCATTAATTTTTATTTATTTATTTTTGGTTTCAGTAAAAAAAATCTTTCTCTTTAACCCCATATATATGTTCTGTTCTAACATATTAAAGTATATTCAGATTTAAGGGTTATCTTGATTTTTATACTGTTTATTGTTAACAGTTTGGCAGTTGTATAATGGTTTTATACAAGTTTAACTATGGTATTGCCATGTTGTTACCATGTGTTTTTTTTTTTTTTACATATATTACAGTGTTATCATGCTTGCTCTGCAGTACCTTTTAATACCATGTAAATCTCATAGTATTAGAATACACATATTCACATTTTTAACATTAAAGTATTAAATGAGGCATGTATAATACTAAATTTTTTTAGTTGTCAGGCAATCTGTATTGATAAATATGCTCTGGGTTGTTGCAGGTGACGGTTCGAGATGCCCTTAACCAGGCCATGGACGAGGAGCTGGAGAGAGACGAACGGGTCTTCCTGCTCGGAGAGGAAGTCGCACAGTATGACGGCGCATACAAGGTCAGATAGACACATTTATTCAAACATTTTTCTGATTAATGACATTTTAAACATGTTTTTTGTAATTTGCTTGTATTGGGTTGCAGGTCAGCAGAGGCCTGTGGAAAAAATACGGAGACAAACGTATCATTGACACCCCCATTACAGAAGTGAGAACTGAAATATGCGAAAGCAACAGTTTTTGTCTATTCTATTGTTTTTTCTTGCAACTGTCAGGTTAAGGATCCGTGGCTTTTTGGATTTTCTTACAGTGTGTTTTCAGTTTGATGTAATGAAAACATCCAAAATATTTTTTTTCATACATTATAATTCTGTATTTGTAGATTTAAATGACTGTAAGCATTAAGACCTTTTTCTTCAAATGAGATCTAAATCTCCTCTTCACCAGCACCAACTTTTTTATTTATTAGCTTTTATTATTATTATTTAATTTGTTAAATGTTGAATTTTATAAAAAACTGAGTATTTAAAAGAGATTCCCAAAATCCCTTCTGTAAAATTTTCAATACTTTATCCAAGGTTCTGAATCTTGTGCTTTAAATATTTGCAAACTATTACATGTTTAGAAAGAATACCTTGTTTGCATTTTTAAACAACATTTTTAATAACTTGTTATGCAAAAAAATATTTGCAAATGTCTAATGCAATCAATCAACTGGGGAAAAAATGAAGGTCACTGTTATTTACGTTTTTACCCTATTCATTTACAGTTTCTTGCCTTAATTGTTATTTAATTTTTTCTTTCTCTCTGCAGATGGGATTTGCTGGCATTGCCGTCGGTGCCGCCATGGTGAGTTTAACATCCAGTTAACAGAATTTTTAGTATTTAGAGTATATAGTTAAAACAAATAAACTTCATTAAACATCAATTATACACACAGACATCTCCTTTTTGGAAGGACACTATATACTGTTTAACTGCAGGTTAATTATGTATATATACTGTCCACCCTGTACTAGCTTTTCAGAGCTTTCAAACAATTGAACCAACTGATTTACAAAATGATTAACTGTTTTCAAGCAATCATATACTCGGGACTCCTGCTAGGGACACCTGGTGGTCAGAATCATGTAAATGCAACAAAAACTCAGGCAAAACATTTATTAGAATTTATTATTCTTTTTTTGTATACATAATTTTTTTTTAGTGGTTGTCATCTTCATTGGGACAGGATAGTAAATAATGGAGACAATTTAGCAGAGATCCCATAGTGCTATGACAATACACTAAGCACTTGGCTATAGTCGATGACACGCTGCAAACTTTAAATGAAAAGTATAACCTGCAGTATGAATGCACTTAGCTTATCATCTGATATCATGAAATATTAAGTGTCTGCATATTAAGCGCTCTTTTATAAGTTTTCAAGACTTATTTATTGTTTGTTCCATGATGGGCTCTGTTAAATAAGTGTTGTTACTCTTTTTAAGTATTTTTACTTTTCATTTTACAATGTCCTATTTAAAAAAAAAAATCTTGAAAATCTTCTAAAACTCTTAAAACTGACCTGAAATCAGGTAAAAACTATGAAACCTGTTCAGAGATTCACTATTAAATTTGTGTGATTCATGTGGATTTTATGGTATTGCACAGATCGCCACCCAGTGGAGAAGCATTGAATTTTTGAAGCCTATCGAAACGGTAATGATGTAACGAAGCCTCGTTTACTGAAATTACAGACTTTTCCTATTTGATTTGTGCTCCGAACCACTGATTCGAAACAAAAAATTCCTAAAGGTTTCAAAGCTTCATATAGCAGTGCTACGAAATCAGCCGACACTCCCCTATACACAACTTAACTATTGGGATTTTGACTGTAATGTAAAAACGTGCACCTTTTGTGAGCCTGCTTTGGAATGATAATTATTGTGAAAAGCTCTTTACAAATAAACTTGCATTAAATTGAATTGAATCCTGAAATGAATCTCTTAGGGCCGGGACACACCAGTTTTGTGTGTTCCATATGTTGCTCATTGGCCCAATTCAGCTTCTAGAATTGGCAGAAAGATATGTCCTCTTGCGCAGGCGCAGAATGCGGCCCTTTTTTAATCTGCTTTCATCCATTTGGTGTGTTCACATGAAGCTTTTTGGTCCAGATGCGATCCAATGCAAGGCAACAACATGGTTGGGTTTCGTTGGTGCTAGTTGTTTGGTGTCGGCTTGGTGTTTCTTGGCCCTCACATCCCCAAACTAACCCATCACTTCCTCTCTCAGGCAGGTTTGAGGCCCATCTGCGAGTTCATGACCTTTAACTTCTCCATGCAAGCCATAGATCAGGTCATCAACTCGGCTGCCAAGACCTACTACATGTCTGCAGGCCTTCAGGCCGTCCCCATCGTTTTTCGTGGCCCTAACGGAGCTTCAGCTGGTGTGGCGGCTCAACACTCGCAGTGTTTCGCTGCTTGGTACGGTCACTGTCCCGGACTAAAGGTATTGAGTCCCTGGAACTCCGAGGACGCCAGGGGTCTCCTAAAAGCTGCCATCCGTGACGATAACCCTGGTAAACACGTCTCTCAGGATTAGAGTAAAGTCAGGGATGAGTTTGACTGATGTGTCATGTGTTTTTCAGTGGTGTTTTTGGAGAATGAGCTGATGTACGGTGTGCCGTTCGAGATGTCGGAAGAGGTGCAGTCAAAAGACTTCGTCATCCCTATTGGAAAAGCTAAGATTGAAAGACAGGGTGGGTAACATTTTACACGAGTTTCTGTTACGAGTTCTGTTTTTTGGTAAGTTGTTAAAATACTTTTGTTATAAGGAGTTTATTACAAAAGTGGTATTGCATGACCAAATCATAAGTGTAATTTCTTTACATTTTAATATTTATAGGTCATCTGAATGACGTATAAATAAACTCTTTCTTAACGTGTAGGTGGTTAGGATTGGACAACATTTGGCTCAAGATACAGATATTTAATAAATCTGGAAGTTGAGGGTTAAAAAAATCTAAACACTTTAAATAGATTAAGTTCTTAACAATCCACTTTACTAAGTGAAGTTTTATAAACTAATTTTGAGAGGAGCACATGATATAATTGAGCAGACTGGATTCTCATCTGTAATCAGTAATAATCCAATCAGAGTGATCCAAGTCTACATTAAAGACTGATTTTACCCTACCCTTCCTTCGTTTTGGAAGAATCCCCCCTTCCACCCTATCTCCTCCTTTTCCTCTTTTTTTTCTAAGGGGAGCTCTTGAGATCTAATTGATCTCGGACCCCCTTTATATGCTTATTGACCAGGCGGGAGCCTTGGGCTCAATTATCTTCCAGCTCAGGGTTCTCTCCCTGGACAGCATGCAAAACCTAATAACGCCAAGCATATTTTTTATTTTTTTAATAATGTATTTTATAACATTTTAAGCAATATTTATACAATAACAAACAAGGGAACAGAACATGGGGTAAAGAAAAAAACATGTATAGAAAAAAAAGTAAAAAAAGAAGGGCATTAATAAAATTAGAGATATTGCATATTCATGCACCGCAAACCTTGACAGGATCTGACCTTGTTAAATCAACCCTCTGATGATTATGGAGGTTATCATTAAACCCATATGTAACAAAAATGGATCCCACCTCTCATGAAAATAAAACATCTTTGCCATGTAAGACACAAGTTAAGTAGTCCAGTGGTACATATTCAAGTATTATCCAGTGCCATAAAGACTTTGTTGGAGTTTTGTCTGTTATCCAGTTCAGAAGACATTTTCTTGCACAAAATGTCATGCAAAGTGTTTTTTTTTTTTTTTTTTTTTTTTTTTAAACGCCAAGCATATCTAAGTGTGAACTCTTGAATCTAAAATTAAGTTTTATAAATGATAAATTTATGGTACAGAAATTACAATTTGTATTCATTGAACGTGATCTTTATTTTGTATACTTATCATTTTTTGGTATATTTTTGGCAAATTGTATATCAATACATTAAACTCATACAATGAAGGTTTTGCTATTCCACAGACATATATGTGCAACATATGATTATGATGAAATTAGTGATGTTACTATTTAATATTATTATTATCAATAATAAAGTATGTTCATATTAATGTAAATATTTAATGTAGCTCAAATAGGTCACTCTGCTAGGACAATAAAGCTGTGGGTTCATTAACTAGAAAAAGAAACGTGCAATTGAAGTCGCTGTCGATAAAAGTCACATTGACTACATTTTCTACACTAAAACAAAAGTAACGCAAGTTCAAAACCTGGGGGAAAGATTATACATAAAATTAGGCATGCGCCCAAAATAAAATTTTAGGCTTAAACCAAAAATTCTAGAAGCATTGACCCAACCCAAAGCTGCTTTGTAATAATCAGTTGTTTTTTATGAAATATTAGATTTTTTTAAGACTTAAAATAAAATTGTATTCAATAATTTAAACTTATGCTAATTTAAAAAAAAACCCGAGCCAATAAAATAGCCATATATTTTACCAGTGTTCCCATGACAGCACAGTATTTCTATTGCAAGCAGCAGGAGCTAGTATACTACAGAACATAGGACATCCCTGCATTTGAGTTGATGGACATGCATGACATGAGGGGAATATTTTATAAAACATAAATAATTTCTTAATATTTTTTCCTTGATTATTTGTATGTCAGTTATTGCCAGCCATTATGTGTTTAGTGTTATTGTGTTGAACTGAATCGTTGTGTGTGTATATTAATATTGGTGTTCTGATGTAGGAAATCACATCACATTGGTGTCTCACTCCCGAATGGTCGGTCTGTGTCTCGATGCTGCTGCTGTTTTGGCCAAGGAGGGCATTGAATGTGAGGTATGAAAAAATGTATAATATTTTGTACAAAAAGATAATATTCAAAACAAACTTAAAAAAACACATTTGCTCAAAAGCAAATTAATATCACATATAATGTTAATTCATTTGTACTTATTATTGACCTAGATTCAAAAGTTGAACAAACCAGTTTGTATTTTGAATGAGTTGCATTTTAGACTAAATATTGTCGGCTTTTTCCATTTTGCCAACAAAAATATTTCCAAAATCTGTAACATTCTTTTCTGAATGAATATGTTTTTGGATGAAGTTGAGTTAAGGATTTAATGATTTACTAAATGCAGTTATTTGCTTTGTTTATAAATAAATCAGCCGTGTTGAACAAATCGTTTGAATAAATGATTTAGTTATAACAGCAACTTGTCGCCACCTACTGGCTGTTTATTGTTATAGTTATTCATGACTGGCCTAAAGCAAAACAAAAAACTTTTTTGCAATCTTATTTTCTAAAACACCTTTAAGTATTAATAATTGCAAATATTTACGTTTAATTTTATCAGGATCACACAACTCTACTACTGTTTTTACTACTACTATTTATTGTTGTAGTAACTAAGATGCTGATCACACTAGTGACTTACACAAGCTTTGAATTGAAATTGTATAGGTTTTATTACAGTTACATCTGGCGACAACCCTACTCCAGCATCCAACCTGTGAGCTTTGTAAACTCTAAAGACCTCATTTTAGTTTGGAAACACTGGTTTATTTTGTACATCACAATAGACAGACTGAAATGCACAATATGAAAATGAAGGCATGGCTATGCACAATCACTCACTGATTGATCTTCTGGACTAATGCGCATACTGTAGTTCCCTAATTCGTCAAGCCAATCTCATATGATCATTACACAACCGGTACACAGCGAGTACAGATGCCAGAAAAATATGCACATACCAAGCGAGCGTAAATGGTCATATCCTAGATTTTAGGTTGTAGAGTGTGGATGTAGATTGTTTTTTCGAAGTGCAATAAAAAATTTCAGTCTAGATGTAGACGTTTTTATTCTACAATGGCGTTTAAAAACACTATACAGCATAAAAACATTTCTGTTTCGTTTGGTTTATCTTTTGGATATCTGTGTTTTCCTCTGTAGGTTATAAACCTGCGTTCTATCAGGCCTCTGGACGCTGACACCATTGAAACAAGCATCACGAAAACAAATCATCTGGTCACTGTGGAGGGCGGCTGGCCTCAGTTTGGCGTCGGGGCAGAGATTCTTGCCCGAATCATGGAGGGTAAACATTATTCATGTATTTTAGTTTTTATTTAATCTCTGGAAATCTGATGTGAAATGAAATGAAAGTGAAAGTAGAATGTTACCAAATTGTGCACTTTATCACGTGCATACCGTTTCACTACATGTTTAATTTCACAATAGGCGATTAAAATCAGCAGTATGCTAGTTTTTTAATTACAACCCTTTCATGTTCAGAAATCGCAGGTAGAACATCATAGTTGATTTTATTATTTACTTTCTTTTTCCCTTTAATTCAAGGTCCTGCTTTCAATTACCTCGACGCCCCTGCGGTTCGGGTCACGGGTGTTGATATTCCCATGCCGTACGCCAAGATTCTGGAGGACAACAGCATACCACAAATCAAGGACATCATCTTCTCCGTTAAAAAGACTCTGAATGTTTAAGATAATAACCCCTCCATCCGGACACAATAAATATGAAATACTCCATGTTCTCTTCCGTTTCTGCATTGGTGTTTGGGGAATTCTAGGATGTTTTCTCTCATCTCGAAAATGTCTTTGTTACATGGTCTTTCCCTCATCACTACAGTCAAATTATTTGCTCATTTTGATTATAAAATGAGGTTTTGTCATGACGATAATGTTTATTATGGCCATAAACAACCAACCAACCCATGTGTAATATGCTGTAAATTCTACTTTAAGCTAAAGTAATAAACTTTTATCTCAATGGATTATGAGAATGCTTGTGATTTCTTGTGTTGTTACCAGAGAGGCTTCAAAGTTCAGTTTGTGTTTGAGAATTTGTACAGCTTGTTTTACACATAACCCAGTGCTCAGCATGATTAAGTACAGCCCATTTTGAAAATAAATATTATTATCCATTTCTCAGTGAATATTGGTAATGTATGTTGGTGCATTTAAACAAACAGGTTTATTAAACGGATACATTTAATAAAATCATACTTTAGTCACAAGACATATTTAGAAATTAAAAGATAAAACATTTCAATTCAAGCAAAATAGCTAAATCTTTTTTTTCCCCCTCTCTTTTAAATTTATAATATTTTTCTATAACAAATTTGGGTGTACTAGTTTTTAGACCGTTATCGTACATTAAAAATATGAATTTAAAAAAGGATAGATTTGTGAGAGGTGTACTTGTATATGCTGAGCACTGTATTTATAAAAATCACATAAACATACATCATATATATATATATATATATATATATATATATATATATATAGTGAAAATAGGTAATATCCAAATGCATATTTTGGTGCATTTGTACAAAATCGATTTATTAAACATATCTATTAGACTGATATCTGGTGAGTGTGGAGGCCATTTGAGTACAGTAAACTCATTGTGATGTTCAAGAAACCAGTCTGAGATGATTAACGCTTTATGACATGGTGTGTTATACTGCTGGAAGTAGGGTACACTGTGGCCATAAAGGGATGGACATGGTCAGCAACAATATTCAGGTTGGCTGTGGTGTTGTTACGATGCTCAATTGGTACTAATGGGCCCAAAGTGTACGAAGAAAATATCCCCCCACACCATTACACCACCACTACCAGCGTGAACCGTTGATACAAGGCAGAATGGATCCATGCTTTCATGTTGTTGACTCCAAATTCAGGCCCTACCTTCCGAATGAATTTGAGACTCATGAGGTCAGACAACATTTTTCCAATCTTCAATTGTCCAATTTCTGTGAGCCTGAGCAAATTGTAACCTCAGTTTCTCTGTTACTCAAGAGTGGCACCTGGTGTGGTCTTCTGCTGCTATATATATATATATATATATATATATATATATATATATATATATATATATATATATATATATATTCGTCACTAAACATTTAGGAAGAGAAATTTTGAGGGATGTACTTGTATATGTTAAGCACTGAATATGTGTAATTTATAACTATTACAATTTTTTTATAACATTCTTTAGTAATATGACCATATTTCGGTACACTTATATTTGTCAGAGTTAATACACATTTACTAATAAAATTCTATGACTTCTCCAAAATTGCCATTTTAGCCTACCCAAGTCACTAATAACATGTCTTTTGGACTTGTGGGGGGAACCGGAGCATCCGGAGGGAACCCACACGAACATGGGGATAACATTCAAACTCCACACAGAAATGCCAACTGACCCAGCCGAGGCTCGAACCAGCGACCTTCTTGCTGTGGGGCGATTGTGCTATCCACTGCCCCATCGTGACGCCAAACTTATATCTATGTAAAATGTATTTAGATAATGCTTACACCGCACTAATAATGTGAGGCTATGTGATTGGCCAAGGACAGAATAGAAGTCGAGACAACAAAACCTATATTCAAGTATACAGATATCTTCCCAAGTCTTTTCCAAAACTTTGTGTTTTTTTCTGTTTTTCCAAAAACTTTTCCAGGCCTGGAAAATGCTATACAAAAATTCTGTGACTTGTCCAGGTTTTCCATGACCGTATGGACCCTGACTTGTGCAATTCTTACACACACAAAATATGATATAATAAGCAATAATTTAGAGAGCTATGTCAGTGCATTTAGCTGTTTGTTGCTTACATATAAAATATTTAGGTAAGTATTGCTTCACTGCTTCTAAATATAAGGACATTAATAAAATAATAAATAAATTTTTTATTTATTTTAATAAAATAAATATAGAGGACATTTGGTTGCATTATAGTTTTGAATGTGACAATATGTCTAATTAATTGAAACAAAAAACAATTAAATCTGATCATTACAGGCATCTTAAATGGGACAAAGTTAATATTCACTCACCCATTTTACTTCAACTTATTCTCTGATTTATCAGGAGTCTCTGCACACAGTTTTAATACAACATTCAATCACATCAGAAGTGAACAACTGCAACAAACAGACATAAAAAAGGACATTCCAGCAGTCAAACACGTTCATCCTGAGCTCTGCTGATTGTAGATGATGGACTGATCTGAACATGTTTGCGCCGGGGTGGTGATTTACGTAGTGGGCGGGGCTTCGGTCGTGGGTGTGTCATTTCCGCTCATCCCACATCGATGTAGCAGCAGCTCATATGTCTTGCTCTGTGAATCCACACAACGTAAACACTACAGTCATTTTACAGGCTTTACTCAAGCAAAACGAGACGCCAAAGAACCTGCTGGATTAAAAACACGTATATATTTTGGGAAAAAGTCATGAAAAAACCCACAGGAAAGCAAACTGTCTCTGTTTTAATCCCTCTGTCCTCCATGTTCCTGATGCTCTGGACGTGCTGAAACAACTGAAGTAACGTAGATCCGACGCGGAGGAGAGGCTTAATTCACGATTTTATTTACGTATTTTTAACGAAGTGATACAAGTAAGTAATTTTTAATTAATATAGTACGATATATAATGACTATTACATGGTTGTTTGGTGTTATTTAATATATTATTCGTATATCAAATAACACGCGTAGTAAAATATTATAAATAATTTCATTAATGTCAATACATCTATGCTTTTCGTAGCTGATTTGTTGTTATTTTTGAGATATTTGAATAATGTTGGCTGGGATGCTGGGAATATCCTAAGGTGTCCTTCAGATGCGTCATTGATTTCTTTCATTCATGGTTTCATGGTGATATTCGTCAATATTACACTAGAATATACCATGTAAACAGTTAAACAATATATATTTCTACAGTTTACAACAGGTGAGGTGTTTATGCACCATAAAGGCTGCAGAGAAAGCTATTTGTCACCATCACTGAAGAGGAACAGTTGACCACATGGAGAATGGAGACTGGACACACATGGTAAATATTAATGAAGAGAGTAAAGCAGTGTACAGTGTGAGCAGAAATAGTGTACAAAACACGGAAATATTGTGGGAAATGTTATGGCTGTGTGATTTGGGGAAAATATCTGAGATTTTATTTTTATAACAGACATTTTTATTTCGATTTGATTTTACGATTTGATTTTGTAGTCAAGCTTCAGCTCAATATTTTGTATCGTAGCTTCTTACTGCTAAAATGTGTAATAAAGTGTGTTAGTTAATAAAGGAACTAAACAGATATTAACATACTTTGACTTTTATTCAAAACTTGTTTTAAAAAATTTAAAAAAATTAAGCACAAATTTTTCTTTATATCAAACAGTAGTGAGTTACGGCGTTGGTTATCTCCTGGCGCCTTCGTGATATTTTTTCATGTGGGGTAACAGCTGCAAACAACTCTGAAATTGAACTTTGCTGTTGCTAGTTACTAGATTGAGTGTCACTGGCAATACTTTCAGATTACTTTTTAGAAAGACACTACCCATAAACGTAGCCAACTGTTGTGCTTTTTTAGGTGCTGTTTGTTGTATTTCCTCATGCTGTGGAAACAATTCTGTGACAGCTCTTACAAATGACCTGTTTTTGTTCGGTGTCTGAGTTTGAAACCAAAATATTCCCATAATACTGACATGTTGTTTTTCTTTGATATTAATTCATCTATTAATGCTTCTGAAGAGGCAGAGCCATAATCCCACCTGTTTGTTTGTTTGTTTGTTTGTTTGTTTGTTTGTTTGTTTGTTTGTTTGTTTTACTGTGAGCATTCTGCATAGGTCGGGTGCACAATCCTGATTGGGCAAAACAAAAGTGCACTCACTCAGTTGGCTAGTAAGACTGTCACCAGGACCGATGTGGCCATAGAGGCAACATAGTGAGGGCGACGTCCGTGACCCCCCGTCCTCATTTTAATCCGCGGCACCCACCATAACCCCACACCTCCGCCGCCGGTCCTCACTTTGGTCCGCAACACCACCAGAGCGCAACCGGTCACTTTCGTTTTTACTTTCAGGTTGATGCCGGCGGGATCGTCGTTTGCCTAGAGCGCCAGTTCAGCTTGCTCCAGCCCTGACTGTCACACAGACAGCAGTTAAATTGACAGCAGTGATGGGTTAAAGCGGCGCGAATGTCTGCTGAAGTTCAGATTTTTCCTACTAGAGTGATTTGCGCGTCAATCACACAGAATGCTTAACTCGTGCCGCTTCATCCGCCTGAATCGCGTCTTTCGTGCTGTCTTATTTGCGCCGCCTCATTGAATCATTCGCGCTTGACGCTTCTTCCGCGTCTCATGTGAACGGAGCATAGGGTACTAGCTTAACACAAGTTTTCTGTTGCATCACATGAGTAAATGCACAAATGACAACATGAAAAATCATATTTGGGTGATTATTGCTTCTGAAGCAGCAGACGCCATCATCCCACTTGTCTGTGCTTTCCTGTTTGTTTGTTTGTTTGTTTTATTGTGGGCGTTCCACATAGTTCGGTTGCATAATTCTGATTGGGCAGAATGAAAGTGTGCTCTCTCAATTGGGTAGTAAAACTGTCAACGGGGCCGACATCCATGTCCTTCATCTGCAACACCGCCATAACCCCACACCTCTGCCACCGGTCCTCACTTGGGTCCCCGACACCGCCAAGACCGCAACTGGTCACCTTTGTTTTTATTTTCAGGTTGAGGGCGGCGTGATCGTTGTTTGCCTAGAGCTCCAGTTCAGCTTGATCCGGCCCTGACTGCCGCACAGACAGCAGTCATACATTTGATTTGTGTCAGGGAAATTATAGAATACATATATATTTCATATCGCAGCCTCTTGCAATTAGCTAATCGCAATGATTCAAGTTGCCATTGCGATTCAATTTTCATTAATCGCACAGCCCTAGCTGGATGCTAGAGTGATGCTAAGTAGTTGCTTTGGAAAGTCCAGATGTCAGCAGTATGAGAGTTTTTCCACTGCTAAATTTTTTTTTCTTCAAGTTTCCATGTTTTCTGGAGTTAAGGTGTTAAAATAAAATCTGTTGTTCACTGTATTAGATCAAATGTTTTTAGAGAAATGTATATACATATTTCTATCTATTCGCTTATATATTGGTTATCAGCGTCTAAATGTATAGAGTCATTAGTTAATTTAAATTTGTAAATACCCTTATCAATATCCTAATTCACAACATATTTCATTCGAATTAATGGCTTCCCTTTAGTTTTTTTATTAATTGAATTTAATACATTTAAAATAAATTTTAATTTAGCATTTTTAGCTTTTGCTCATCTCACACACCCCTTCAGTTTTCCCACTGACCAACCTTGTTTATTTGTAATATACGATTGTTTGCTATGCAGTTTTTTATTGTTTTGCGTATATACTACAGTGTTTGTGGTTTTCAAGGCATTTTAAGGGGGTTGCTAGAGTCTGTAGGCTGGTTGTTAAGCATTTGCTAGGTGTTGCTAGATGAGAAAGAAAAAAGTAACAAGCACAGAGAGTAGGCCGTACTGTCTTATTCCATTTAGTGAAAACATTGTTGAAACCCCAAACATTCCATGTGGTATTTTAAACCACAATCCATACATTCTGCAGCGCAGTTTATCATTCTATAGTTTCCATAGAAACTGATGTGTGTAATGCGGCTGAACAAGCAGATGTTGTTTTCAATTCTGGACTACAATGAATCTATCTTGGTTACTAGAAATACACTTGATGTTTTACTGGGTAACAGCATGGGTTTAATGGCCCACCAACTATTACAGCATAAAATCAATGGATCTGCATTCAGTTCATGCTGGTCCAAACTGTCCTTGTCAGCAAGGAATGGTTCAGAGTTTCTCATGTCATAACAATCAACACTGATTATCAAATCAGTTCCATTATCAACAATACAAAATACATCTTTAATGCATTAAATGGCTTTCACCTATCTTCTTCTATCTTGTAGATGATGGATACGGTTACACTGAACGTTGGTGGCCATTTGTACACCACATCACTTTCCACGCTCCAGCGTTATCCAGACTCAATGTTGGGCGCCATGTTTCGCGGGGACTTCCCCACCACACGAGACACCCAGGGCAACTATTTCATCGACCGAGATGGTCCTTTATTCCGTTACATCTTAAACTTCTTACGAACATCCAAACTGACGTTACCGTGTGACTTCAAAGAAACTGAGCTCCTCCGTAAGGAAGCAGACTTCTACCAGATTGAACCCTTAATCCAGTGTTTAGGTGAAACCAAACCTCTTTACCCGCTGGACACCTTTGAGCAAGTGGTAGAACTTTCAAGTACTCGTAAGTTGTCCAAATACTCAAACCCAGTGGCGGTTATCATAACGCAACTCACCATCACCACCAAAGTTCACGCGCTTCTTGAAGGCATCTCTAACAACTTCACCAGATGGAATAAACACATGATGGACACCAGAGACTTTCAAGTGTCTTTTACCTTTGGACCATGTGACTATCACCAAGAGGTGTCCCTTCGAGTGCACTTAGTGGAGTACATCTCCAAACAAGGCTTTACGATTCGCAACACACGAGTGCATCACATGAGTGAACGAGCCAACGAGAACACGGTAGAACATCACTGGACATTCTGTAGAGTTGCGCAGAAGGTCGAGGACTGACTGATGCTTTATCATTTGTGCAAGCATCACACAGGTAAACCAGCCAATGAAATCATGGTAGAACATTAGTGGATGTTTTGTAGTGTTGCTCAGATAGTTGAGGGCTGATTGATGCTGTATTGTTTTGGACGAAAGCATATAGGTACATCACAAGAGTGAACCAGCCAATAAGAACTTGGTAGAACCTTATAGGACATTTTTGTAGATTTGCTCAGAAAGATGTGGACTGATAGATTGTTTATTCTTATCTGGTCAGATGTTACTGTTAAAACGGTACTCGAGTAACGAAGGTTGTGCAATTACAAGTTTAACGAAGACACAAATGCGTTTTTACTAGTCTTCAACTTGTGATTTTATAAGATGCTCCCAAATTTCTTGAGTTGGCCACATCTCTACCGTAGAATCTGCCTTATTCTGTGTTCACACCAGACTCTGCGAATGTGGATAAATCGAAATATTCGCGTGAATATAAATAAAAATACGTGTGAACATTTTGAGTTTATTCACTTCATTTGTGCTTCAAATCCACTTCATTTGCGTGTCAAGTTCGCTTCACAATAGATGTGGAATTGCGTCATGAGCAGGGCTTCTGTCTGCCCGGTGACTCTAGCTTCATTGCTAAATGGCTAACATAGATTTATTGAGCTAGAGAATAACTGTGTTAATGTGCTTTAGGAAGGCAAACAAAATGGTGTCGATTCATTTAGAGCCGTGTCTGAGTCCAAAAGTTCCTTTCATAGGTGCACCCAGCTTCGTGAGTTTATAAACTCCTCCAGAAACTTAACCTGAATGATGGAAGCTTTTAGCGGGGCTTCCGACTGAGCCGAGCCCAGTTTGATCAACTGTTCCCTGGTGTCGGTAGGAGGATTTCCCCGCGGGACACCAACAACAAGCGCTACGTAATTAGCATGCCCCAACAAGAGAAAGCTCCTTATTGGTTAAAGCAGTGCGAATGTCTGCTGAAGTTCAGATATTTCCAACTGGAGAGATTTGCGTAAAATGCATGTTAATCGCGTCAATCTCACCAAACGCTCAACTCGCGTCGCTTCATCTGCGTGAATCGTGTCTTTCATGCCGCCTCATTCGAATTATTCACGCTTGACGCTTTTTCCGCGTCTCGTGTGAACGCAGCATAAGGCACACACTTTACGCAAGTTTTCTGTTGCATCACATGAGTAAATGCACACAACATGGAAAATCATATTTGGGTAAGGCTGAAGACTAATCGATACTGCATTCAAATTTAGTCAGACTTTACCATAAGTGCAAGACATTTGCAACTAAAGCAATTATTAAGTTTCACTAGGACGTGAGCTTTTTTCTACTTGCAAACCTGACATGAAGGTCTTACCTGTAGATCCGGGCCAAGGTAACCAGCATCATGCTGGTGGATTACATGACAAAGTATAACATCATTGGACGGTTTGTAGAGTGCAGAAGATCAAGTACTGATTGATGCTTTATTTCTATGTGCTTGGACATTACTGTAATAATTAGTTAAGGACAAAATAATGGCACCTTTATAGTGGCTGATAAATGCTGATCCACTTCAGATCTGTCATTATGTGATACCACAAAGAGTTAATGCTAAAAACTCACAGAAACAAAGATCTAGATCAGTGTTTCCCATCCTTGCTCTAGACGTCACACCAATAGTACACATTTTCAATGTCTTCCTATGCAAGCATACTTGAATCAAATCATCAGAACAATAAAAAAAGACTCAAAAACCTGAAATGAAACCAGAGCATGATTATGAAATGCTAAACTACGTAGTTCCTTGCACATCCCTTGATTAAAACAAAATCAGTTGTCCACTGTTTGCATTTCAGTTTTATGATCAGAATCAGAAAAAAGTCATATACTTATCAGTTTAAATATCAGTTATCCAGCTATAAAGGGTTTTCAGTATCTGCCAAAATGTCTACTGGTGAAACGTACCAATAATTCGAACTTTGAGATTGCATCTTGAGCAATTGCAAGTTTAACATAGCCATGAATGTATAATTTACTAGTTGCGAAGTAAGGGCAATACCTAAAAGTACTTGCATATACCATTCTGGCTAAGGTAGCCAAAAATGAATCATGTGAAAAAATTTTTGTTCTGTATCTTCAAAACAATTTGTCCTATCATGTTTTATGCAACTCAATCTCATGGCAGTTCGTAACTTTTGAATTAGTGGCTAATTTTTATCCCACTTTATATTAAGTGTCCTTAACTACTATGTACTTGCATCAAAAAACAAATCCATCATACTCACTGTGTTCATAATGGATTTGAGAACACTTGCTCGTGAGTTGGGATAGTGGTAGGGTTATGGACAGGTTTGGTGGTATGGGTAGGTTTAAGGGTGTGTTAATGTGTAAGGGATGGTCAACAGTAATTACAGAAGTTAATTACAGATGTAATATACAGGTATTTAACCAAGCATAAGTACACAGTAAATACATGTATTTACACAATTAATACATTGTAATGAATTATTAATTTCTGTGTAAGTACATATTAGTTAAGGACACTTAATATAAGGTGGGATGAAATATTTTTAAAATTTGTACTTTTTCATTCATATATTTCAGTAAATTTTGCTCATTCCCCAATGAAGGTTAAGGTTAGGGGTGTGAGTTGGGGTTCATCTCCTTTTAAAAGTAATACATTTTCGCACTAATGAAATCGTATGATTGTTTACGAATTAACCACTTTTCTGACAATACATGGAATAGTTACGTGACCTCAGGTTTTATGTGTTGCCACCCAATTCAGAAATCCAAAAAAAACAGAAATATTTTGCTTTTTTAAAAGTACTGTATATACAAGATCTTACGAAAAAGTTTGCTAAATCTTTTGCGAAGTTGACATGTAATGTCAGGCAGCCCTTAAATCTAAAATTCTAATATATACCGATAGAGTGTTAAATATACAGTATTTCATTATTTATCGCATTTCTGTAGATACAGTCTCCTGTAATTGTATCCATAAACTGTAAACGGTGTGCATGATCCTGTTGTATATCTGTAATGTTATTTATCAGTCATATTTTCCCCCACTTGAGAGATGCTATGTGAAAGATATGTAATCCGCATGTTACATTGTATGTTTTGTGACCGGACCCATTTGAAATTTATTTTAATCTCTTAAAGCATGTACAACTCAGGCTTGCATCTTTTTAACGGGTTCGGGAACCTGAATGAAATTGAAAGAGTTCATTCATGTGTGTAATGAATTTGACCTGCACATTAAAAAACAAGTTTCATCATGCGGCGTGTGGTTCTGTTTGCTAGCAGATGTCTTTGTATTGGATTTCATGGAGAGAACGTTTGATTTTATTATTGAAATTGATTGAATCAGTTATTCTAAAGGAAACATTTTAGGCTCAGTGTCACTTTTTCAATGCAATAATCTAAATAAAAAATATCCACAGTTTATGAATGTTTCCCTTTGTACAAAAAGTGGAACCAATCTGTTTGAGAAGTGTGTTGCATACACTCTCAGAAATAAAGGTACAGGAGCTGTCACTGGGGCAGTACATATTCAAAAGGTACATATTTGTACCTAAAGGGTCCATAATGGCACCTCAAATGTACTTTTTAGGTATATTTGTGCACTTTTGAGGTACCACTGTGGACTCTTTGGGTACAAATATGTATCTTTTAAAAAGGTACTACCCCAGTGAAATCTCCTGTACCTTTATTTCTGAGAGTGTAGAAAAACAGCCTCAACCAATTGTGTCAATTCAGCCAGGGGTGGACTGGGACAAAAACTCAGCCCTGGAACTGTAGCCACACCTGCCCACATTACCAGACCGACTCAGCCCCACCCACGGACATCCACATTCACTACCTCTATTGGTGTACAAATGGTGAATTAATATAAGCTGTACCATATTTAATAGATTTTTAAACATTTAATGTATGTGAGTGGAACAAGAACAACCCATTTATAACAAATTTATAAATACATTCATTTTCTTTTCGGCTTAGTCCCTTTGTTAATCTGGGGTCACCACAGCGAAATGAACCGCCAACTTATCCAGCATGTGTTTTGGGAAACACCCATACACGCATTCACACAATTTTAGCTTTCCCAATTCCCCTATAGTGCATGCTTTGGACTTGTGGGGGAAACCGAAGCACTGGGAGAAAACCCACGTCAACACGTGGAGAACATGCAAATTCCACACAGAAACACCAACTGTACCAGAGGAGGTTCAAACCAGCAACCTTCTTGCTGTGAGGCGTCATCTCTACTCAATGCGCCACCACATTTCCCCCTTTTTTGCTTTCTCTAAGATTTTTGGCACCTCCTTTCTTTTATTTTACGGTACATCTTTGACAGTTAGCTTGTGTTGCACTTACTGTTATTTTAACATTCTTGCCAGATTTTGATTATGTCCACGTAACCTCTGATTAGGTCGGATTTGGTCAGCCCATCTCAAAACCAGCCTGCCATTGCTGATCGGGCCAAATGCGTAACATTTATTATTATTATTATTGCTATTATCATCAACATCATAATCACATCTTGGAAGAGATAAAAGTTGTCTGCGTGTAAAAACTATACATAAAAAAAATCTAATAAAAAATTTCAAACTGATCGGCCCACATTTAAAAAATGGTCCGTCCCTTCTGGCATTTGCCAGAATTGCCAGATGGCCAATCCGCCCAAGTTCAGCGCAGGGCTACAAGTCTGTCCCACCAATGAGAGAAAATGAAACACAAAACCAGCAATTTTAACACAATGCAGATTCATTCATTCATTTTCTTTCAGCTAAGTCTTTTTATTAATCTGAGGTCACCACCGCAGAATGAACCGCCAACTTATCCAGCGTATGTTTTTCATTCACTCACATACACTACGGACAATTTAGCCTACCGAATTCACCTATACCACGTCTTTCGACTTGTGGGGGGAACCGGAGCACCAGGAGGAAACCCACATGCACATGCAGAGAACATGCAAACTCCACACAGAAATGCTAAATGACCCAGCCATGGCTTAAACCAGTGACCTTCTTGCTGTAAAGCAATCGTGATACCCACTGCATCACCGTGCAGCCTACAATGCATATTTAGAACTTAAATATAGATGAACAGTGTCAGTAGTTACATCAGATATTCTGACTGAATTGATGATATGAGAAACAGTGTATAAAGATCTCGCACAATGCTAACAGTAAGATTCTACAGTAGCCTACAAGAATAGCTAGCATGGTGTGTGTGTGCATGTTGCTATTCACCCTGCTGTAAAACAATCCCCAATAGAGACCACAATTGCTATTCTAATGGTTTTGTAATGGTTTTAATGGAAACTATTAATCCTGTAGGTCTCTACTGGTTATTCGTATTAAAACTAATGGATTAGCAAATTAGCAACTATTAAAATGTACTGGTTTCAATGGTTAAAATGTGATGATTTCAAATGTATTTGTAGTCATAAGCATTGTAATCGTCTGTGATGTTATTTTGACAGGGTAACATTCAGCATTCTCAAAGAAATATCAATATAATTTATTTTTCTGAAGAAAAGGTAAGTGGTGTTTGCGTGTGTATGATGCTAGCGTAGTTTCCATGGTGTTGCAATGTGCTTGTATTGAGCTTATTACTATACGGTTGCTAAGGTGTTGTGTATGGTTGCTGGGTGGTTGCTCACTAGCCTCAGTCAAAATAGCCTGGACAGCCACATATTCTAGCCCCTCCTTCAATGCAAGTCTACTGGATTAGTTGTCCGTTTTATTGTCTGCTCCCTTCAACAAGCCACATGATTTGAATAATTCAGTTGCTGAATTTCGTGCTCTCTGCCAAAGATATCTTCCAGGCCATTATTGGGCCAACACCATCAATGATTAGCTGGTTCGCATGGTGATATTAACCCCTGCTGGTAGATGCTGTATCTACACCAGCTGGCTGCCAATTAAATAAATAAAGAAATATATTTGTAAGGGTATCAAAATCTCTTTAAATTAAAAAATATGTGAATAAAAGCCAACTCTAAAAAAAATTTGCATTTCTTTACTGCGGATCTTTGTGATTATGTGTTTGTTTTGTGTTGACTACTGGGCTGTCCACCAAATCATAAAATGGCCGCCATCAAGAGGCTTGGGGAAATGTCCCTACACACTAAAGAGAAAATGCTACAAAAAATACTAAATAGATGTGTAGTTTAAAAGATAGATAAAAACAGTTCTAGCCATGCTAATTAGCATGCTAAATCTGACTAGTGGTTGTGTTATTATATATATATATATATATATATATATATATATATATATATATATATATATATATATATATATATATATATATATATATATATATAGTCAGGGCGGATTGAACCAACAAGTGAGGTTAGCAGCCGCTTAGGGCCCAAGGAATTTAGGGGCCTCCAATAAATATCTAGACGTTTCAATTATACCTGTAAACTATATATAACATTGTTTGCTATCATATTTTTATGTTGAGTGTTAAATAAATATAATTTTAACGTAATTAAACATTATTTAGTATACAATCAAATATAATACTGTTATAATAATGTAATGCTATGTATTAATAATAATATTACCAAATAAATTATGCATCACAGAGCTGTCCAGCAGTAAAATGTATTTTATATATATATATATATATATATATATATATATATATATATATATATATATATATATATATATGACCTTATTCTTCAATGCGGAAACACGCCTGTTTTCGCGATTGTTTTAGAGCTTCCGATTCAGTCGCCTATGGGAGAAATGACTAGGAATAATAAACGGCAGAAAACGGTCAAACAACTTGCTCTACAAACAATTGTTTGCATTACTATATACAGACCAAGTAGAATAATATAATAAGAATATATCAGTTTGTAACATCAAGCAGCATAACTAGCAGTTTTTAACGTCTAAAAATGAGTGGAAGTGAATGAGACAGGAAGTCTTAAGCCAAAAAGATTCAAATGGCAGAATAAGGTGAATATATATATATATATATATATATATATATATATATATATATATATATATATATATATATATATATATATATATATATGTGTGTGTGTTATTTTTATTCATTTCAGGAAAACTAAACGCATAAAATGTAGAGATTGAATTTATTTAATGTGTTGAATAAAAGATAAAGTGATATTAAAAGACAAATAAAAATTAAATGTAGACAGGGTGCAATTCAGGACTTTGATTCCATGGCTGGAATTGCTTGGGGCCCAATAATCATTAAATCCGCCCCTGTTTATAGTAGACTGTATAAAACGTTCCTATTTTACATCAACAAACTGACTGGGAGTTTATAATGTTATGTGCTACAATGCTATATGCTAGCATTTGTTGTGGAGGCCTTCATACACAATTGATTGATTACACAATTTTGATATGGTATTGTGTTTGGTGCATTTTGTTGGATGAATG